CGAGTGTATACTCTGGCAGGGCCGAGCTGTGAAGGAGTCCGACGCAGGCCTCGACACGAGCTGGCAGCAGGGGAATTTCAAAACGAAGTCCCGTATGATCTCGAAAATTTCCTACGAAGTCCCCTTTGACCTGTTTTGAAGACCCGTCACTATTTTTAGATCATGTAAAAGTATGTAATAGAGTTTTCATGCATGCTGATATCATGAAACAACTTTTCACAGCTTTCTGAGCTATTTAATTGGTTGAATCACATCTTGAGAAGCAGAAAAAGCCGATTTTTCAACTGCGGAGCACATCGAGTAACTTCCTAATGGCTATAAAACGCTGAAAAAAAACAATACGAAATTGTTTCTTCTCTGTATGTAAACTTTTTCAGTGTAGATACATTTTATGTAAAAAGTATGAAAACTTATGTGAACAAAGTGTCGGTGCCAGCTCAGCTGACGCCCAGCTGGCACGGTGCCAGCTAATTCAGAAAAAAGTTCAGCACAGCTTTCATTCACATAAGTTTTCATAAATTTTTGGGCCATAGTTCGGGTCCCCAACGGGCATGCACACACTAAATTTGGTTTTATACTATTGCGTTTTGGCTGAAAACAACACCTTTGTTTGTTTGATGGGCAGCATGCCGGTGGCATGCCGGCGGCATTCTTGCAACCTTTTCCGCCCCGGACCGCGAAAAAACGATATCCCCTTTGCTTTCCGCCCTAAAAACAATATCCAGCTCGACCCGGTGCCAGCTTTGCCGAGCCCCGGTCCAACGTTTTCCGGTTTCGGCCGGATGCCTAGCTAAGAGTCGGCCAGGCCAGATCTATCGCCGTCTGATTTTCAGGTCGCTAGGCGGTTCTCCCCGCTCCAAGCCCGGGGTCAGCGATCGCCCCGTGGAAATCAAGAGTAGGCCTAGTAAGTCTCCTCTTGTAGGGGGAAAATTTCATTACTCTACTACCAGTTAGAAGAATAGAAAGAAACCCTGCACATCGGATCCCGCCTACGGCGCCGGCCGGTTGGGAGCAAGACCGATGTCAGGGTCCTCAGGGCGCCTTTTGGCACAAAAACGACACGTCTGCCCGGACGACACGCCATGGAGACTGCCTCATGCTCTGCGCCTACAACGCCAGGGCTCTCTACAAACGCCGACTTCCGCGCTTTTCTCGACGCTGCAGAGTACATCAAGTACCACATCATCGCTCTGCAGGAAACGAAGTCCAGGAAGAAGGACGTGCGACAGATGAATGATGGGATGCTCATCATTCGTGATGAGAGGGTTCCATCACGAAACGTGGGAGGCGTTGGCTTTGTCGTCCACCCATCTATCGTCCATCTTGTCGATTCGCACGAGATCCTTCACCCCGACTAGCCATCCTACGACTACGCTCTCCACGTCAGAAGACCATCAGCATCATCAACTGCTACTCTCCAATAGGGTGGAGGAACGAACACCTCAATTAGGTACCGCCTCCGCAGCCTGCTGGTCCTTCCGCCCTACTGCTGTGCATCGTGTTGGGACCAGTAGTCCGAGGAGGCGGTGCTCAATTGAGGTGTTCGTTCCTCTACCCCTCTCCAACATCAGCAGCTGATAACTCAGAATTAGGTGCTTCCCACGAAGACGTGGAGGAGTCGTCCGCAACGAAAAGCCCTTCTACAAGTATGGTGGACGACTTTAATGCGAAAATCGGGATGCCACTAAAAAAGGAATATAGGATCGGGAATTTTGGATATGGGCTCCGGAACGTAAACGGCAATCGTCTCGTTGGGCTTCTCTCCGCCGCACGACTTTTCCATGGAAATTCCATCTTCATGAAGAAAGAACATCGCCGGTGGACATGGGAATTGCCCAACGGAACGACTCACGCGAAGATCGACCAAATTCTCACCAACCGAAGGTGGAGCTTGCTCGATGTCTCAGTAGTTCCACCTTCTGCAGTGGCTCCGATCACCGCCCCCTTCGAGCGAAGATACGACTCAGCCGAAGGCTGAAAAAGAAAATCTGTCACAGCGCCGCGAGAAGGAAAGAAGTCGTTTATGACGGTAACAAGCTGGAAGAGCTCATATCAAGTTGTGACTGGCCCATCGAGGAGGACCCAACGTACGACTACGACCAACTTCTGAAAGAATTGCGAGCCTGCGGAGAGTGCGCTTCAGTGACTTCTGCGAAGAACTTGGAACGCATTTCGAAGGTCACCAAGGATTTGCTCGAAAGAAGAAGATTTCTGAGGCAGGATCCGTATGCAACCCATCTCGAGCGACTGATAGCCAACGCCAGTTGCAGAACAGCTTTGCAGGAGGATCTCAGGAAGTACAGGCAAGCCAAGATACTGGAAGCAGCCGAAAGAAGGCGAAGTCTCAAGAAGGCCAAAAGGACCTCTGTGAATATCATGTACTGCTGGATGCACTATTAAACGAAGACGGGATTCCGATTTCCTCCCGGTACAAGATGGAATCTCTCGTGAAGAACTTCTATACCAACCTCTTCCGCTCATCAACACCCGTGCCGACGCCCGTTGTTCCCACTGGAGAAGTACCACCACGAATTCTACCTGCTGAAGTGCGCACGGCGATTCAGACCATGAACACATCCACGGCTCCAGGACCAGACCATCTTTCCGTTGAATTTCTGCGAGCCGGAGGACAACGTCTACACGAGATTCTCGCGTCGCACCTGACATCTTACCTTCAGAAGGAGAGGATTCCCGACCAGTGAAGAACGTCAAGAACCGTCCTTCTTTTTAAGAAGGGTGAACGGGAAGATCTTCGAAATTACCGTCCAATATGCCTGCTGAGTGTGCTGTACAAGCTCTTCACGAAGATTATCCTCGCACGCATATCTAGGACACTGGATGAAGCCCAACCCCAAGAACAAGCTGGATTTCGCAAAGGATTCAGCTGCATGGACCACATCCAGACGGTTTCGAGGGTCATAGAAGTCTGCCGGGAGTACCGACTGCCTCTCGTCCTAACCTTCGTCGACTACGAGAAAGCCTTTGACAGCGTCGAAACCAATGCCATCCTGTCTGCGCTAGTCGATCAAGGAGTGGACCCAGCTCATGTGAGGACACTAGCCGACTGCTACAAGGACTGCACAACAACGATGCAGTTATTCCATCGCCCCCTCCAATTACAACCGGGAAGGGGATTTGACAAGACACAACTACTTCGCCGAAGCTGTTCACCGCGGCCTTGCAATGGGTGATGAAGTTACTGGACTGGGACGAGAGAGGCATACAAGTTGATGGGGGATTCCTGTTCCTTCGTTTTGCAGACAACATCGTTCTCTTCTCAAGCAGTATCACCGAAGCAGAGACGATGCTGAAGGAACTTAAGAAGTGGGAAAGAAGATCGGATTGCGAATAAATTCGAAAAAGACCCAGTTCATGAAGAAGGTCCTTTGTGAAGATGCAGAAATGGAATCGGAAGGCATATCAAGGAGAACGACTTGAGGGAAGAACTTAACAGGAGAAGAAGAGGAGTGGAGGAACGAACACCTCAATTAGGCACCGCCTCCGAGGACCACTGGTCCCAACACGATGCACAACAGTAGGACGAAAGGACCAGCAGCCCGCAGAGGCGATGCCTAATTGAGGCGTTCGTTCCTCCACCCGAAGAAGAGCAGCCTGGGCCACCTTCGGGCGTCTGAAAGAAGCCACCGATAAACTTACGGACCCGCAGCTTCGTGCCCACCTGCTCTACTTAACGTTCTCCCGGCGCTCTGTTACGCAGCTGAGACTTGGCCCGACGCTGTAGCCACGTCGAAAGCTTTACGCACCACACACAGAGCGCCCGAGCACAGTCTTCTGAAGATGAGCCGACACAGACAACATCTTGTCGGAATTCGCAGTACGGATATGAGAAAAATGTCCCGTCTTCGTGACCCAACGGACTACGTTGCGAAAGCAAAGCATCGATGGGCCGGTCGCATCGTGAGAAGAACAGACGACAGATGGACACTAAGAACATCGGAGTGGATTCCTCGCGAAACCAAAACGTCCCTCGAGGAAGACCACCGAGAGATAAGCATACGTGTTCGTGGAACGGATGGACCAGCTGAGAAATCAGCTGGATACTTTCGCCCCTGGAACTCGTGGACACAGCCACCGACGACGACCAAGAAGATCGTGGATGTCTGAAGCGAGGGCAGGGATCAGTGGCAACTTCTGTACTGGGGGCCGCACGTCACGTGAGGATGGGCCATCTAACTGAGTATCTAAGTAAGTATCTTTGGCTAGGGTTAGAAGTTGCCTTGAGAATTTACCGCAAGCTAAATGCAGTCCGTTCGATGAATACGGATTTTGAGTGATAATACTTTCCATTCCTAAACACCTTGAGGTAAGTTTTGAGGTAAAATTCACCTTGAGAATTACTTACAGGTACTTTTGTGAATACGGGTTTGCTGACAGTGAGTAATAAAACTACCTGAAGTTAGAATTTAACCAAGGTATCAATGATGAACACTGCCACAGGATAGGGACTTCCCCGGCTTCACTGCGAGTGCTTCAAAGTTGGGGTTAAGCCATGAAAAGGCTCGAAATGATCACAACACGAAAGAGAATGCGTCCGGACGTTGACTCTAAGATGTGCAAATCAACGGCTTTGGTAACTCTGGAGTAGATTCGAAATTTTCAAATTCTGACGCAAGACTCATGTAATAGGGTAGAGGACTATATGTCGCCGAAAAAGGGCGGTCCCCGCGGTCATTTGCGACAAATACGCACCCTTGTACATGCGCGGACATGCGTTCCTGCAGGGAATCCGCGCGGGAGTCTTCCAAATCCGGCGACATATAGTCCTCCACCCCATGTAATATGTACCAATCTATCAGCGAACGATAGTGCTGAAGCCCCTAAAAATGGTCCACCCTGCTATCACAACCGTAATAATGAAAGGGATTTCTCCTGTAGGCGAGACTTTTCTTTTTTCTGTAGTAATATTTCAAAGAAAATAAGACTAGCATACTTTGACGGGGGAGGGGGGGGGGGGGGGCGGGAGGGAAGGGGACAATACATTATGAAATGGTGACCGTGTGAGATCCTGTAGTCCTGGAAATGCAATGGGCAGTAAAGCTGCCAATGGGATCAGAAGGCAAAAGCCGTGAAGAGTCAGCGACACTTTGATAGCTGATGATTGGTTAATCCACTTTTGACGCGCAGAAAGGAACTATGTCCAAAATTGCGAAACATACAGTTGTCCCTCTTGATCGTCTTTTCTATGTAGAAGACTCCATACTAATGACTTCAATCAGGTTAAAATTAAGTACTGCCATCGTTGCAATCACGTTCGAATGGTCAACTCTGAGAAAATGCATGTTCGGCCATTTGCTACGTATTGTGGCCGAACCGACCTATACATTAATCATCCCGCAGTAAAGCGGGCGGGTTCGGGGGTCAACGGGGCTCTTCTGTTGTAAGCTTCCTCAGTGTCACAATAAACGTTCAAAGCGACGTGTTGTGTTTGCTCCCAGAGTCAAAGTTGCCCTATAGTGGCACAATTCTGGTGCATCGGCCAAATTTCTGAGCCACTATCTAGCCCTGCGGTAAGCAGCGCATTAGTAGTTCTACCCATTGTGGAATCGAACTACGACAACGCCTTGTGCAATGTCGATTTCTTATCATAAAATCAACGGGGCTCTTCTGTTGTAAGCTTCCTCAGTGTCACAATAAACGTTCAAAGCGACGTGTTGTGTTTGCTCCCAGAGTCAAAGTTGCCCTATAGTGGCACAATGCACACGAATATGTGCTTCAAAACAGCATATAGCTAACATCTTCCTTGCATCTGTTCCTAAGAGTTTTGTTATTTCCGTACAGACAAGCAGACTTCTTGCTTTCATATTACTTCAATGCAGATTTATGAGAAACTTGAAGTAAAAAGACAACAGTGACATTCATTATCATTATAAATAATAAAAGATAGTTGATTGATCCAAAGCGACATTTAACAACTTCCGCGCAAAAAACTAACGAAGGATAAAATACATTCAGTCTCAATTTTACCGTGATTAACATACACGAATTTGCCAATTAGTTGAGGTTCTAATACTGACTTCGGCCAACGTACATCAACGCCCGACGTTCTTCCTGAAAAGATGGTTTTTGCTCAGATGGACAAACATGACCCAAATCGACTATCATTTGAGAATGAGCGTATCCCTAAACTCGCAATGAGAAAAGCTACACTCAGAAATAGCGCGCTGCTTAGTAGCTGTTTGAAACGGCAGTCCTTAGGACTGTACAAAACTGCCACAACGCATAATGCTGACGCTGAGTTCAAGAAAAATGCTCACCAAAGACATAGTCTGATGGTCATCAGGATGAATAATCCGTGTTTTCGCTCCTATTTTATTGGCAACAGCAGCAGCAGAAGAGTTCAACGCTGATGGATTCGAACCCTAAAGAAGCCTTTGTTTGATTATTTAAGGCAGAGTTACGAAAAAACCAACCATGCCATTTCCATTGTAAGCTGGAGCCCCATAATTATCGTTCGGGCCTCTTTCGGGGATTCGATCGTCAGGTGGACGATCGAAACGAGATACTAGATGATCGTGAGATATAATGGAGACCATATGAAAAGACAAGAGATACCTCTTGGGTAATCGTCACTACGAGGCGGCATTCCTCTCGAGTAGTTATCATAGGGAGGCATACCACGGTTATCATAGTCACCTCTTCCCCGAGCATAAGAATCTTGGTCGTCCCTAGCGTAATCGTCAGACGTTGGTCCTGGCACAGCACCATAATCTACCCTTGCATTTTTGAAATCTTCTCTTGGAGATCTATAATCGTCTTTTGGAGGACCTCTAGCATAGTCATCCGCGGCATAATGATCACCACCCTGAAAGTCGTGTTTTATCTCTGATGACGTTCATGCTCGATTGAATGACCTCATAACCATAATTATCCCTAGCACTTCTGTTGTAATCGACTGCACTGCGATAATCAGTGTCATACTCACTACCGCCTTCGACATGACCTTCATCAGAAGGTCCGCCCGCTGCTCTGAAAATTAGACATTACATTCATGCAGTCCTCTTGCTTCGCGATGGAGTAATGTTGCAAAGTGGTGCAATCAAAACACATTCAAAGAAAGAATCTGATCGTCGCGAAAAAAAAGTTGATACGAATTTTCTGTATACCCGGTTTTCGGTGGTACAGGTCCAGCAGAAGAAGCTGAAGATCCCATTGAGGGAGGGGCAGGCATGCCGTAAGGAGGTACAGGTGGCATACCCATTCCAGGTGGTGGAGGCATGAATGGTGGCATTCCAGGCATTCCTAGATGTGAGAAATTACTACTAAAAAGATAGTACGTGAACTCATGTAAGTACCAGGGGGCATCATCGGAGGCATCATTGGAAATGGTGGGAAAGGTGGCATTCCCGGCATCATCGGCGGCATCGACGGCATGGGCCCAGGTGGCATCGGCGGCATGTCATCTTTTCGATCGCGCTTAGCATCTGGTTCCTCATCTATAAGCAAATGGTTACCGAAGATCAACAGCTGCAAGAATAGATTAGGTTTCCGGTGGTTACAGTATACTTTGGCCATGGTCCTAACCGTATCTGTCTAGCTGCCTATAGAAGGAGGGATGCACGAAGAAGCTACTAGTGAAGGTCAACTTATTAGAATGCTGCATAAGTTCTGTCCGACTTTTTTTGTCTTATGTTTGAAGCAGCTGTTCTAACAAGGAAAGGATACTTGGTCGAAGTGGCGTTTCCAAATGATATGTATATTCTCATATAGAGCATTGAACGCTGGTTCCAGATTCGCTTTCGGTACCTGAAAAGCGCTTCTGTGAGGGGAATTCTGGAAATTTTTTGAGATGGAAATCCAATGCTTTGGCTATGATGACAATAGGTGTTAAAGGCACCGTCCAAACTAGACTGGGGGTTTTGAGCTTCTGGCAGCATATGATAGTAGGGAACCCTATCAAGCCAATGCCCAACTCGCGGCGCAAAATATCGCTTCGGAAGCGAGAAAATCGCTCCGGAATAACGAAGATGCGCGAGGACCCCCATCCATGCCCGCCCAATTGTGCGCGCCCATCCAACCACCGTTCCGGAAAGCCGCCCTGAGGGTTCTCGGAACGGGGAATGTCGGGGTTTTCGCGGATTTTCGACTTCATATTCGGAATCAGGGACCTGAAACGACATATGCCTGGAAATCGAGAATCTGGGTGGAAGGTGCCTGGTCTTTCCGGCGCTTGAGTGAGCTTTTTTCATTATATTGAAGGTCTTTATTCCATAAAACGCCTCTTGGTAGTAATCATGGGTGTATGTCAAGAGGCGCGATTTTTATTGCCAGATGGACACCAAATAGCACATAATAAGTGTTTATGACTTTCTATAAGTATTCAAATTTTAAAAGGAGATATATTAAATAGTTGCATGGGTTTTTCAATCCTGACACCTTGGAATCGGTTAAACAAAATCGTAAATATTTCGGTCCATATCCCAGCAAAAACCACCAAACTCAGCAATTAGTAATGTTAAACAGATAGTAAGCTAATGCACTTTATCTGATACTTTTTGAGGACTTGGATAGCACTAAATTGGAGTTTTAAGCTAGTGACAACCGGAGAAATCGCGCCTCTTGACCGTCTCCCAGTAATCATGGCCCCATTCAAGCTCAAGGACTAAGGTTCCAAATGATTTTATTGTAGCGGCGCTCAAATTTTTGCATCAAGAAATTTCCATAACTCTCTTCCCAGAAGCGCTTTGCAGATCCAGAAAGTGGGTTTGAACTCAGCGTTCCATGCTCTATAAGACAGTATACCTAGAAATATGTTCTTGCGCTCAAATGACTTCTTTTTTGCTCGGTCAAAAAAATCTTTTGGCAACGCAGGCCCTATGGACTCTTTCATGTTGCCAAATAATCTAGGAAAATTTCTCTACCTATCCTTTACTAGATAAGCTGCTTATCCATTCTCATAAGGGAGCACTGCCATGTCAAAAAAGACAGGTTTTAAGAAGCTGTGAAGTTTTTGAATTCTTGCTTCTTCTTTAACAAGACTTTTCGCAAGTCTCAATATGTTTCTGATAGCCAAGGAAATGCTCAACACAAAGAAACTAAGATCTTGGAAAAAGTTGACTTTGAAAAGTTATGACATTTTGAACTCAAAAAATCCAAATCGGACAGAACTTATGCAGCAACCCAATATAAAAACACATCACCGATTAGGTAACGGTAAAAACGTACAACGATGCACAGAGTTTGTTAGAAATTTGGCGAAGGCGGAATGCCTATTTTATGTACGAGCAACTGGCAACGGCAGTATATAAGATTGACTGGATGTTTTAGAATGGAGTGACAACAGATCCATAACGTACGTCGCTATTCACTTCTGTGTAACCTACTGCTATACTTAACCCTAGATCAAAAGACCCAGGTGGACACTAGGTAGTGAAGCCAGGAAAGTCCAAGGCAAGAGTGTGACCATTGCATTAAACTATCTAGGCTTCATCATACCCGTGATGAAAGAAACGTTTTGCTGAATCGACAAAGATCGACAGCGCCACGTCCAAAATGTCTCACCGGAGCAAGATCCATGCTAGACGTTGGTATGGGGAGATCCATTTTGGCAAAATATATTCAGAAAAAAAAGGGAAACAAACCTCCTCTCAAACATCCGGGTGGTATACCTTGCATACCATATATCTCCATTTGTGAAGAATCTCTTCCGGGAACAGCGCCCGGAATCTTGTCGATCGTTTCTTTGTGTACCTATTATTAACGTTCAGATACAAACTATCTGCAACTTCCTTCATGCGTTGGTGGTAAGACTTTGAATTAATGTGTACATGCAGACTTTGGAATTTCTTTAACCTTTTTGTTGTTCGATGTTCAACTAGGAAGTGTGCAATAGCAGCTTGGAAATCACTTCATCAAGAGACGACACTTTACCTGCATGCAATGAATAGCAAGTCCTGGACCGCTGAACAGCTTTTTATGGCAGATGTGGCATTTGAAGTGCTTCGCTTTCTGGTGTTGTATGAGAACTTTCTCGTCATCAAATTCGCGGTTGCAATACCTGCAAAATACACGTACTAAGCCAAATCTTTAATGAAAATGGAACAGAGAACTGCGGCTCAAAACATTAATGTTTTTTTTGCTTCAATTGTCTGCTTTCTCACTCCAATAACCAGTGCCCTCGAGTGATGAGATACGAATAGGAAGGAAACTGATTGAAGCGTTTATCACTACGGGCAAGAGAAAACCTCTTTCTCCCACTAAAGTCGGTTTCGCTTTGACTGGTGTCATGAATGCCACGTTGGGCTCCTCAAGTGGATAAGTAGAACCTCAAAAGGAAGTACTAAAAGGTTCGTCGACTTGTTTGTTGCAAACCCTAGGAGGTGCGCACAGGCATTGCTTGTAAAGGAAATCTTTTGTCCCTTTTTTATCCCTTGCTTCCGATCAAAGCATCCTTCTCTCTTAAGTAATTAATCTGCTTTGAAAATCGGATTAATGCGACAGGCACAGGGACGATTTCCGACAAAACCATTGTGCGACCCAAAATTACTTTCCTCATCAGAACCCCGTATGTGCAGATTTGCCCGGACGCTGCCTTTGAAGGCAGCGTCCAGGCAAATCTGGACCTATGGGGATTTTACGTGGAAAGTAAATTTGGGGCAACTAAGGCACGGCCCAAGCGGCAACGCACATGACTCACTAACGGCTGAGATATACGCCTCCAAACTGGACCCAGGATCGTATTATCGGACGACTTGCATGCCCCACGCGAAACTGTTCTACCGCGCCTGAATCCATGTGAACTGGGGTCTAATCAAGAAACGAATATTTCAGACGTTAGAACACCTCTAAGCTACCGGTTGGGCAATGTCCTTTATAGGGTCCCAAAATTACTGTCCAAGTGAGATCCCCACATGTCCAGATTTGCCTGGACCCTGCCTTTAATTCCAGCAATTCAAGGTGCTTATTCGGACTTCACATGCTAAAATGATCGGAAGGCAGCCATGTTGACGGTTCATATGAGAACAATCCTGGAGGATGCACCATACAAGCTACGCATATACGCGTATGCTCCCTATTGTCCCAACATCACATAATAAACACCCTGTATACGGTCACTTTTTCCTCTAGCAATGAAAAAGTCCACGATATTTATATGTTCAATCCCTTTTTGGTTAATGGAACAATCTTGCATGATAAAACTGACAATGAACTTACCAGCACCACGGCCTCTCAATCTTCTTCTTCTTGCGACCCATTTTGATTTACCGAGAGGAAGTCTGTTCCCTAAAAACAACTTATCTGATGCTTGCAACAAGAAGCGATAACGAGCAAAATGAGATATACAGCAATGGAAATGGCTTCGCTTAAATTCGTAATTCAAAGGGCGCAACTGAGCGCGGAAGTTGGCTTTGGGGCACGTCAAGCGCAAACGATAAACAATGTTTCTACCACCTATACTCTCTTATCCAGCAGCTTTACATCAAAGACAACCACTCCAAATAAAGCAAAGAGGTGAGTGAAGGTGAAAAAACTTTCTGAATGCGGATAGCGCATCCAGCAAGCGTTTTTGCCCACGCGGAAGGGCAACTGTTCCTCCTGTGCCAGAATGGGAGCGAGTGCACCGTGTCTGCTTCTCTGCAAGGTCAGAGAACTAGGATCCAGTGCCAGTCCTCCGGAATACTGATAGTACACTCATCATTACGTGAAAAGCCATGTCAAACGTTTTGATACGTGTTAATTCCTCGTTAGCTCTAATTAAGCGACTTTGAACTCTTATGCATCTTCTTTTTCAATTTTCTTTCTCCTTAGTATTACTCGCTAATCTTTCATGACCCGTCTACCGATTCAACGTAGTTCACTTGCTTCTCCTGGGATCATATTGAGAAGTCTTTCGGTGTTTTGAAGTCTAGAACTTGACGACCGGTAACGACACGGCGCTGAAACGGCTGGATTCGCCATGGAGCGCGGATTGTGATTGGGGCAGATCTCCTCATTTTCAACTCCACTTGGTTTTTCTTGTCGCAGTTATGCGTTCTACTACCAATTATATATGTTTAAACACTCAGCTGTGTTGACCACATGCATGTCATTGCTCCAGTGTCAATGTTCACCCTTTTCTTCTTTGTGGCTGTACAGCCAACGCAACGCGGAAAAAGGATTTGTATAATTACTCACTCTGCGCTCTCTTACAATACTTGAGTTGTTGGTTTGCCTGGCAAGTGATAAAAGATCATACCCTATGTATTGCTCCACTTCACACACCCAACAATGTATTTAAATCCTCGCGCATGGGCATTGTTTAACAAGACATAGGCACGTCCGTGTATCAAAGGTCGTGTCCGGAAAAACTTTGAACAAGGGCCAGTTTTCTTTTAAGATGACATCTTCAGCCCAACTAGGCCGGGCACTGCCTCAAGTGTGATTTGTTGTTCTACTTCGAATGTTCGCTGAGCTATTACATAGTCGATGGGTGGATGTGGATGTGAGCACGCTCACTGCTGATGTGATAATGACTTCACTTCGCTAACGCTTTGTTCTATGCCCATATGCACATACCCCCCCCCCCCCCGCCCTCTCCCGGAGAGAGGACATGAGCTGAGAAGGGACGCGGCACTCGCCGCTTTAAATGACTGCATACTTCTTTGTCTATCTATCTTACTAAGGGGATCCCACATCTTGTCACTGATAATGGAAGCCGGGGTATGGGCATAAGTGCTGAGAGACTGCTTTTTGTGATCCCTGAGATTCCCAAAGGGCACGTAAGACAGGGAAAATCAGCCTAAGTAGTCTATCTCCCCACGAATGAAGTGAAGTTGTACTGAGAATCTGTGAAGCCGATATGAAGCGTCTCTTTTTCGCATCCCTCCTCTCTCCAACAGGGATGTACGTGAATGCGGACCTCAATCGTCGTTTCCTCTGACTTGTATTGTATTACCGCCAATCTCGACCGTAGACCCTATCGTCGTACTCTTCGTAAATAAATTCTTACATGTGTAGGAAAACCTTTTCTATTACAGGATTGTGTAAGATGATCACAAAAGCTTATTGCACCTATGCAAGAAAGGCCCTTATTTGCGAAAGAACTTGTACGCATTACGAGAAGTGCACCATTCTTCAGAAGATGTCCTAGCCAAAGTAAAAAGCGCGACAGCACGATCGAAACTTGCGGGAAAAAAGATGCACAAATGTGACAATTGTGGATCTTTTTTCTCCTCTTCGCAGAACCTGAGAAGTCATCAAAAGGTGAATCTCGAAGGAAGCAAATTGAAGTCAGGTGAGGAATGGCGCTCTAATCACTGTCCGCGCTCCATGGCGAATCCAGCCGTTTCAGCGCCGTGTCGTTACCGGTCGTCCTAGAACTTGTTCTAATTTCGCAACATTTCGATTGAACTTGAGCTCCGTGCGCAGTTATTGTCGTAAAAGTAAATTGGGTGTAGATCGAATAATGCTAGCACGCTGAAAGTCTGTTGAGCTTGCATGCCAAGTGCAATGTATACCCATGATATTGAGAACGTGGGAATTTCACAACAGCAAAGGCATCGCACCGCTTTTTTGTTAGTCATATTTTCGTAGAGTTGAAACAATTTTTCTCATTAGGTTCTTTCGATAAAGGATTTCATCCTAGTTTGCCTCCTTTTGGACTAGATTGTGGCTTGACTTCTATCATCAGCAGACCAGTCTATTTGGACAGAACTCGGAAAGCAACGCCGCGGTAAAGTGGGAATTGCTGGAGCTTCCAAGCTATGAGCAGTTCCCTCCCCCTCCAGAGCATCATTGAAGGGCGGGGCATACTTCACGCGATTTCACGGCGCGATTTGGCAATTTGCCAAAAGTTTTCAGATCCAACATTAGCAAACTGCACATGCATTGTGTGTATAACTTACGTGAATTAACAAAAAGACCCTATCTTCTGCATATTTAAAATGTGCTTACAGTGAGTTATGAACAGTTGGAATACTGTCAAATCGCGGTGCGACTGAAATCGCGTGAAGTATGCTTGGCGCGTAAGACACGCGCCATACTTGATCCGCTTGATCCACTTGATCCCCTTCATCCACTTCACTATTGGTCAAATCAGCAAACTGACCAATAACGAAGTGGATGAAGCGGATCAAACATGGGGCGTCCTAAAGTTCGGAGCGAAAAAGTGAGTGTACGGAGTGTGGAATTCTAACAAGGGAATGGTCAGAAGTCGAAGTGGCCAAACCGAACAAGCTGTATATCATTCGATGCAGTATAAAACGCTGACTTCGAATTTGTCTTTTTTATCTGCTTATCGCTTCCGTGGACGAAGCTACAAGCGGTTTTACTGTGAAAAATAATACATAAAAACAGCAAAATTGAGCACATTGCACTTTTAGCTCAGCTTCTGCCTTTAAAAATTTTAAGTAAGCTAGCTGCATGTTTTGGCCCAGCATTGAGGCGAACGTGGCTCTGTACGACTAAATTTTCAATTTCACGCATAATTTCTTAGCAAAATAATGGTCTTTAATGGCGTATAGCTTCGTCTAGAAAAGCGATAAGCAGGTAAGGAAGACAGATTTAGAATCAGCGTTTCATGCTGCATCTAATGGTATGCAGCTTGTCTCGATTGGCCACTTCGATTTTGGATCATTCCCTAGTAAGGAATTTCCGTACCCCACCATTCTCACTGTATGATCAGGGCACACACCACTTTGATGAAAGGGTCGCACAACAACTCTGCGTCTTCCCCATTTTGCCGACTTTGCTCCACCCTGTGATGCTCATTTTCGAGTAGTGGAACGAACACCTCAATCAGGCGACCCCCCCCCCCCCCGGGCTGCTGGTTACTGTTGTGCATCCTGCTGGGACATGTAGTCCGCGGAGGCAGTGCCTTATTGAGTTGTTCGTCCCTCCGCCCCTCCTTTTCGACATTTTTGTGCTCTCCAAGCTTAATTCTTGAAATCAGTCGAACAGATTAGCGTTAAGCGAGAGGCTAGCGTCAGACTTATCCGCTAATCCCTTAATCAATTTCATCCACTTTCCCCATCGGTGAAATCACTGATCTGACCAACCGGCGAAGAGGATAAATATAAGCGGATAAGCTCGGCGCATACCTAAAACCTTAGTTTGACATTTTGCCGGAACGCCGTCTCTAGAGGCAGTGTTTGGACAAATACGGAGATAATGAGATGGCAGCATAGAGTAGCGTCTGTCCAGAAAATACTTTATCCAAGTTTTATTTCAAGTTTTTGCTTCTGAACCGGACAATTGCTGCAGAAGCTCCGGCGCAGCCGCCTTCCGTTGGTGAGCCGAACATCCCTCTCACTCAGTTACTGCTTTCAAACCTCAAGCTAGAGTGCGCATCTCGCACACAGGTATGATATCATAAGATTCTACAACGAATCTACGCTCAAATACCAGTGGTTCGGCAAAATAGGCTCTTGTCAGATTTTGGTACTGGTAGATAGAAGACTGTACATCGTAGCTCCAACCCCATCTTCCACTTCGTAAAACGATAAGTGCTTGGTTTTGCTTCATAGTTCCACCAGCCCCTCTTACTTTTGCTGAGTGGACGTCAGCGGTGGGACTCTGAAATATATATCCCAGAATTTACGCCCGCTGGAAAGTGAGACAAGGCTGAGGCATACTTGTAGGCTCTGCTTTCTCAGACAATCGACCGAACCCCTCCGCCGGACAGTCCGAATCTGCCAGAGTCGCGCCGGACCCAGTTGACCAATGAGAGAGGGGCAAATGGACGGTCCGTCGCGGTGACATCACTGGCAGGCAAGTGGCAGGGAGGCTTCTCCGGCCCTGCTGCAAAGGTACGCCATTTCTCCGGCGCGACTCTGCCAGATTTGGCGGACTCGCGCCGGAGAAATTTGCCCGGCGCGAGTCCGCCAGATTTGGAAGAGCCGCGCCGGAGAAAATCGGAGGGGTCCGGAGCAGAAATGGGAGGCCTCCGGAGCAGAAATGGGAGGGCTCCGCCGGACAAATGGGAGACCCACCGCTGGGGAAACGCCGCGACCCTGCCATTTCTCCGGCGGAGGGGTCCTATCCGTTGCCTGAGTTCCAACGATACGAAAATCTGGCAAGGTCCATTCTGAGTTTTTAAAGTAGTGTCTCGGCAAAATTCGCCCTGAAGAATACTGGTATGGTGGGGTTTCTGGCCATTCCACTGACCTCCAGTTGCAGTCCGGCTGGTTGATGTCACCCCTGGGCCGAGAAAACAGCCCTTGAACCGCCGCGCAACCCTAGTCGGCGCGCGCTTGGACGACTTCGCTCACTGTTCGTCGTACCCCATGACCGCTCTCATGAATGGTGTAGGTTTTTCAGACTAAGGCACCCGCCATACTTGATCCGCTTGATCCGCTTCATCATTGGCCAATTCAGTGATCTGACCAATAGTGAAGTGGATGAAGATCAAGCGGACAACCGCTTCGTTATTGCTCAATTCACTGAATCGACCAATGACGAAGCGGATCAAGCGGATTAAGCGGGTTAAGTATGGCGGGTGCCTAAGCGAATGTTTTGTTCAGTTGCAAGAGGCGCACAGAATTACCATTAATTTTGCGCGGGACCTGCAGATAAAGCAGGCAATCGAGCGCAGAATTAACGTTACTTCTGTGCGCCTTTTGCAGCTTACAAAATAGTCGCTTAGTCTGGCGCTTACCGTGCATGCTATAAAAATTACAGGCAGCACAGTCTTCGTGCTAGGGCCTCCCAACTTTCCATTTCTCTTGGTAAACACCCTAAAAAAGGTCTTTTAACACGTTTCAAAGCTCAAATTCGGGGTTTACAGGTCGAAAAGGCCCAAAACCTGCAAGAAGATAGAAATACAAGGACTGCGAGGACAATGCCTTAAAAGGCAGTGTACACTCAAAATTTCTCCTCCCATTTTTTGTCATCCTGATGCTTTCCCGTGACCCTGATCACAGTTATGAAATTCAAATTTTTCAAACTCCCCAAAACCGACTCTGGAGGACCCTCTCTTCAAAGGGCGAACGAGTTCCGAATTGCTCGACTCCGTCGGCATGCCAGCGCGGAGCAGCTGCAACTGCAGCGTATAGGCCGTCCGCGCTGCGGTTGGAGAGCAACGCTGTTGCCTCTATTGAAGGCGATCATGACTGGAGGAGGCGCAGAGAAAACACGCGGCTAGAGTGCACGAGCAAAGAGGAGTGACGCGCAATACACACCTTGCGCACTCTCCGCGCCCTGCGCGGACGGCCTATACGCTTACAGCTTACAGGGCTCCTAAATTGCAGAGTCGTTTGCACCAGCGGTCGCGCGACCGCGTCGCGCCCGGGCATCAATGGCGCCGCCTCGATCGATGGCGCCGGCGCCGGCAAATTGCCCGGGCGCGACGCGGTCGCGCGACCGCTAGTGCAAACGACTCTGCAATTTAGGAGCCCTGTACGCTTTACGGATTCGTCCGAAGGAGGCGGTGCGCAAAAAAAATCAGGCGCGTTTTCTCCCTCAGAAGCAAAATTGGGAGACCGGATCAACGCAGTTGGTCTCCTTCTGGGCCCTACATATACACTGTAAGGAGAACTGGGTAGCATGGATTATGGGTGTATGCTGCCTTTTGAACGCCTGAGAAGCCGGCGAATGCTGTTAGTTACGTACATTATCGCAGAATTGTTGGGATCTTTCCAGCAGAACAGCGGAAAGTCTGGGTCCAATTTACACCCCTTTATCAGCATTTCATAGTAATTAGCCGTCAACCAAGCAGTTGATAATGGGTTCCGAGAGTGTAATTTGTGTGGGTGACTCAAACGCTACCATCGCTTCCTCTGAAAACCCTATTCTCGATAAATCTTTGCGTTTAAACGGTCCTCAGTTAGTATTTTCAGCTACAATTTGTGTGTTTCAGGTGGGAATGAAGGCTCTTATCCTCGTGGGTGGGTATGGTACACGATTACGTCCGCTTACATTGACACAACCGAAGCCGCTGGTTGAATTTGCCAACAAGCCCATGATGCTTCATCAGATAGAAGCACTTGCTACTGTAGGAGTAACGAGCGTGGTTTTAGCTGTCAGGTAATTTTTATTTGCTTTCATCACTAAGTGCGCTATCTTCTTCAGTGTAAGAGCGTCAAAATTTGTTATGCGTCACCTTATGAATATAAAATCGTTCCAATTGCCTTACATCGTTTTTTTCTACTTGAGATTAAATGAAAAAGTTTGTCCGACCATCAGGGCGGGTAGTGAATAAGTTTCGAATAAATGGGAATGTCAAAAAATCTGACCATAAGCGACCTTTCAACTTTTCTAGTTACTCAATCCAATTACGAACTTTTACCTCCAGACCACCCTTCTTGTTATACGTCACACACGAGATATAAACAGGGTTGAGCGTGGAGTCAGGCGAGCCCGACTCAGGGGGTCGTATTGAGGGTAAGACTGAGGGAGGGGGTCGTATAATGAATCGAATTTGTTCAGTTGGGGAGACACACTTCGAAGGTGAAGAAGAAACGCGCTAGTCCGGTGGATATCATCACCCAAAGGAATGACAGTCGTTAGCAGCATACTGGTTGTTTCCACAATCAAAGTTAGCCATAATTTAATCTTCATGTTTTACCTTGACAGATCATGAGGTCGACAAGGAAGCTTGCTGTGTGAAATGCTGAATCCTTTCCATAACCAGCATGTCAAATTACCTCCATGCGCCCTACAAACCATTGCCTCTGCTTCTAGTATTTCTCAACGTTCAAAAAGCGTGACTTTGAAACATGATTAAGTTGGTTTCAAAAGTGAATTATGTAAGATTTTCTATACTCACAACAAAGTAATGTTAACTATAAGTCTATGCTACAAATCAGGCTTCATATCGCTTTCAAATAGTGAAGTAAGAAGCGCTGCCAAAATTCCAGCCGGCACGTCTTTCACATTGAGTGCTTCAACTCCTCGGATTGGCACAAGGCCGAAACAAGTCAACTCAAGCTCAAAACTTACTGTTGAATCTTCGAGGGTTGAGCTAACGAATCACATGAAGCTGGGTAGAAAATTCTTCGGAAATAAAGTTAATGGGGTCAGGCGCAACCCCTCAGAAGGTCAGGCCGCCTGAGCTTTCAAGGGGTTGCGCCTGACCCCATTAACTTGCCAGTATTCAAAAATCGCCCCTTTTATAGCATGAGTATTGAGCGCAAAGCCTCTTCTTGCTATAATGAAAATTTGGAGCCGAACACGCCATCTCTGCGAAAATTATTGCTCTGAAAAGAGGGCATCCAGATCCAAAACTTGCTGTCAAGTTGCGTGCAGTTGTGCAATCGCAGAAAGCCGGGTCTACTGTCAAGAAATAGAAACCTGCACTGAAAGCTGGTCTTCTTCAAAATATAACACCCTGAGGACGTGGAGGTGAAGAAGGAGGGGTCGTCTAGGGCTTTCACAGGAGGGGGGGTCGTTTTTGAAGGACTTGTGCCTGACCTCTTGCTCAACCCTGGATATAAATCAGGCCACGTCATACTTGATTCATTTCATCCACTCTGCTTTGGGTCAAACGAGTGAGTTGACTAATCACTTGATCCACTTAGTCCTCTTGATTTACTTCATCCACTTCGCTAACAGTCAGTGAACTGACCAGTAGCAAAATGGATAAGTGAATAAAGTGGACGTCCGCTTCGCCATTGGTCAGCTCACTGATTGGACTAATAGCGAAGTGAATGATCTGGATCAAGCAAAAAGTGGATTAAGTTGCGTGCATAAGGCTGGGTTCATACTATCCGTAAGTTCCGATACAGTTCCAGCACGCTCGCATTGTGCGCTGTGCTGAAACTGTTCCGGAACTTACGGATCACTATGAACCCAGCCTAAGGGCTCAGGCAGAGTTCACGCGATTTGGTCGTCGCGATTCAATCGCTACAAGACAACTGTTACGAGTTCATTGCATGCCGATATTTCTGTATTTCGGTTATGATAGTTAGTCACGATTAATCGTGTTGGAAAACTATCACGGCCGAAATGCAAGAAGATCGGCATGCAATGGTACTGTTACAGTTGTCTTGTCGCGACCAATCGCGACGATCAAATCGCGTGAACTCTGCCCGAGGCCTAACGCACACACCAAGTTGATCCTCTTGATCCGCTTGATCTACTTTATCCACTTCGCTATTGGTCAAATCGGTGGACTGACCAGTAGCGAAATGGATGAAATGGAGCAAGGAGACATCCGCTTCGCTATTGGTCAGTTCACTGATTCAACCAATAGCGAAGTGCATCTAGTGAGCTAGCAGATCAAATGGGCGCTATTCCAGTATCCGGGCCCCAAAATTTTTTTGTCGTGGATTCTGTCGAAACTTGGCCCGGGGGGTTATTCGACCCGCTGATGTCGAATATCATATTGGTTTTGTACGGTAGCGTCATTTTCTCGTGTTACGGTGGGTATACGGTAGGGGGTCAAAATCTCAAAATCCGCTGTAACTTCGCACAGAGGGTTTATTCGATATGCTGATTAGAAATGTCACACTTTCTCTGCACGAAAACGTCTCCCCGTATGGTTACGGTAGGTTTACGGTAGGGGTCGAAATCACAAATCGGCAAATGTGTCTTTCCCCTGTGCTTTGCTTAGGCAAAAGCCGCAGCAGGGTGTGTAGCGCGCGACGGTGGTCGTGTGTGCAAAGCTTCACGATTGTCCGAGTCGCCATACACTTGCTTCAGGCAAAACTTTTTACACCCGTTGCAGTGTAGCTACCGTAACTCGAGAAAATGACGCTATGGTTCAAAACCAATGTGATATTTGGCATAAGCTGGCCGAATAACCTCCCTTGGCCAAGTTTCAGCAAAATCCGTGATTTTGGCCCCCTACCGTATACCCACCGTAACCTTACAGGGAGGCGATTTCTTGCGGAGAAAATATGATATTCGTGATCAGCATGTCAGATAACCCCCCTAGGCCAAGTTTCAGCGAATTCCGTGATTTTGACCCCCTACCGTTTACCCACCGTAGCCCGAGAAAATGACGCTACCGTACAAAACCAATATGATATTCGACATCAGCGGGCCGAATAACCCCCCTGGGCCAAGTTTCGACAGAATTCACGACAAAAAAATTTTGGGGCCCGGATACTGGAATAGCGCCCTCAAGAATTTCTTAAAAAGGGAACAAGATTCAACTTCTTATGAAGTCTTGAAGATCATTCTAATCGTAGAAGTTTTCGTGAAAATAAACATTTTGCATTCTCGGGATCTTGAAGTGGTATACTACATGCCGCGTTTTCTACCATTTTTTAGCTATCGTGCAGAGCAGTTAGAGCAGGAGATGAAGGTGCATGCCGAAAGATTGGGAATCCAAGTTCACTTTTCCCTAGAAGAAGAGCCACTAGGAACTGCAGGACCGTTAGCTTTAGCAAGGTTTGAGTAGAACATTTTATAATGTGCTAGCACGCGTATCCGAATTTCATTGCTCACTAGGCAGTATCTGGATGGCGATGAACCTTTTTTTGTCCTCAATTCTGATGTGATCTGCGAATTCCCCTTCCAAGAAATGATTGATTTCCATTTATCCCATGGATCGGAAGGAACAATAGCTGTAACACAGGTTTGTTCTATGATTATCATTAGCGATCACATGCATGCTACATTTTTGTGTTCTTAGGTAGAGGAGCCATCGAAGTACGGTGTGGTTGTATTCGACGAGCGCAGCGGGATGATTGCGGAATTCGTGGAGAAGCCACAGGAATATGTGGGCAACAAGATTAATGCCGGGCTCTATATGTTCAATCCATCTATTCTCGATAGAATACCACTACGTCCCACGAGTATTGAAAAAGAGGTAAAGCTATGAAACCTTTGCTGCTTAATATTCGTCCATGAACGCAATCTGTCAAGGTATTTCCGAAAATGGCAGAATGTAACAATCTGTACGCTTTTGTGCTTTCTGGTTTCTGGATGGATGTGGGACAACCAAAAGACTTCCTAAAAGGTAATTTCGTCAAAGTGCGTCATAGAGATGTAAGATTCCTATTCAGGGATATCGCTTTTTCTTGAACATAAGAGGAGAACAGATCCCTCATTCCTTTCCAAAGGCGACTCAATACATGGAAACGTTCTCATCGACTCCACGGCTAGTATTGGAAATAATTGTCGCATAGGACCCAATGTGGTAAGCTTATTTTCGACACTTTTTGTTTACCTATCTCAGTCACACGTGTAGCGCATAGCAGCGCTTATTGCTGACATGGCTTATGTTTACACTGCTTCGCGATTGTTTTGATTAAGCTGTTCAAGAGTTCATCGCTTGCACACAGAACATGCCGATTTTTTCCGAACAATTTCAAACCTTTGCCACTTTAGTATAAAGTGCGGTTCATAATTATACGAACACCTTAAATTTTGAAAATTTTTGGACTTTTTAGAAGAAACTCAAAAAGCCGTTGGTACCACGCGATAGAGCACAGCCGAAAACGGTATATGATCCATAAGAATAGAAATCGATGTCAATCTTAGGAGTGTTTTTGCGCCTAATGCGAATTTTGAGCGGTTCATAATTATACGAACACCTCAAACGAAGGCCCATTTTTTATTCAAGATTGCAATCTTTCGAGTCCAAATTTTTTGTAGAGTTACAGTAACAAAGTCTGAAACATCCGCTACACACTGAACCCAGTGCAGTTCAAAAATAGGATCTTTACTTTTTTCAGATGGCTCTAAATGCTTTTGGAGTGATTGCGTTCCAAAAACATCAATTCTTCTGTAATTCACGCACTCTAATTAGCTTTTACCAAGGTTATGAGATAAAATAAACTCCTTCGATAGGTATTTTGTTTGACGCTTGGAAAATCTATGCGTTTTCGTGCCGCCTTTCAACCAAGTTCCAACCTTACCCTGAAGTTAGCACGATTTCGAGCCTCAAAACTCAGCTTTTCTCCCGCGCAAACACTTGATATGAAGCAGCTGCATTGTTTGCATGATGATGTATCCATGTCAAAGCTTTTGGGTTTTTTGTAGAACTGATCTTGAGGCTATGTAGCTACAAACCAAATAAAGGTGTGACTGCAATAGTAAAAACAGTGGTCTTGGTGAAATGACGTCTGCGTGGCCGAAACAAACGCTCAATGCTGCTAATTTTTTCTAGCCAAATACATTGTCTTGTGAACTTCTACATACTATAAGCTTACTTCATTGTAGGGCTTCAGAAGCTGAGTTTTGAGGCTCGAAATCGTGCTAGCTTCAGGGTAAGGTTGGAACTTGGTTGAAAAGCGGCACGAAAACGCATAGATTTTCCAAGCGTCAAACAAAATACCTATCGAAGGAGTTTATTTTATCTCATAATCTTGGTAGAAGCTAATTAAAGTGCGTGAATTACAGAAGAATTGATGTTTTTGGAGCGCAATCACTCCAAAAGCATTTAGAGCCATCTGAAAAAAGTAAAGATCCTCTTTTTGAACTGCACTGGGTTCAGTGTGTAGCGGATGTTTCAGACTTTGTTACTGTAACTCTACAAAAAATTTGGACTCGAAAGATTGCAATCTTGAATGAAAAATGGGCCTTTGTTTGAGGTGTTCGTATAATTATGAACCGCTCAAAATTCGCATTAGGCGCAAAAACACTCCTAAGATTGACATCGATTTCCATTCTTATGGATCATATACCGTTTTCGGCTGTGCTCTATCGCGTGGTACCAACGGCTTTTTGAGTTTCTTCTAAAAATTCCAAAAATTTTCAAAATTTAAGGTGTTCGTATAATTATGAACCGCACTTTATTTCTTGGCTACCCTGATTTTGATGAAGTACAGTACTTTCTTAACCGTTGTGTAATATCTTGTTCATCTGCCTTGTTTCTTCAGTGCTTCCATACTCAGGTCACATAACGTATTCACGAATCTGTTCCCTTTTTTAGAATGTATGTGTCTTCTACACTGTCTAATTGCGAAATTTCAGTAATGACCTTTGGGCAAGAATGTGCATAGCGAAAGCGGTACACTAGTAAATTGCCATCAGTTACTACGCTCATTTAGGTCATTGGTCCCAGAGTTCGTATAGAGGATGGTGTATGCTTACGACAGTGTACTATATTATCTGATTCGATTATCCATACTCACTCATGGATAAATCAAACAATTGTTGGTCGAAAGTGCTCCATCGGACGATGGGTGCGCATAGAGAACAATTGTGTCATTGGAGACGATGTTGTAAGTTGTTCCAGTCGAATTCGCAGAGCTTAGGCATGTCTCATACAATTCAGGTAGTAGCCGACGAGTTGTATCTCAACGGGGCACAGGTTTTGCCTCACAAGTCAATCTCAAGTAATGTTCCTGAACCTCAAATCATCATGTAGTAAGAACCCGATTTTGGGATTGTAAGCACTTTCGGGATGGTCTTTTGTCAAAATTCATTCCATTGGTATAGTCATTGTGATACCTGCTGTGATTTCTATTATATATGCCATTTTTTTCGCTTTTGAAGTGAGAATTGCCTTAATGCTCTTTGGATGCGATATGCCTCAATTATCATTTCTGTTAGGATTCCACTGTTCCATGTTGATAGGGGTGGTATGAACCGTGCAATTGTTATCATCTTTGTTGTTCTCCTTTTTATTTTATGTTGTTACTGCTTCTAATTTATTATCAACAATGTTTTTATCCAAGTTTACTTTGATGCTGGAAAACGGTCGTTACCCTTATCGTAATCTCAGACTTTGAAAAACTGAAAACCGATCACACGTTCATTATAGTAACAACCATACTCTGTTATTAGTTTCAAACTTTTGCGAGGAAATCGCTATGCCCTTGTAGGTCCATCTAGTCCTTCCATGTCACTAGCACTGTGGCATGCAGCGTTCCAGAAGCAACAGTCAAATGTCCAACATGGTAATGGTAAATATACATCCATCACGATTTAGACAGCCACAAGTACAAATGGATACGCCTTTGTAGAAGAACTATATCTGGCGTAGCATGAACTCGGTCACCAGCTCTACCGATGCTGAAGATTGGCTCGATTTATCCGACACTGTTTCCCTCCCCTCACTTTCTCTCGATGACGTACTGAACGAGGTAATTGATCTGCATCTCACGAGCTTCCTTTAACAACCCTTTCGATCTTACCAGCGTAATACTTAGATGCTCTTCCGCGCTAAACATGTGCAGTCTAGCAGAATTGACTGTTAGTGTAGTCTCTGGGTGCCGAGAGCGAATTTGATGGCTGGTTTACATACTGCCTGCACTTGTCGCATAGCTTTTCGATATCGCAGGGGCGGTACAAGGTCAAGCTAGAAATTTGCAGGCACACGACACTGAATGTGGTGTTGTATCAGGATACAGAAGCGCTAGGATATAAAGTAGAAGGTTTCAAGCCTTGAATAAGAACGCTAGTGGGTACAGTTTTACTCGTATTTTGTTGCGCAACACGATTAACAGATGTCTACTTCGAGACTGCAGCAGACTGCAGCTGACTGCAACGGTCGCAGCATCTTCACGTGAAAAGAAAGAACGACCGAAACACTTTGAGTGACGGCTAGGAAATTCAAAAGTGTCGATTTCTCCCTCTTTAGTCAGATTTTTCTTTTTTACGCGATTACGGCCGCAGCGGTCAATGCGGTCGGCTGCAGTCAGTACGGCAGTATGAATCAACCCTTATGTGGAGACTATCGCCAACCTTTAGAATTCATGTATTGAGCCACTATATGGACTTATTACTAGCATCAAACAGACCGGGACTGTGTTCATCTTCATAGGTTATGCATTTCGCTGCGAGCAGGGACTGGGCGCGTTGCGTTTGTTCAAGGTAGTTCTTGTTTGTGAAAGACATTAGACGGTTAGAGGAATGAAATTGCGTTCATCGAGTGACATTTTTCACAAATCAGTTTTCATTGCTCAGGTCATCGCGCCGAGTCCTGAACAAAATTTCTCGTGCAGTAAACATGGATCCAAGAACTTGAAGACATGACTTCTGTCTAAGGCCCCGGTCAGACTTCACGCGACTTAATCGTCGCGACTCAATCGCCAAGATTTCCATTCATTTTCATTTCACATTCAAGAATTTCGGGCTGGAAAAGTATCACAACCGAAATGAAAGTTGATCAGCATGGAATGATGTTGTAACAGTTGTCTCCTCGCGATTCAGTCGCGACGATCAAATCGCGTGAAGTCTGCCCGGAGCCTAAGAGTAAGATAGCTAATGCGTATTCACTCTAAGCCGCTAGAATGAATTTGACTAACAAGTGATAACCCTCAGCAAAAATTTACTTGTGTGCTGACGTTCAGGTGAGCCATCTCGATGACGAGCCATTTGGTAGTGGACTGTCAGAAGATGTAGGGATCACCCCGTCTCCGATCCCTGTACCATCAAATTATAAACTTGACAACGCTGTAAAGGCAGTTCGGCTTGGTATGTAAAGCTTTCATAAGACTAATAGACATAAGACTAACGCAATTTCGGTGAACACAATCTGCCTACATAATCTCATGTTCCAGAGTCTATATCACATCAACTGGTATCGTTTCGGGCTAAAAACGGGTCAGCGGTGGCAATTGCTCATAGTGGTAATCACACCGCTGTAGCGACAAGCAAGGGATCATTACTCATCTTTGATGTAGAGGTGATTACGCGTTACTTAATAGTATGTCATCATCTTTACTAGTAACTGCCAGGGTCGCTTGGAGCGATTTTGGTCTGGTGGTGATGCAGATGGTTCGGCATCATGTGTTGCATTTTCCGAGGGTGGAAAACATGTTGCAGTTGGTTACAGCAAAGGTTTTGTCAAGGTGTAGCGATAGATACCAAACCAACATAATATGATCTTTTATCCCGTTTAGGTAATCAATGTGAGTAGCGGAGCAGTTGAGGAGCTGATTAGAGAGGCAGTTCAAATTGGTCGTGGAGTATTGCAAGTCCTCTTTCTTGACTATGGTCGATCTATCCTCACTCTGGATAGCGGAGGATCTGTTTTTGAGATACATGTCCGCAGCAGATTCCAAGTTAGGAAGCCAAAGGTAAACAGCTTTCTTCTTGTGTCGATGCATACTTCCAGCATATGATCTATTTATCACTGATTTTATCAGATACGCTGCATATTTTCGGGGTGCAACGGTGAAGTGCTTCATATGAGACTGTTGGGCCACTCCTTGCTTGCATTGCTGACTGTTTCAAAGGTACATGAGCAATCATCTGCGAGTTATTGTTATTTCTGTTTCTTCAGATTCTCGTGGTATCTACGAGGATGGGTGGATCTATTGTTTGTGTTTTTCCTCTTGAAATAAACACACGTTTTCCACCACTGCTCGACTATTTTGAGGTATAAAAAATTCCATCGATTAGCAAGTGTGTTGTTATCTACATCAACTAGGAGAGGAAAACAAATGGAGCGCATGGTGATCTACGAGTGTGTGTGGGTAGAGGGCAAGCACTCACTTTGTTCAGATTGTTACCACGCAATGTTGGTACGCCTCAGAAAGCTGCCGTACTACTGCACAAAATACAACTACCACAGGTATATATGTTTTCTCTACTTTGATTTTCTTTTCTACTTCAGCTTTTTAGCTTGCTGTAAATCTTAGTTTTCTGTCGAGGAACTTCTTGATTGCTTTCGATGAAAAAGGAAATTGTATGAGCGTAAAGGATAACAAATGCCTGAGTGCTTTGGATGGCAGTGGTTGTCGAGTTCCGCTATTCTTTTCCACATCAGATTACAAGGTGAAACTTTGTTTGATCATATCGGGTCATAAAGCAAATAAATCCATCAGGGTTTGACCACCGGCGGCAATGTGAGTCCTGCTATGCAGTGCTTGGCCGACAGAGCTTGTTATCAATCCATCTGCAAACGCCGCTCTCACCAATCAGTCATAGTGCTTTCTCATGATGAACTGTATGAATTGAGCATGTTATCTGAAGAGGATCAGTTAGAGCTCTACCAATCGCGGTACGCCTTCATCTATCGAGAATGAGTCAGCTTAGCTCTCATTGGGTCGTAGCCTAGGTGTTTAGAGGCGACTACGTATCCGCGTGCTTATACCTTCTTGATATATACCGTGGGCGGATAAATGCTGAAAAGGATTTCAAGGAACGCCTTCCGCGGTATCTTTCCGAGCATTTGCGACATTTAGTAGACTTGGCAATGGACGGCTGCAAAGAGGGCAAAGTATCAGAGCTTGTTGCACATTATAAAGTGAGTGAAATGAGCAGTGACTTTCATGTGATACGGGTACTGCAGGCCTACATATCAATACTTTTGACTGTATCTGTAGGAACAAAAAGCTTCCAATGTCTGTATGAAGATATTTGGCCAAGGTGAGTTTTAAACGTTTTGCTTATTTTGTTCCAATAATTAGAACGAAATCAGAGTGGAGCGTGATGTGATATCGCGATCCATTTTCCTTGAATCTTTGGATGAATTTGTACTGGACGGTTCTCTGGAATCTCCACCTCCGGCTCTTGTTTCGGAGTATTTGAGTCACTTAGCCTCAGAAGGTCACTTTTCGCAACTCCAATCCTCAGTTGTTCGCTTTCCGATCGAATGTATTGATATACATTATGTAAGACTCACTTTATCTTGCTTTCATGTTAAAATGCTGATTTCATCCTTCAGGTCATGTCTACCTGTAAGCAAAATGGTCTTTATGATGGTATAATTTATGTTATGAACAAAGCATTTGGTGATTACCTATCACCATTGGAGGTCTGTTGCTAGTTCCTACTCTATCTAAAGAACTTTTAAGCTTTAAATTTGGGCTTTTACCCATTCTCTTCCCTTTTGATCTTTTTTTTTATTAGGAGATGCTGTCTGATGTCTCATCTTTCGCATCTCATGAGGTGTTGTCGGATGCGGAAGTGGAAAGAGGCAACCGTCTTCTGCTTTACTTGCACTGCTGCCTTACAGGGCATGCCTATCCGTACGGCACTCTTCCTCCAGAACTATCACATTCCATTCCCGAAGAGGTAAATTTTGCAAGTGCATGATCACACCAACATCTTATGGTTAGGTCTACCGCTGCATCACGTCACTGAAAGGAAAGGACGGAACTTCGACAACAGCAAATTATCCTTATCTTCGCCTCCTGCTGCTGTTTGACGCACAACAGGTAATTCACAATTACAGACCTCTTGTAGGAGTATTTTTTGCCGCGAAAATTCCGCTGGCTTCACCATAATTAAGTCTTATTCCCACAGATATCGCAAGTTTCCTTCAGCCTTTGTGCACGAATCAACCTTTTTCCGGAATCTCTTCCGGAGGAGTTAGAAAGTAGTGCAATCTGCTTACTGTACATTACGATAGCCATGGTTGGGATATAGCTCCAACAACTCCGGCTATCTTCTTCTCATCACAAAAGCCACGTTATCATAAATTAAAAAAAATCTCCATGGCCTTTTTAGTTTATACACATGATCGGGACGTGTGCGGACGCTGTTGTTTTTCAAAGTGAAAATAGATTGCAAAGGCTTATTGAGATTGTAAGTTGATACATTTCCACTCTCAAGCGTTATTGCATGTTCCAAGTTATTTAGATTGGTCGTCTGTCAGCGGAAATGCGAGATGAAAGCGCACTTGTACAGTTTCTATTGCTTATCAGCCAGCTAGCAGAAATCAGTAACATTATAACTCCCACAGAGATCGTCGAAGATGTAAGACGCTTTTGTGTGGGCTTGTCGAGCTGAGCATTTTTCCTGCATTGTTTAGATTGTCACCACTCTTATGCGAATGGATTGGCATCACCCATCAGCGGAATTTGCTGTTGTGGAGACGCTACGAACTACACCACAGATTGACAGAGGAAGTATCTTGAGGATGGCTACATCTCCCTTCAGGTACTAGCTGACACCGTATGAGTTGTGGTACGATCCTTAATTTTTCTCCAGGAAAGGTGTCTGCACATTTATCTACTGTGGAGAAAGGAAATTCGTGGAGCTTATTAGGAGTTTCATGCGACATGGCGATCACGAGGTGGGCTTTTTGCTGTTTTGATGTAAGCTACATATATCCATGCTTCTTTAATGTGCATGAATTTTTCAATCAGTATCCTGTCCTATTCTATTCCCGTGATATCTGCGGTCCTCGGAGCACATTTTTCACAGAGCTTCTGTTGTGTCAATATAGAACTGAGGGAACTATAGCTGAACTATAGCTGTTCCTTAGTAAAGTACTACTGCTATAGCTGAGAACAGATCCTCATTCATTGACCTTTTGTTTGATGGCATAATATTGGCCATAGCTATACTCGAATCTAGTGATGTAGGAGACCTCAAAAATCTCTTGGTGGCAGTGAATAAAACCAGCTCACTTTTTACAGAGTGCCTTTTTTTGTAAACTTTCTAGTTTGTGTTTTGGTCTTTACCGATTCTCTCCAGGGCATCTTCGCCGTTATTCGTCAAATCTTGCGAGCAGATTTATCCGAGATGGAGTTACAAGAGGTATCGAAAGTGGTATTTGAAGTGATTCCTGTGAGTTTTATAGCTTATTCTCGTGTTTTTTTTCATGTTTTGTCCACTTTTGATCTTTGGAGTGTTCTTTCTAGCATCTGGTTAGCGTGAATGCTGAAGAATGCGCTCGTTTGGTGATTGAATGCATGCCTAACTACATCAGTGAAATCAGACCGCACACAGAAGCAGAGAGGAATGCCTGCTACCCCCTGTTAAAAGCTGCATTCAAAATCAAGTGCGGCGTTGGAAAAACTATTGTAAAGATTACAACAGTCAATTTTAGACGGGAAAATCATGAAACCTTTATGCAAACAGATGAAGATGTTGAGGATTTTTTGTTCGGGATAGTTTTCGAAGGTATGGTGCAGGAGAAATCTGAAAATCTAGATGAACTTTTACAAGTAAGCTTACCTCATTTATCTGCATTTTGATCCTTCCTATCTTTCCACAAACAGCTACTTAGGACTGGTTACTTTACTGGCTGCCCACTGGCTCAAGGACAGATTTCTGTTTGAATATCGCAGCAGCTGCTGAATGCGTGAAAAGCATGATATTATTGATGGAAGCTCGTGGTTTGCTGGCCGATGCTTTTGAAGTGCTCTTCAAGCAAATACAGGAAAGCAAGAAAGATCAGCACCGATTTGGTACTGTGCTACTTCATCCTTGTGATATTTTCATTGCAAAAAATGTGCTTAGTGTATTGGCTGGACAAGGGTCTCACCTTCTGCAGTTCACACTCTAACTTCTCTCATTCGCGAGGATGGCTGCTGAGAATCATGCGCGCAGTCACAGGAGCTGCAGTTGAGGAAAATGCCGTAGGTGGGTACGATTCCAGAGAATTTATAGTATACATATTGCATCAGAGAAACTGCAATATTCATAATAGCGAACAGAGTAGAAAACTATACTAGTTCCAAATTTGATTTGTTGATATCAGGGTCATCTCCTATCTTTAATGTTATGAACCAGAACTTTCCCATCAGGCCATGTTCCTCTCACCCTTTCATCAGTCTGTGTTCTAGATGTGGAATTCCGGTTGCGTTCTCTAGCGAACGGAATTCTTGAAAATGGATCAGAGAATTCTTTAGAACTCGTTGAATGCTTGTACGATTATCCCTCATTCAAACAAGGCGTACTGAGGTGAGTGCATTAGATATTGGCCACATTTATCTTCTCTTCATTTCTAGCGACTACTCTTCTTTGATCTACAAGATACTGGGCACCTGCTCTCACGAGACTTTCTTGATGAAACAGCTCCTTTTGTGCATAGTAGGATCCACGCATTCTACTATACTGATGGACTAGCAGTAACTTCTTTTCAGAATGAAGAGAGCTCTGAGGATATGCATTTTCTCGGAGCCGAACTATGCCGAAAAGTCCCTGACGTTATTGAAGGAAAATGTAGAATTTGTCGCTTGTCCGTAACGAAAGCTGCATACATTTTCAGGTACTAGCTGCTTATGTCAGGATTCTAAATTGAGGCATATTTTACAGCTGTGGGCATACAGTTCACATGGAATGTGACAGTGGCGAGCGACAGTGCCCATGCACTGCGGCCAAGAGCAGACTCGTTCGAAATCAGCAAGAACTTAACGCATCAGTCTTGGACCCACTCTGCCGGCGAAGGTTACGAGACACTAGGGACATCTTCGATAAGTGGGATGAAACGATGATGCTTACGCCGCATTAGGATGTCACTTACTGGTGGTGCAGATGACATCTTCAGCTTACCAGTAAAACTTCTGCAACAACACTGAGCACTGCGTCCAGCTAAGACGGCGCTACTTTTCCTCCGCTATTGAGCCTTACAGGAGGTATCATCCTCAGTTAGGTCAGCTTATTTGTATTATAGTTGCTAGATTGTTTCTTAATTACAGATTTATATGATTACAGATTTATACAGATGTTACTTCACTATACATACTTGCTGAATGTTATTCACTGGCCTTATCAATGATAATATGATTGCGGGTTTCCACATGTGATAAATATCCGTCTAGATCGATTGCGAATTTAACGAGTATTGAATTGAACATTGATAGGAAGACATATGCAGTATGAGAGCTGGTTATAACTCCTTTCGAGTTTATACGGAACACTCGGGTGATGATGATCGGAATTCGCGGTATTATTTTGTTCACATGTTACATAGCAACAAGAGAAAGTCACATAATAGTTGAAGTTTTCTTCCCATGTGGGATTTATACTATCAGGAGTTACGAAATTTGAACGAGCGACAAATAAAATAGTCTATTGCGGATACTAGAGACTCTTGGGCGGTTTTGCCCGTAACGAGAATACAAGTACAAAGGACGGTGGTTCAGGATTTATTAACGAGAGTTAAGAAGAGTACAGCGAGTATGCGAGCAGGAGAACGGTACGTTTCTGTTCCACGGTAAATATGCAAGTGAAGAGAGGGGAGTAAGTTCGGCCACGCCTATCTCGGCGTGACCTAAGGTCGCGTCGGAGCATCATCATCGGCACGATGATACAGTCGTTAGATTCTTCTTAAGGCTTAGTCGTAAGCTTGGATATAATGCGCGGAAGTCATTGCATACGTAGCCCAAAACGCCACTGCCTTAGTTGAGCGCCTGTTAACTCTCAATTATATGGACTTCTTCCGAATTAACGTGGTACACCTTAACGAGTTTATAACCAGAGTGCTGGTATTTTCAAGCATCAAAACATAACGCTGCCAATGTCAAATGCTGATATCTGTGTATCTCGTCTCAGATAATCCTAGATTATTGTTTAAATCCAATCGTCAGAACTATCTTTCCTTTTTTCTTTTTGGTTCTTAAAAACGGTTTAATAGAAAAATAATTCTATATAGACAGCGTTTTGGTTTCTCCTGCCTTCAGAAACTAAACAACAAATAAGAACAATTTATGAAAACAATCAACAACATTTCTTTATTCAGCGCCCCTTCTTGACTTGAGCACTTTGGAAACAATCTTTTGCTCTTCAAGTAGGAAGGAACGGATGATGCGCTCCTTGACAGCATTGGGTGAGAGGCAACCACCATAAGTGCGCGAGACCGTCCTCTGGTTTTTCTTCAGCCTGGTAAGCTCACGTGGGCGAGCAGGTGTGATCTAAAACCATAAAATGGCTGACGCTTGGAAGCATTTTTCTTACACTTCCACAGAATCGATTTCTGTTCGACTGCAACTGAAATCAGTATACGTGCCATGCTTGAAAGCAAAGGACTGAGAACAAAATGATGAAAGTTGGTTTATTAGCCAAAACTTTTGTATTGCTAGATTTTGGTGTAGGAGTATAAGATGATTGTGATTATCTGTCCCAGAATTCGATACTCAAAATTCACGACTTCTTCACCAAGCAACCCGCCCGAAAAAAGCGTTGGGCAAACCATAATGAATGCGTAGAAATAATCACGAGAACATTCAAAACGATTCCTGTGTTAACGACCTATGGTATAGGAGTCCCAATAAAGCCTTTCAAAAGCCAGGTATTTTCGAGAGAGCAACGAAAAAGTTGTTCATGAATGCTAAAATGCTAAATGCTTGGTGCTAAAAAGACATTAAATAAGAATAACGATGAGTAGTGACAAACTGACATTTCTCTAGTTACTCAATCATCGCGTCTTTATTTCAATTTCAGTTCTCGCTAAAAACACCAACAAAACTGCAGCGTTCCTCCTGGAACAATTCTTCCTTTTTGTGCAGTTGAAAGTTTTATCGATCTTATCATATCCTAGCGTCAAATGCGCACAAACTTTCAACACTGCTCACACTCCCACGCGTGCTGGCGACTTCTGAGAGATAATAACTGCTATATACTCCTCATCGGATAACCGTGGGCTTCTCGGGTCTTGGGCTAACCTCGCGTAAGTCGCATTCTGTCAGATGTCTTCAAATCTACCATTATTAAGTTGAAAACGCACTCTGTGTATAACTTCCTACAAGGGGTTCAAAAAGTTATGTGGCTGTTTTTAAAAAGTCTTAAACCACTGCTATGTTCGGGCCGCTGCTCTCGAATCCTATTTTCATCTGCTAAACACCTACTCAAACGAAATTAAGTTATATTGCAAAAAGTGTATACAAATATACAAATCCAAGTTTGGCTGGATGCTGTGCCAAATCAGTAGGTAAGTTACCTTAAAGAATCAATGAATGTGAACTAGAAGGGCATTCATGGTCTTATTCTGCGAATCGCGTGCATGGTCTCCCCGCAATGCTTGCTTGAAGTGGTATCGAGCTTGCAATGGTCACTTCGACTTCTGCTGGTCCATGTGTATGAACTACGCTTGAAGAGCTAAGAACACTTAGAGCACTGCTAAATTGGGAGAAATAGTGCCAGGTATGCCCATGACCGGCTCCACGTCTGAAGTCAATCGCGCAAGAAATTTTTGTCGCTAGAATAGAAGTGTAGAAGAAAAATTTCGCCCATTTTTTGCGGCGCATTTGGCCCAAGCAAATTCCCGCGAGAAGCTCGATAACGCTGGTTCTGGCTGAGATCGTGTAGCACTTGCGACATATTCGCGCAGGCTGTGGCTTCTGACCGTCCCCTTCAAGGACTACACAAGACTTGTCAAGATCTAGACAAGCTCTACAATTCCACGCAAACCTGCGCAGGCACTTCGCAACGGTAGTGTTACGGAAGGGAACTTCATTAACAAAGATTGTACTCAATTGGCCATCAGTATCTTCCTCAATTTGCGGGAAAATCGTTCAAATATACGACTGGCAACTAAAGCAGTTTAGCTGACTTTATCCTACTTCGCTCGGCATTCCCACTGTTTTGCGGCAAGTTGTCCAGTATCATGGTTTTCCCGACGGACGCAAATAAGGCACTGTTACGTCTCTGCATAAACCGTTGCAAACATTACTCAGCACTATGCGCAGCTGATGTATAAGGAACCACAACAATCTTCTTGCATGCTCATGCTCCGGATCATTTCAAAAAAGTCAAGCCAATATTCCACTTAATACAACGCAAAAAAAATGAAAAACACGGATATTCGCTTGAGGGAATTATTCGACCTGCTGATCACAAAAATGAAATCTGTTTTGCATAATGGGGCTTTCTTGAAGAAGTTACTGTAGGCGGTATGGGGTAAAAATCTCAGAATTCGCTAAAACTTTGCGTAGGGGGATATTCGACATGTTGACCACGGATATCATATTCATTAACCACGAGAACGCCTTAGGGTGGCGTTACGGAAGGATTATTGTATGGGTCAGGATCTCAGAATTTGCTAAAACTTTGCGTAGGGGGTTATACCACTTGCTGATCACAAATACCACACTTTTTCCGCACGAGAACCTCTCTTTGTATGCTTACAGTAGGTATATGGTATAAGGGGTCAAAACCTAGTCTGTCTTAAATTCGTGCACGAGTGTTATCTGATGTGCTCATCACGAACACCGCTCTCATTTCGCTTATGAACCCTTCTCTTAGATTTTTAAGTTCTTAATTGGTCCGAAAAGCAGCAAGAATGCTTATCTAAACTCTGCAAATTGCCATACTCCACAATGAAGCGTTGTTGTAGCAAGCAAACCTGATACCCGTCATCAGCATGCTTGAAAACCCCTCTGGGCAACAATTTGAGCAAGCTTGGAATTTTCACCCACCTACTGTATATCCAGCGTAACTCGAGGAAATGCCGCTACCGTACAAAGTCAATATAATACCATGTTCAGCGTGCTAAATAACCCCTCTACACCAAATTCCAGCCAACTCTAGATTTCGCCCCTAACGTACACCTATCGTACCATACAAGCAGATGATTTCGTGCAAAAAAGTGTAATATTCGTGACCAGAATGTCGAAAACCTCCCCACGCAAAATTTTACCAAATTCTGAAATTTTGACCTCATATTGTACTACCTAACCCTCAAAAGGCCCCGCCATACAAAATAGAATCATTTTTGTTTTCACTTTAAAATCACCCCCTTAGGCGAGTTTTGACCAAGATCCGTGATTGTCAATTTTTGGGTTATATTAAACGGAATAGCGCCGGCACTTTTCCAACTTCTAGCCACAAATGTCGTATATTCATTGGAAAAGCAAAAACGAGCCGAACTTATCAGGAAGTCCAAGCGATGGGAAAGTTACTATGATAGTTCACTGATCTTCAACTATTATGATTAAGAACGTAGGGAAGTAACAGTGGCAAAAGCCAAAATGAATGGAAAGAGGTTCAAGTAAAAAAAACAACTACTCTTTAACCTTAGGCGACATTGTAGTAAAACACCAAAATAAATATAAAAAATAAGGAAAAACGAATAAAATACTGCATATAGTAATAATCAACTATGACTTACACCATGAAGCTTGACGCCAGTGTCCTTGCATTTTGGAACGGATCCGCGCTTCTTCAAATATTGGAAAACAAGGCGACCTCCGGGAGTCTTAACAATTTTGGCTTTGTTTGACTTGGTGTTGTACGAGAGCCGGCGCCTATAGGTGACTCGTTGAGCCATATTACCTAGAATGCATACAACTGCTTTAAAGAAAACTGAAAACAAAAGTCACTATAAATCGATGGAAGGTTACGCATAGATGTTGCGCGCTCAAACCATCTGAATGAAACGACTTAGATGATTTGTACAAAACAAAAGAGTTCTCTGAGAAAGCCTGGTCAAACAAAATATGATCACAACACTCCAAAGTGCCAAAAACAACAAAAATCTCAAATTCTCAATGTAAAATTCTTAGGCCAAGAGAGATGACGGATACTGTAGCTTTGCGTTTGATGTGCCGAGCGCGCCAATTTGAACGCCTCATTTGCGCGAGAATCGATAGGAGAACGTGGGGCCTTGTGAGGAAAAAGAGGAAAGAGTTAGGGATCGATCATCTTGGATATCTCAGCCAAAAGTGCACTCCATTTGCTTATCCCAAACTTCGTTAGACTGATTTCCCAAACAAACTTGATCCATGGTAGATTTGAAGTGCAGTAACTCTGATTCCTTGAAACTATGACTCCTCGAGCTAATTGAAACTAATTTTCCAGAGAATGCAACCATGAGCAGTAGGCGCAGACTAGTCGAATGATATGCCTTTCGTGCTAGTTCTTCGTTCGAATTTCGCTCCATCGAAGAAACTCATCTCTTATAGTCATAAACAACATTGTTTATTCCACAGACACCAGTTCATGAGCAGCTTTTTCACTGCCTTTTGACGGCTTCAAAAAGACCCTTTTTTGTGCTTAAGGAGCTGTAAAAAGAGTCATTCTAATGCAGTGGTATTGGTATGCTGAGAGGAGCAGAACTAACACAGATAAGGGAATATTTGCGTTTCAAAAAAACTAAGGAATGAGTTTCGGATGGAAGCGAGCAATTGTTTGAGCATGTAACAAATCACTTAAACGGAACTACTTGATATTTGATATTTTTGAAGTCAAAATTTCGATTATATTCAATTTCTCTCAGTTTCATCGAATTGTGTAAAATTGTAGCGAAACTTCAGTCCTCGGAAACTTTCATTTATTCGAGTAAGCTGTTAAAAAGTAACACAGTAAATTTATGTCTCAAAATGATTATTGATTTTCATGAACTTTATTGATAACTTATTGAGTGAGACAAGGAGCATAAGGAGCATGATTGATACAAAACAAATGTTCCACTTTGCTTTCCTTAAAATTGCTTACATGTGAATTATCTAATTGTTTATTTTTTCTCACCAGTCCAAACTCACTACTAAAAAGATCTCTTTCATATCCATTTTTGATCATCTTTTTTTATTGTTTATCGGCTATTTGGCATATCTAAACTTCAATGTACTCAATTACGCTCTTGTGCGACATTCTCATATGTCATATATACGCTGCTGGTTGCTTTTGATTTTTGACCATATAATACGATTAAGAAGATTTGGTCCCTCGGAATTTTTCGATGTTCCCAATTGAGAGGGTTGTTCTCATGGTATATTATTTCACTTCATTTTGGACGTGGTTCATTTTTTCTGCGAAAGTATCTCAAACAGTGGCTCGATTCGTAGAGGCTGAGTAAGCATGTGATCCATTTAGGAAATGCTCAACTCTTCAAAATTCTAACGATGACACTGGCATTAGGCAAATATAAATTTCAGCCTCGAACGAGATAATCCTTCGACCCTCTACGGCTTCATTTTGTATTCTTATTTCCCTTAGTGAATGGTCGCATTTCCTCCAATCAATTCTTACTGCCGCAGGCTGCACTCACTGCATTCAGATGTTTGGAATATTCTCTCCCCACCTCATGTCATTAAGTAGTTTTCATATTTATATTTATTCAATTTTTTTGTGTTGTTGTCATTCATTGTAGTGTCTTATGATAAAATGGTTTGAAGCTGTACGCATTTTTGACAGTAGAGTAGGGGGGGGGGGGGCAGATTACGTCTGCGTAACCATGAGAAAAGTGGTCATTTATGCGAGGGATGTAAAGCATCAGCCCAATATAGAATAAGCTAATAAACTCTTTATTTTTGTTTGTTAGTCGACGTAGGAAGAATATTTGACTAGCGTAAGGTAAGTGAAATTGTAGGACGTCCACAATCTGAATATTCGCACTCGCTGTTTTACTTGATTTTTTTCTACTTTATCTATTAGACACAAGATCGATATTATCCAGTCAAATAACAAGGATGGTTTGCCAATCCTGATGGGTTTTCTGCTGTAGCATTTAGACTGCGTGCAAAATTCAGTATATCGTTCATAATCAGTCTGTCCAAACAACTTCACCTTAATAAGTAACATGAAGCGCAAAGCTTAAAGGCAGCGTACACCCAAAACAAATGCAACAGATGTTGCAACAGCAACTGCAACTGCAATTGCAGCTTACGCTGTTATGGATCCGTCCGGAGGAGGCGGAGCGAAAGAAAAGGGGCGGCATGAAAGAAAATTGAGGGGGGTTTTCTCCGCTCAGAAGCAACATTGGGAGACCGGACCAACGCAGTTGGTCTTCTTCTGGGCCCAGTATATACACGGTGTAGAAAGATCTTGGAAATTCGGTAACTCAATTTTTGGATGTACGCTGCCTTCAATCGAATGCATGACTTATTCATCGACATGAAGCATGCGATCGAATACCGAACTTTAGTAAAAAAAATGTCTTATTTCCTTGTTATATTCTCACTATAACAATTTTTGTGTATCCACTACACTAATCCACAGCTGTACAGATTTTTTAACGCAATAATGGGAAGCAATTTTAAATGAGTTGCCAAACTTCATAGGGAAGAGTATTTCAGCCCATGCGGGTGTGCGGTGACTAGAAATCGCTTCCACTTTAAAGGCAGTGTCCGGGCAAAAACTCGATTTTGAGGTTTTGTGCTTACCCGGGCCTATTCGTTATGCTGAATCCGAAAATCCGCATTGGAGAGTGCGAAAACGACGAAAAAGGGCTCTAACACTGGAGGGAAATCAGCAAATGGGCGGGGTCTCCCCCACTGTGAATTCACGCTCCCAGCTTCGGGGGCGATCTTTTTGATTCCGGTTGCAAGTCATTCGTTTGCACTTGATCGGTAGTGATGTCAGGACGGCTAACGGACTCCAGAAGTCACAGTGGGGAAGACCCCGCCCACTTGCTGATTTCCCTCCATAGGTGCGATAGGGGGAGCCGGGCTGTGCCGACTTGTCGGCACCTTCCTTACAACCATATCGTTACTCCTGCTAAGCACCGTAAAGGTCATGCCATAAGCATGACCTGCTGTGATATGAGTGTATTATTGCCCAGATGTTTGTGATACTACTTTACCACGCCTTCAATTAGCATTCTACCACTGCACGAATGGGTGCATGTCGTCTGTTCAATAAAGCTCTAACAGCTTACGTGTTCTGATAACACATCAGGAGCCACCATACTCCACTACAGGCGCCACCCATCCGCCTAAGGCTACAATAAAGCCTACAGCCACCACACGGGCTCTCTCCAGGTGAAGGGGGTCTCTGCTACTCCCACCCTTGTAAGGTGAAGGGGGTAAGTGAGCCCTGAAAGCAACATGCCCCAACAAGTTAAAGGCTGCTGCATGACGAAGGCGCAGAAGCGGCATCAGTTGAGCAGGCGCGAACGCGGCGCGCGCGTATCCTCACCGTTATAAATCCTGCGCCTCATGCGCTCTGCGACTAAGCCTGCGTTAAGCCGCGGTCGCGCCCAAAGGTATTGCGCCTTCGTCATGCAGCAACCTTTACATGCCATTCGAAAGCTGAGGTCATACAGAATCGACAACCGTCGACTTTTTTCTAGGCCTTCTGTGCCGCGAGCTATGAGGCATTTTATGTACTTCATATATCAACTGATTTTTTACTGTGAGAAAGTCGACGGTCTACGTTGGTTAGTGAAAATTTGCTCTGTAACATAGATAGACAACCAGCAGTTATCACGTTTCTGTTTGGCACAATGCTGTTGAAAATGGACATGATATATAAATTGAAGTGTACCTCTCGGTAGAAGGGGGCTAGAAAGAAGTCGACGGTCTACGTCGAATCCCCTTTTCCTGAACTTTCGAATGGTATATAGACTGCTGGGCGAAAAAACTTGCCAATTTTTCAAAAATGGGGTGGAGGTATAGTGTGGACCCCGGCCAGCTTCCCATATGTACCTCCGCGCCGCGAACGCAGCGCATGCCTTCAGTGCTCTTTTCGCCCCAGGACCTATTGGTTTCTATGCGTTCCTCTCTTTATTAACTTTGTTTTTTCTGTAATCTCTTTCTTTCAGGGTTAAACGGATCACACCAACTGATGATGACAAGTTTTTACGAGCCTCAAAAGTCTTGAGAGCTTCTGCCTCGAGCTTCTGCCTCAAAAGCTCTCGTTTTTTTCCTCCGCAATAACGATTAAGTATATTTTGAAGAGATTTCTCTTCAGGGTTTCTATCACGGATCAAACGTATCTATTCGATCGAATTTGTTTTGTATAGAAACGAACTATCCGATTGAGTTTGTTTTGTCTAAATCTTTTAGTTCCTTTTCAATGCGGCACTGAAGCTTCAGCTTGTATAATTACGCTCTCCAGCTTATGCTTCTAGTTTTTCAATGATTGCAGAAGAGTCGTTCAGAAAGTAATCCTCTTTTCGCTATTTCTACGATTTTCACCCGTCAGTGGTAGTTTTATACTAGTATGCATGAGAATGACAAGAAACCAAGTGTTCGTGGAAGTGGACGCGTTTTTTTCTGCTTAAGCTTTTCTCGAGGTGAGAACAGAGGGTTCCACTTCTTGTCTCACTCCTATCTTGTCTGAAAAATGATTTTTCGTTCATATGGATGAGAAGCGTCAATAGTGCGCGCGCTGCGTATGCGCTGCGGAGGTACATATGAGAACCTGGCCGGGGTCCACACTATATTCACTATTGACTTGCTCCACCTAGCTCCCCCAATGTATTGGCTTTTATCGGTCACCGGAGCAAGTGCTTTTTAGAGCCGTGAAGCAAGAAAGCCCTTACATGCTTTACACCATTCGAAAGCTGAGATCATGAAGAATCGACGTAGACCGTCTCTTTTTTCATAGCTTCTCCGTGAAGCGAGATACGAGCAGTTTTATACGCCTACTCACCAGCTAATTTTGTGTAATTATTTGTGCTTCATTTTTGAGAGAAAGGACAACGATAGAAAAAAAGTGACGGTCTGCGATTACTGGCAAGGTCTTGCTCTGTGATAATGTTAGACAATAAGGCACCTCCATTCATTCTTCACGCAGGAATTTCTTGTCAAAAACACACATGTTTTTAGCTAAAATGCGTGTATCTCTAGGTAGAGGGGAGCTAGAGAAAAAGAGATGGCCTATGTCGAATTCCTTTTTCGTGGGCTTTCCAACGGTATATAGGTTGTTAGCAGTGGCGTACCGAGGGGGGGGGGCGGGGGGGGGGCGCGCGCCCCCCCCCGAGAATGGGTCGCGAAATTTTTGAAAGTTACTTATATGGGTTATAAAAATGTGTAAGTGACTTGTTTATTTTTGTAAATAATTAAAATAATTTTTAAAAATTTTTAAAAATTCAAATTAGCCTTGTAAAAAAATTTTTTTCGGGGGCGTGGCTGACGCCACGCCCCCTTTTTCCAGATTTTAGGGGTCGGGGACCCGAAAAAATTTTGGGAAGCACCCCTAAAATTTTTTCGGAGTGCGTGGCTGACGCCACGCACCTTCTTTAGAAAAAAATTTTTGTCGCGCCCCCCCCGAGCCGAAATCCTGGGTACGCCACTGGTTGTTAGGTAAAAAACTTGTGCCTATTCAAAAATGAGGTGGAGATATTCAATACTAACTCGCTCCACCCCGCTCCGGCTTTCTATGGGTCGCCGGAGCAAGACTTTTTTTGGACTGGGAGAGCTTTGTGCACCAATACTTTATATATCATTCGATAGCTAAGAACACGAGGAATCGACGTAGACCGTCTCTTCTTTCCTAGCTTTTCTGTGAAGCGAGATACGAGCAGTTTTGTCTAGCTACAATATCAGCCATTTTTGATTAATTATCTTTTCAAACAAGGTGTTTTTCGAAGTTTTATATATGATTAGAAAGCTTGAGAAATGAGTAATCTAACTGCTTTTTTATTGTCATTATTCTCTCTAGTAAAAGGAGATATGGTACGATTCTTGTCAGCAAACATGCATTCATCACTAACTAGTCCAATTTTTTTACTCTTGTTTAACTCTTTCTTGAGACAATGTGTATCCATTTATACAATGTTAATATTCAAGGAATCAAACATATTTTTAATTTTTGATTATGTTTCGTTAGGAACGCCACTTTGAGTGCGCAGACAATCTCGAGCATACGTTTTTTCAACAAAACGCTGCTGATTCGAAAATCTCTTGCAGTCTTGATGTCTGAGAAGAAGAGCAGCTGGCGTTTACTTTTTAAACAAAAAGTGGCATTGTAACAGCTGTTTGATTCTGCCGCTATGCCTTGATTCTAGTCTCAACCTCAGGTGAAAAGGGTCAGCCAGGTGCCGGTCCTAAAATGAAGGGGGTCAGAGAAATTCCTCCACCTATCGCATCTATGTTTCCCTCCAGTGTTAGAGCCCTTTTTCGTCGTTTTCGCGCTCTCCAATGTGGATTTTCGGATTCACCATAGCGAATAGGCCCGGGTAAGCACAAAATCACAAAATTGACTTTTTGCCCGGACACTGCCTTTAAAGGCAGCGTCCAGGCATATCTGGACCTATGGGGCTTTTACGTGGAAAGTACTTTTGGGGCCCTAACTAAGGCACTGCCCAAGCGGCAGCTCATGTAGTGCTCTAATAGCTGAGATATTCCCCTCGAAATTGGCCCCCGCGAACGTATTCGCATGGATTCATGGCAGTTTCGCGCCAGGATCCACGCTTTGCACCATGAATCCATGCGGAACACGGTCGCGGGGTCCAGTTTTGAGAGGAATATCTCGGCCATTACGGCACTACCTGAGCTGCCGCTTGGGCAGTGCCTTAGTTAGGGCCCCAAAAGTACTTTCCACGTAAAAGCCCCATAGGTCCAGATCTGCCTGGACGCTGCCTTTAATCACGATCGTGTATCAAAGCTCTTGTTTCTCCTTGCTACATTCACTTTGAGCCAAACAGGACATAATCCTACCATTATGCATAGCTTTCAGTATAACACTGAGAGTCTCAATACTTAATACCCTAAAATCATACAGATAAGTTCGCTTTTTTGAAAGAAAAATTGATGAAAATGCATCCGCACCCCTCAAGAATCTTGCAGATAAGCCTCCCATAAGGTAGGTCCGTCTACAGATAAGTCCGGACTTATCTGACAGTCTTCGGACTTATTTTACAAGATTTCAGGTTAGTTACAATGGAAAGAAAACGGACTTAACTGTAGGCGGACTTATCTGAGGGGCCTTAACTGAGTCAAAAAAGCGGACTATCTGTAGATGCACTTATCTGATGGGAGGACCTACTTGTGAAATTTGAGGGTAGATCGTTTGATCTGATGCTTCTCTCTTCAACTCTTTGAATAGCACTACATCGACGAAGTGGCCTTAATTTTGGACTACGTATGAATCAATAGTAATCTTCAACGATCACTGATGTGGTTTGCTGCACGACATCTAATACATGGATATTGCAGACAGATTACAAAACCTCAAGAGCTTTTTTCTTGGGTGAAAAGAAACTTTACACAATTTATTTTTGAGGATTCATGAAAATTGCTGTTATGGTTTGCCTATCTTAAGTGATCGAAGAATCGCCGTCAGATGTCAACCGTCATGCTTTCTTCAGCAACTTATAATTTAGTCAGAGACAGTGTTTCTGGAGTTTTATAAGATTTCACAGCGCAATTTGGCTTTCAATGGCATAACCTCTCTCTATCTAGTTTTACAATAATGAAGAGTGGTTTGTGTTTTACAGTAATGAAAAGTTTTGTACTTCTACAACGCAAAACCAAAACAGCGCTTAAAGGCAGCGTCCGCGGCAGATACGAGAATGTAGAGTACAGGGGCGCCCGTCCTGCTAAGGCTCTTGCCCAACTGGCAATGCACCAGTTTGCTTCTGAAGCGAAAAACCCCCTTCAGAAGTGGCGACCGGAACGCCCCGGGGACTCGGACGAGTTATTCGATAAGCCAGAGTGCGCATACTGCACACAGTTAAGACGTAGGGTCCCTCAAAGACTCTGCGTCTTAACCTTGGCGGCAGACGAAAAATTCAAATCAAGAGTTTCTGGAAAAGCCCGTTTTCGGCGTTTTCGTGCCCTCCAAGCTGCATTTTCACGGAGGAATAAGCCCAGGTCAGCAAAATTTTTTTTTCGAAATTTCGCCCGGATGCTGCCTTTAAGTGCAGTACCTAGGGCCACTGCAGAAGAGGCAAAAAATGTCAGCTATCAAGCGCTAAATAATACGTACTTCTTGAAACCCTCCATTTGGCGCTTCGTGTCAGGATCAACAGTCAAGCACAACTTTCATTCTCATTTTTACTTTTTTATAATGAATTCGAGGTCTTCTCAAAGAATTACGAGATATCGTGCAATATAAGACAGAATGTAGAACTTTTCTTAGGAAAAAAGCATGCAGCTTCTGAATGGCTTCAACAATCATACTCTGAAAAAGAAGCATCTCATTGGGTTATATGACTCATCTTGTCTTTGCAACCAGTATCTCTGCTACCTAGCTTTCCGTCTTCTAAAGCGTGCATTGATTCTCGCTCAGCTTCATGAGGAATACGCCACAAATCTACGGGTATAAATCATAACACTGCTCTGATTACTATATACAATTTTTTGGTTTTATTGACTTTCTAAAGTACTTTGTCGTGTGAACATTCTGAGAGCGTAGCAGCAAGTCCCTTACAAGGTTTACTCAAGAATTTCTTTGCTGTCTGTTTCGCTAGCTGAGGAAAAAATTGTGCGTTTTCGACCTGTTATGTAAATCGCTTTTACAGTATCGAGTTAAGAACTTCTTCACTTAGGTATGGACCTGGCTTCGAGAATGGTATCAGTGGTAGCCAGGGTAACAGAAGCCACGGAAAGGACCAAACCTCCCAAAGTTGGCATGGTGGTCGACGTCGCTGACGCCAAATTTATCGGTGGCCTCATACCATGTCTGTCCTCTAATTACCGCTGATTTCTGAAGATTGAAAATTTGTGTGTGCTTCAGCATTAGTGGAGAAGCTACCATATCCGTACTCACGACCAGAATTCCTCTATTTTTCTGAAGATGAAATCTCGCTATCGGCAGATCAATGCGTTCGGCCAGTATTATGTCCGAAATATCCAGCGAGAATGCCACTTTATGCAGGCTACGCTGAAGTGGTCAATGCAGGTTGTCTTGCATGGATCTGAAAAAAATTCTAAGCTACATTATGCACAACTCGATCATTTATGACTTTAGGCAAAACCACTCAGAATGAAGATCAGGCTTCCGCCAGAATGATGACTTTGGTACAGCAAGGTTATGAAGCTGAAGAGGCAAAGGAATTGGATCACTCCCAAAATCAGTATGTTCTTGCTGTTTGAACAATATTAAACGTCCCAAATGGAAATTTAATTTCCTCATAAAAATTAAAAACCTCATTTTGTGAGAAAGGTCGTGGTCTCCAATTAGAATATATTCGCGAATTTCTGAGCTGCTCCTCATAAGTTCGTCAATTGGGCTTTGCTGCGTAGGCGGATCATTTAGTATCGTAGGAACTTGCTCACTACTTCTCGTCAAACACACTAAATATCATTGTTAGAAAATTATGTGGTTCGATTCGAAAGTAGCAGTACATAAGTATCAAATTTCTATGAAGCTGACACAGTCTTACTTTTGTGCAGGGTAATACAGGGGTTTATGGCTTCAACATTCTTCGGTAGGCATACGCTGGACACATCAAACCCATACTTAAAGAGTTTCATCGTGCTGAATTTTACAACAATTTGCAGCCGCAGCCTCTTATCACTTCACTGTTCTCGCTCTCAAAAATTTAAACTTTTGAGCTAACTTTCCGAGCCTAAATTCTCTTGGGCACACAGAAACTCCTTGAATTTTTTTCGCAACGCCAGTATTTGTATAATATTTTAAGATGAAAACTACATTTAATTTCTAAGAATATTTTGTTTTGATTTGAGGATCACATAGGGCATGCGGAACCCCGTTCAGTGGAGGAAAGTAAGCCCTCTTAGGTGATAAATAGCAAGCAAGAGCATTATTTATGACCGGTGCGTCACCTCTGCTTCGCAGAGGCTCGCACTGGCCCTAATTTTACTTACTTATGCCTAACTCAATCCCACATAGTAATTACATTGAAACTCACCGCGCCGTGTAGGCTATGACGAATAATTCGTAAACAATTACTCAGTCCCAGAGGTTTTTCGTGTGGATGAAATCTTACCCAGAAGAACATATGCAAATTTGAATAGGTTTTTGGAATTTTTATGGCTTCGTAGTCGCCATGAGGGCAATAAACATCGTGGGCTACATCTCTGTGCAAAAATCTTCTCAAATGATTAAGTAAAATCTTGAAAAATTGACCGTTTACACAGCGAATGCTTTTTGGCGCTGTTTTCGTGAAGTAGTGACTTTTCATTACTTTTTTAGGCTAGCGTTCATGGCTTGCACATCAACTTGTCAAATATATCCATAATTCTGCAAAAAGTAGTCTACGGACCCAAATCTGTTGGCCAGAAGCCAAATGGATCCGTTTGACGCGCAATTTTCAATAGATCCACTCAACGGATCCGCTCATGCTTTTGTATAGTGAGCTTTCATACTGGTAGCGTGCGCTGTGCAAATTTTGAGCTCAGGACGTTGGCTAGAACACGCTTTACGAATTTCGTGACGGACAGACACACACAGAGACAAAAAGACGTAAACATCCTTAGCCGCATATTATAAGTCATGATTCCCGTTAGAATACATTTTGACCTCACAACTCAATCCTCTTCCATGAAGGCTATGACACTCCTACGTACTCTAACATATAGTAAACAAATATTTACATACATACACACTTAGGCTACATGAAGTTCCAATTACACAAATAGTAAGAATTTCTGACTTGAGTCTCCTCCTACTTGCTGATAATTATATTACACGCATACAATCCAACCAATTCGGAGCGTCATTTCTCTGTTCAAAAGCTTTGAACATGGTTGACTGCGCGAGTAGACAGTTATCACTTATGGTGGCTATGCATCTATTTGCGCTTGAATACTAGCCAAAAAAGTGAATGCATTGAAATTTTGGTTCTAGTCCGACTGCTTACAATTTCGTATAATTTGATAGGATAAAATCGAATCCAAATTTGAAAACAAAGGCAGCGAAAGGAGTTTTCGTTAGGTATGCAAAATAGAAAAAAATTATATGGAGAACAATGCCCGGAAAAAGGTTAAAAACGACATTAACTTTGCGCCAACATTTAATGCGCTCCGAGACCGTTCCGCAAAATTTATAGTCTATTCTTAGATGGCATTATATATATATTAGGTTGATGCAAAAGAAATGGCCGATTTCCCAAGCTTTTTTCAGGGCAATTTTTTCCATCAATACTACTTCCTTACAATAGATGTAGTATACCTTCGCGAAGCTGTTTTCATGCTCTATCTAACGGTGCTTGCAACGGGCTCTCATCCTTATCTGTTATAAAGTTACTGCTTCAAATAACCGCATCCAAATTCAGGATTTCATTGCATTCACTTTTCCGGCCAAAATCCAAGCGCGTATCAATGGGATTTCTTCGAATTTAGCTGTTGTATGAAATAGAAATTGTCTACATTACGCACATTACTACGCATACTTAACTCTGTATTCTTTGAAGTTATCCAGACTAACCCGGCGCCTAAACATGGGTAGCTGTTACGGTAATTTTATGACCCATAATTTTCTTCTGAAAAAGTCATTCGCCGAAGCTTTGCTCAATTCGGTAAGCGTAGGGCTAGGCCATCCTATTAGCAGTTTTTGCAAAAACATCCAGCTGTTCAGTACGTAGAAAATCTGAAAATTCTATTTTCGGGATTTTGAAGCACACTGAAAAAAATGCTGAAAAAAGTGAGAAATTTTAAATTTCAATTTTTTCTTTCTCGCAAACCTTTTTGCCCAAAATCTTTTAATTGCATTTTGTACTACTGGCTTGCGGCTACAAGATAGGCCACTCGTCATTCATACAAACAAACTTTGAAGGAGGTTATGAATTGTCATAAACAAGGTCCTAGCAGAAGAATCTTTTTTGTCTTTTAGTCCGTAATTCTCTTCCCGTTTATGGTATGAGTGAGTATGAATGAGTATGCGCTGCATTGCGAAGGGTTTGCTGCTTCTGAGGGTCTTTACCGCAATCAGAAATGTGGATCTTTTGGAAAGTTATAGCACGTCAAAATGAGAATTCGCAAATCGGCCTTACTTCTGCATCAACCTAATACAAATGAATGTATACCCAACTATAATCTTCATTTTCAGCAGTTCGTCCGGCAGATCCTCGAAGGACGACGACGAGTTGGTATCTCCGACTGGTGGCAGCAACGTATGTTTACACTTTTCCAGCTTTTCAAATCTATGGAGATACAAAGGGAAATAGGGCGATAGACGATAGAGCGTGTTATGATAGGGCGATAGAACGTACAATTATGACTTTGGAATGTGAAAATTCTCGGCGATGTCGGCGAAGTCGGCGACTTTGCGTTTTCGCCGATTTCGCCGAATTCGCCGACATCGCCGAATTCGCCGAGAATTTTCACATTCCACTGTCATAACTGTATGGCATTGTCATAATTGTGGAAAAGCTTATAGATCACTTCAGCATAAAGGTTTGGATGAAAAAATTCACAAGCCGTTTCTAATGTTTATCTGCTAGCAGCAAATGAGTAAATTACCGTTTTATCAGTTTATCAACCAGATACAATACCGCTCACAAAATGTGCAAAATTTCCGTGAATTTGTCGCGAAGTTCCGCGAAATTCCGGGAATTTCGCGGAATTCCCGGAATTTCGCGACATTCATGAAAATTTTGCACATTATGTGAGCGGTATTGTAATTGACAGCCGAAGTGTAAGATTTGCAATTTAGGGTGCGAAGGTGACCTCATATCACCGAGATTAGCGCTGATAGGCAAATGCTATGTAGTCATTTGTATGCAATTTTGTAAGCTCTTTCTTTCTGTGATTAAAGCGGGCTTTGAGCTCTTTTGTAAGCGGGGATTTATAAGGTAGGCAAAGTCCATTTTTATGCATATCTTTGTGGAAAATGGGGACGAAGTGTCCGGATACCCGTATTTGTGTTTATATCCGAAGGGGCTATACCAGAAAATTTACAGAAGAATCGGAGGTTGAATACACAAGAAGCTGATCTAAGGACGGTCTCGCACTTGGAAAATTTTCGGGGAACTTTATAATAGATCAAAATGAAATAATAATTCCAGAAGAATGATCGAAGCGTTAGCATAGGAATATTTCGGTACAACTTTTGATGCGCTATTAATTGGTTAGTTTTTCTTAATTTGATCTTTGATCTCTATATATAAATCGGTCAGTAGTGGTTCATTGGTGGTTAGTGGTGGGTTAGTGGCCCAAGCATGGATGGGTTGGAATGGGAAGGTGGGGGAGAAGTGGGCGGAGACTTGGGTATGGGCGGGGCCAAAGGTGGGCGGAGCTAGCAAATTTCAAAAAAATCCATATTTCTCTAAAATCTATCCACCGTAGTCCTACAGAAACAAGCTATCTCGCTAATCAAATGTGTTTCTTGCAATCAAAGGATCGGATAACATCTATGGTGCAATTTTTTAAGGAACTAGTAGCACTTGATTTTTTCTCGCTCCTCACTCTTGGCCTCGGCGCAAAATTTGGTCAAAATATTGAGGTTCTCAGATTGACCGGAAACTTCGCTCATAGTGGTTTTTGGTCCCAATCTTTACGAAAATCTTATTTATTTTGCACTAGTAAAGCTAAAGTGAGATAAAAGTGGCTCAACCAATCAAAATCGCAAATTCGTCTGCACTTTTTACGTATCTATTGCGGAAAATGTCTGCAAATTTTTGTGAATTCAAAACTTTGTGAACACCTCTACCGGACCATGCCTAGCACAGATCTTTAACTGCATTGTTCGTCAGATTATGATGTTACAAAATCACCTTCTCATGAAATGTCTTTCGAACTCGAAATTCGTGTAATTTGGCAGATATTCTATCCTACAATGTGCCACCAGCAGCAAAACAATGTAAAAAATGCTGTTAGCACGTCGAGTAATCCGTGTAAGCGGAAATTATAAGATTTGCTGCATACATGCATTCGAACAGTTATGACTTTGGAATGTGAAAATTCTTGGCGATGTCGGCGAAGTCGGCGACTTTGCGTTTTTCGCCGATTTCGCCGAATTCGCCGACATCGCCGAATTCGCCGAGAATTTTCACATTCCACTGTCATAACTGTAGTACCCTTGAAGGTAAGGAACTATTGCAGTAATGTTGTAGAAGCTTTGATCACGTCCTCAAACCTTTTTCTTGCAACATTCAGAAAAAATATTGAGGGAAACTGTCTCTCACAATATTCTTCCTATCTTGAGCACTATTAAATTGCAGACTAGAACAACCTCGTGATAAATTATGATGACTTTCTATGTCGAGCGAAGCAGCGCATAACGCGCCAGTATATTTGATTTATTTTGTATGGTGATCTTCAGCATCATCCTCTGAGTTTCCAAGCATCCTCTCTTGAGTAAGTAGAGAAATCTGTAAGCTTCAGTAAAGCAGAGATGACGCACAGACCATCTCTGCGAAATCTGAGGTTTCCAAATTTTGGGTCACTCAAGTTTTCATTTTCGAATATGATTGACTTCTATGCAAAGTGAGTTAGCTACCTCTTTATTCAACACAAAGTATTACTCCTTCATTGCTCACACGAATACCACTCTTGACCCCAAACTATGAAATTAGGAGCCAGCCAAAATCTCGTTTTTTTTTTCTTTTTTGCTTTCAGTTGGTTGTGCTTTCAGCAACTGTTACTCAGAGAGAAGACGAATCAGGCTCAAGTTACTGCTGTAAAATCTACGGGATTCAGACTATCGAAAGGTTTCTTTGGAGGTAAAATGGGTGTGCCACAACCCCAAATAAGGTGTGGCTGTCATACCTTCCTACGGTTGTGCCGCATCCTATTCCACTTCTGAAAAAAAATAGAGTTAGATGGACTGATAGAGGCAATTGTTGGGTTGGGAATAGAAGAAAGTCGCTTTTTATTTCCTTGGCATGGCATTGCAACGGGGCAAACCTTGAAAATGTGTATGTGGTACCATTGGATGGAACAAAGCAAGCCCGTATCTATGTCCAAAAAATTTCTACGGAGCTTCAACTCGCTCACGGACTTAATTCCTCATCAGACATTCATGTGCGCAGTTGTTGTAATTTTTTTCTTGGCTAGACCTCGAGAAATTGAAGATTTTCAAGCTTCAGAAGCATAGTCTAGTAGTCTAGCGTAGTCTGAATTACCACTCAATTACCGTTCCAAAATCTTGAGTACAGCCTTGGCGCGCCCCAAAATTTACAAGTACCATTTCATTTTACACGAATCGGGATGAACATCAACCTTTTGGAAATAGAAGAAAAAGCTGCATTTGATAACTGAATTGCTGTCGGTTGATGTTGTGTGAGGTTTGGCTTGACCGAATATGAAATTTGTTAACATCAGGAAGTTATTAAAGTTTTAAAAAGAGAGTCGGAATTGCGACAAAAATCGTTGTATTGTACTCTGTTTACTCTATCAAACTGTTACAAAAACTATTCCATCAGCTCACAATAAAATTTTTAAATGTTGCCAAAGTTGGGAGATAAGAAATTTTGGCTCGAAATTTCGGCAATAAATGGCCACAGAAGATAACAAATGGAATGGAAAAATATGCAAAAGAGATCAGAATCAGAGAAAAACAAAAAGATAGTAATAATTATAGTGGCCAAACCCTTGCCTTTTTCGGCTACGCTCTTTCATGTGCTACTGACCTTCTTCAAAATCTTCCAAAAAATACCAAGACCATTATAATACGAGGTTCTACATGGACTTCGCTATGGTATCGTTCACTCAAATAAGGGTACGAGTGAAGGTTTTTGTGGTGGTAGGTTCTTTTGACGCTCGAGAAGCAAAAGAGAGATTGCGATCTCAGGGTAAGCAAGAATTTGGCCTGATATGCACTTCGATCGAGAAATCAACATACTTTAAAATTTTGAGAGCGATTATGATTTTTAAGCATCATTTTTTTTAGTCCGGTTCAGTGGCTCCTACCAGAGCTGAAGCTGCATTCTTTGCGATATTCGACGGACATGCAGGTGCTGGTGCCGCACTCGTGGCCAGCAAATGCCTGCACGAACACATTAAGGCAAGGACCACTTGAAACTGAATTTTCAATTGTACAAATTCCATGCTTCAGACTCGATTAGGGGATGTACTGGAGTCAGTCATACAATTGGATAGGAATGAGACGCTGATGTCAGGACGGAGACGTTCAGATTCTTCTTATAGTATAACTAAGGTAAAAAGAATTTTATTCACTTTTATAAAATCATTCAAATCATGGGCAAGTCCTGTAGGAGATGAATGCGCTGAGTTTCATTACATAGCTTGGACTAGAACACAAGATGATGATCTCAATGATTTTATGACAATTTCTTCTTTTTTTGGTTCTAAAAACAGTCTCTAGGTCTTTCGTCTGATGATGCAAAATTGTGTATGACACTTAGAAAAACCACGAGACATTATTGCTTCAATTCACAGCTCAAAATGTATCGAAAATGACAATCTTATTACAATTTTTCTCCTTTTCATTCATTAACACGTTGACGACCGAGCCGTTTTGGACCAGATCAAAATGGAAATATTGATCTGCAGTTTCGATTCCTGAGCAGCTGCCGCGATGCCCAGTGTTCCATATAACAATCGGAGCACTGGTATTATTACTGTATAGAAGTTACTACAAAACTTTTCCTTTACACTTAAAAAATTGAAGCACGAAAGTGCTAAATGGGAGTCAGGGCGTGCATACGCGCGTATGCACACCGTCGTCAAAATGTTTAAAAAAACTTGTTTTCATCATTCTTTCGCCTGATGCTACCAAATTATACGTGACGCAGTACTTCAGTTCCAGTCAGGCACATATAATAAAATGACAGCGTAATGGTTTATTTTGACTTCTTCTGTTTGCTCATTAGCAAACCAACTCAGAAGTAATCAATCGTTTTTTTATCTGCTAACTGTAACCAATCTCAACATGATGTTCCAGTTTTATTTTTCTATCTTGGCACTTCTTCAAGATCCTGCTGTAAAGAAATTTCATCGGAGCAAATCTTACTTTCTCGGAAGGAGTTTGTCATGAAACATATCACTGACTTCGGAATTTGAATACGGAGACTTTTACTTCAGCTTCAATCTTGAGGTCTGTGTCAGATGCTTAGATGTTGCCACAATGCGCAAGATAACCGCATTTAGATAATGTAATCTGGAAGGTTGGCATAGGAACCAAGGAAATTTTTTCCTTATTTTCAAGAGACGACAGAGCGTTCGTGCTAACCTAAACAAAATATTCAGAAACTAAAAAAACAAAAACAAGCCCGACTTCCAAGAGATTTTGCGGCTATTTATTTTTCTGTAAGTATTGTGATGTTCAGATTGACTCTGTTGCAATACGATGTGATGAGCTAGTCATTGGAGCGTTAGAAGCAGCTTTCGTAGACATGGTAAGTCGATGTAAATATAGAGACATGCTACTGTAAAAATTTTTTGTTTGCTTTTCAGGATTCCCAAATAGCTGAAGATAAGCAAACATGGCGAATTTCTGGTGGTTGTGCTGCAATAGCCGTTTTGGTGTTCCTCGGAAAAATTTTTGTAGGTGCGTGTCATGATCTACTTCAAAGTACTTGCTAGTGCCCAAAAATATGGGCTAGAGGAAGGAACACCTCAATTAGGCACCCACCGCCTCCACGTGGAGGGCTTCTGGTCCTTTCGTCCTACTACTGTGCATCTTCTCAGGACCAGTAACCCGCGGAAGCGGTGCCTAATTGAGGTGCTGGTTCCTCAACCCAAAAATATGCATATAACTTGATGAAACCACCTGCTTGTCAAAGCTATTGAGCCTTTCGGAAATATTGATACCACATCCAGTAAAAGTGGATGATTGTTACACCAAGAATGGATGCCCATCCATGACAAAAATGGGCAGCACTCTTTGAGATAAAAATTACACATTCTATCTGTGTAACCGGAAATCAAAAACTAAAACTATGTAGGACATTTTCTACTGCTCCAATCCTGCCCTCCCCCTTCCCCACCATAATAGATTTCCCGTAACCGCCATTGATACCATACTTACCAAAAGCACGATTTATTTTTGTTTTCCAGCAAACGCGGGTGATTGCCGGGCAGTGCTGGTGACAGAAGAAGGCTCACGACCAATGAGTTCGGATTTTACACCTGCCACAGAACGGAAGCGGCTACAGACTCTAGTAAGATACACCTAACTTGGAACAAAAGCCATAGATATCGGTGGTTATTGCAGGCATACCAGAGCCCTGAACTAATCGGTAACTGCTTTTCTCGACTAGAATACTCACGAACGTTGACCAAAAAGGATCTCAAAACAAAAGTTCTCTTTAGGTTGAATTCTACTTAATTTCGTGGGTATAATACGATTCAGAACATTTATAGAGACTGGTTCATGGACGGTTGGGCATCGAAAACAGTGAAAGAGAGCGATTTGAAGCCACCGCTGATTAGTGAATCCACGAGGAAGGTATATCATTACTCAAGAAGGTCTTCTGCTACTATCCGCGGGTTTTTAGAAACGACTTCTGAACACCATTGGCGTGTCGCGTGGGTTTGGAGATCATCATCTGTATACAGTTGACGATCACCTACCAATCAAACCATTTCTGTCTTCCGTACCTGAGGTTTGTTACCTCATTGTTTGGTTAATTATAACAGAAATTCCAGCAAAAGTGTGGAAAATTAGCGCCATTAGGTCTTGGGATACAGCTATAATTTTCATCGGTAGACGATCAAGGGAAGAGCTAAATATTAGTTTGAGGAGTTGGGGATGTTTTCCTCCCTTTCTCAAACATGATACAACCCAAGCCCTCTTATGTTTCTGACCAGATGACTTTCCTTTTCTTCGACAGAATGCTCAAAAAGAACTTCTACCTATCTAAAATGGTTTTTCCTTACACGCTTTTCACCTCTGAGTTTTAAATATTTGAGGTGCGAGTTTTTGATTTACGCAACCTGGACACATTGACGGACAAGGACGTCTTGCTGGTCGCTTCAGATGGCTTATGGGACGTGCTTAGCAACGAAGATGCTGGCTTGATTGTTCGCTCATCTCTCTCCGCTACTGAGCAAAGCGAACAGTCCAGGTGTGTCGCAAACCGTCTCAATAAAAGCAGTAAGAATTTCAGAACTTTCAGGTACAGCATGGCGGCACAAGAACTGGCTAGCGCAGCAAGAGGTTACCCAAGTGGTAGCAACGGACACCGGTGGATGATGAACAGCGGTGGAAGCGCATCTACCGATGATATCACTGTAAATCGTCTACCTCTTAATACATACATCAAAGAAAGAAGCCTGAGAATACGTTTAGGTATTCGTGATTCCTCTGAAATACTGCGTAGCCCCTCCTCCAGAAGACGACGATGACGACGAAATGATAAGTCTTTGTGCAGACGAATAGAATTTATAGATTTATTGTTTAGAACTTTCTTGCTTGAACGAAAAATGTGACAGTAACTGCAAAGCAGCATTTTTGACCAAAAACTATTTGAGACTGTGCGAAAATAGGTAAAGAGTGGGAGTAAGGTTAACTGCGGACGTATTGAGGTTCGTATCATTTTCGGGAGGAAGAAACTGTGTTTGAGCCCACCACGGGTGGACCGAGGGGGGGGGGGTGGGGGAGGTTGCCCCCGAGAGTGGTGCAAACTTTTTGAAAGTAGACGCGATGCCCACTCATTCGAAAAATCCCCCCCCCATCCCCTGTGCTGCAAGCTGAAATACGTTTTTCCCCCACTCCCACCCATTTAAATGTCCTGCTCGAAAGATCTTGAGTCGCTTTGATCCTTCACATCAGATATTGTCTAGAGTAAATACAAACAGTCGAGTAAATTTTCCGCTCAATACAGTTTAGTGTGCTTGTGATGCAAAAAAACTGCGTTGAAATTTATCCCTGATAAATATTTACGCTTGTGATGCCGTCCACTTGACCCGCAAAATGCCGGCATTAGTGATGTGGCTATTCGTTCACGCGCAAATTTTACCGCATTTTCTCGGCACCGCAACCACACTATATAAGCAAAATCTACTCGACTGTTTGCTGTCTAACTTATGCAGATGAATATATGATCTCATGTGATAACTAATTTCACACTTTCATTGTAAACATAATTACAATCACAGTCCTGTACGTATTAATGAGCACATAAAAAATCGCAATGACAATTGTAAAAATAAAGCTCGTAATACAATCCTATTTGAAGTGAATAAATTCTCACAATGATGTGCAGTAAGACACCGAGGAATGACATCGACCGTAAAAATTCACATTTGGCTAAGCTCAGTCGATATGGAAAAGGCAAGCCCAAGAGCAAAAAACGAGCAAAAATGCAAAAAAAAGAACAAAGAAGAGTTGAGATATATGTTATACAACGGAATTGCAACAACTAAGTCATGCTGCGTATATTTACGACGTTGAGGTAAAGATGAGATCTGAAAGCAATTGGGGGGTCATCTCGTTTCAATTTAACAGAAATAGATGATCATTTTTGTGATCTATTATAGTCGATGAAAAAGTACTTCAAAGTAAAGTACCCTAATTTCACGCGTATAAGACGCGGGGGATTTTTTTACAAAATCGACCAGCCCAGACACGCCAAGGGACTTTACAACCAAGGACCCTATAACGTGCTGTACATTGCTTAAGAGAATCGTGCGGTATAAAGATCTCTTTCCGGAATACAGAGAAGCGGCTGAGCGGCTGACTTGAAAAATCGAAAAAGTGCGCCTCATAGGCATGAAATTAGGGTACTAATAACTGGTGTGTACCAGTGGCGGTCGCAGGATTTCGGACCGGGGGAGGGGGGGGGGGGCGCGGAAAAAAATTTTTTCAAATAAAGGTGCGTGGCGTTAGCCACGCACTCCGAAAAAAATTTGGGGGTACTTCTCAAAGTTTTTGCGGGCCCCTAACCCCTAAAATCTGGAAAAAGGGGGCGTGGCTGACGCCACGCCCCCGGAAAAAATTTTTTTGTAAGGCCAATTTGAATTTCTAAAAAATTTTAAAAATTATTTTAATCATTTGCAAAAATAAACAAGTCGTTTGCACACTTTTATAACCCATATAGGTAAGTTTTAAAAATTCCGCCACTGGTGTGTACATAAGGGTAAGTAAAGTACCCCTTTACCCTTATGTATACACCAGTTTCAAGTTTTTTTAATGTGATTTGCAAAGACAGGTAAACTTTTGAGAGATGGGCAAGTTCTATTATACACGATGGAGATTTCTAGCGGAGTGAATGTAAAAGCGATGCAGTTACATTCAAGATTTCGCGCTGAATCCGTCATAAACTCCGTTTATGCACTTATGTAGATTCTTATCTTGCAAATATGAAACGGATACTCAGACAGACTTGAACCCTATCGCCAAGCTGAAATTTGCAAGATTACGAACCTCTTTTGACATCTCACGAATTAGATGCTTTTTACTCCTCTTCTAATGGTTCTGCGTTTTGTCGCTCATTGAGCAACTTTTCGTCCAATACCTGTAATCATGATCTGTAGATAAAGTATTCACAAAAACTAGTGAGACACGCTTTCGTACCTGCCACGTCCACTTTTGATTAGGTGAATCGTTGTCACATTTACGCATAAAAACAAAGCCGGATCCATCAGTCTCAGCGGTTAAACATTGATTTGAAACCTGTACAATGGGTGTATCATTTCTTTGTATAAGCAAACAAAGCTAAAAAGATACTTACAGGATGATAAATCATTTGAGTCTCTATACGATATTTGAACAGCTGATTGCCTTTCTGACTGTGACTGAAAATGAAAGTTCTATGCAACAGCGTTGAATTAGAACAAAAACGAACCAATCAAACAGCACAACAGGAGCTTTGTCCTCTGATGTAGACACGTCAAAGCAAACATTACGTCCTTCGGGACGAATGTCATGCCATCGGGTAATGCGAAGGTTCTAGATGATTTGTGTTGCAAAATTCAAAAAGTCTCGGAGTCTTACTTGTTCGCCACCCGAGTTCGGATCGTCACTTATACACTTCCGGAGCCCAAAACGTTGCTGAGACTGCTTGAACTGTGTGTCAACACAAAGTCTAGCCGCTTTGTTGCGCAGTTCTCCTCAAAACAAATACAGCTGCCAAATGTGATACAAATCGCAAACGTCATAATCCACACACCACTGGCCGATGGCTTAGGCTCCACTGCTGGATAGTACTTGTCCTGATCAAACGCAATTTCTTTCATAAACCAGTCGAAAGATTTGCATTTCAAGCGTTCCCGAACGGCCAGTTGTTTGGAAAGGTCACCTACAAAAGAGTAAGTGCTCGGAGACCAGTAAGAAAAAAAAAGAAACACACCAGTGTCAGCATCTCCAACACCTGGGCGGTGCTTATAAAGGTTATGTTTGTACTCATCCATCCAAACCTGCGACATTTTCGATTCAAAAAGACATGAAAGATGAATTCAAGCAGACATACCTCGGCTACCCGTCTGTAATTTCTGCTAATGAAGTCACCTTTACCGGCATTTTTGAAGGGCATGTATTTACAGCGATAGATATGCCCAACACGAGAACAAGGGGCATCTACCATTCTTCCGTGGCACTGCCACACCTAACACGGCCAAACGATTCGCAATACTTCCACATTCACTCGCTTACCTTGAAACTCAGCTCATATTGTTCACCACCCCATATATCAAGACCTTCATCGTAACCTCCTAGCTCCCAAAACCATTTTGTTGAGATAGCGAAGTACCCGCCAGCCATCACAGGACTTGGAAACGGTTTTGTAGGATTCTCGCGGTCCTTCTTCGTGAGCGGCAGTCTTTTATAGTTGAAAGCCCAATCAAACGAACCTAAACAAGTAGTAAAGACAAAGTATTAAGTCTAACTCCACTAGTAATCAGATAGACTGGCGCAGCACTGGAGGAAGATATACCTCAGGAACCTAGTTTTCGGACCGAGCGCAGTCACGACGTTCAAAGCGCGTGCCGCCAGTCGCGTACTGATAGTCAAAAGCTAGACAGATATATAAACGATTGAAATATTGCAAAATTTGTAAAGATTTGAGCACAAATCAGAGAAGGCGACCGAGATAGACATAGCCCGACATAACCCTAGATGGCTGGTTAAATTGAGAAAGAGATTCCGTATATAAGAAGACTGACCTCTGGCACCATTGTCCTGAGGACGGATTTCATATGTCTCACAATCTATGACATCAACAAAAGGGCAGACAACTGTCCTGAAATCAAATTATTCCTCTTCATTTGAGAACTGTGTCCAAATTGTATAAACAGCGATCATCATGTAGATAGCTTTTTTGTCACATTGAAGCTTGCAGCAAATTTCATGAAAGTGAAGTCAGCTGCTGCATGGTATGCCGCAGTGGATCTTATGCGGTCCCAAACACACAGCATAAAGCATCAGATAGTATTAGTACACCCACCAAATTACGATTTTGTTCATTCCCGCGAACCCACACAGAGTTCATCTCAGCAAGTCACACCCATAAAAAATGTCTTGTTGATTGTTAACTATGCGATACTACACCGTACATCTACCATATCCCACGAAAATGTGTTGGTGTACAAAAGTGCGCTATTGAAGCCCTTTTAGAATGAGCCCTTGTGCTACTCAGGCACACGCCATACTTGATCCTCATCCACTTCATCCACCTCGTCACTGGTCAAGTCAGTGAACTGACCCATAGCGAAGTGAGTGTATTATGGAGATCCGCCTCGCCATTGGTCAGTTCACTAATTTGACCAATAGCGAAGTGGATAAAGTGGATTAAGTCGATAAAATATGGCGCATGCCTTAGGAAGAGAAAGTTCAGAATTTCTGAACAGTATTTTTTTTAAATTTAAAACAGGAATAAACACAAAGCAAGTGTAGAAAAAATCACATGTTCATAAAAAATTTCGAAGGCAAATGCAGATGTAAAGATCAAATAGAAGAAAATATAGAAAGCATATTGAGAAGATCTTATCAATACATTAAACGGATGTCGCAATCACAGCTCTCTATTGAAGCTGCAAACTAGATCATCATGCGCGGCACAGCGATGAAGTCTAACTCACCTGTAGTCTTCGACGATAGGATCAAGCAAAGGAGGCAACCAATTATAGTTGGCTTCAGAATGGGCATCAAGAAAAATCAGTACATCTCCTGTTGCCTTCTCAGCGCCGAACTGACGAGCACGAATAAGTCCCTCTCTAGTTCTGAAAATGGAGGATACATCAAGATGTTTTCATGCACTCCTTTCAAAACAGGATCGAATCCTCAAATCACCATACTAGTCATGAACCTACTTCGTCCGCACGATCTGCACAAGTTGATCTAGCTTGTTTCGTTTCAGAAAGTCTTCTAGAGGTTTTTTCAAAAACGGCTTCTCACTAAAATCGTCCACAAGAATTATCTCCTTGAGCAGGTGCTTCGGTGAACGGTTGATGATTGAATAAACAGATCGTAACAAAGTGGAGTTGTGCTGGAAATCAAAACAGAACCGGATATCTGAAGTCAAGCAAAAAGTGTCTTACCTCCTCATGAAAAGGGAAGATGACAGAGACCGTAGGAAGTTCAGAATTATATTTCATTGATTTACAGCCTTCATGTCGGATATCCTTCATGGATCGATTGAGCGGTATCAAATCGGATATGTAGGCATTGTATCCGTTTGCTTTGTACAAAGCCAACTAAAATTCGATGAATTTGCAGGAGAACGGGCCAGCTAAACGGCTGTAAGCGTACTGCAAGCATGTTTGAAGCCTGTAGATAATCCTTTTACTGTACCGATAAATGAAAAAAAAGACCAAGTGAGACAAAAAACCAATCAGTCTTGTCCATGCGAAAGAAGATGGTACTTCTTAAAACTCACGGCTTCTTTTTCTACAAGCGGGTCCTTTGGAAGAGTCACAGGTTGTCCTTGTTCACCAGGTCCGACCCGAGCTTGATCAGCTTTGTAAGCTTCCACATCTTCCCAGTTCTATTGTATTATTTTCATGAGTAAGAAAGAATAAGTTTCATAGCTCTCACAATCTTCTCCTTCCCTCGAAACTTCAAGAATGGGTCTTTCATAGTCATATCTTGGGCGACCTTACGACTATCATCCTCGAGAAGAACTCCTAGTAGATTTTTGAGTAGAAGATTTTTTCAGATTAGCAAAACAACTCACTGTCCCCTCGTCCTAGCATCCTGAGATCGTCTACTGTCTTCATAGTGGGTGAGAAGAGAAAGCCAAAAATCAAATAAAAACATCCTATTGCTACCACATATTTCAAAAGATTAATATACCGTCGACTGATGTATCGGCTTACACCCATCTGAAAATAGCAGACACGACTTCCAAAAGATTTGATCAAAGTTTAAGGAAGCAGCGGAGGATCAAGAGATTAGCATGACAAGTATATAATCAAGACAAGGATGAAATACTAGCTTGCTTGTAGAGACTATTAGAGTATGCTATAATTTCTCACGACTATGACGAACGTCGAAGTCGTCATTGCGCTATTGATTTGATTCTTATCATACTTACATTAGAGGTCAGTTGCTGTTATCGAGTGGTCGTAACAATTTGTTCCTATCAGTAATATCTTCATTAATCAGAACTCATTGCAATATGAATACTTCAATGATGTTCTACACTGACGTCTGAGAAACTTTCTAGGGGGGGGGGGGTGAGGAAGGGAACTGGGAGGGCGACATTCTTACTTTTTCAATAAAAGGGCGTAGCGTCAGCACGCCTCTTAAAAATTTTTGGCGGTGAATCTCTGATGCGTGCAGCCGTCTACAGCAATTTGAAAAAAGGGAACTGCGCAACCTGAACTACCGTAACACTGGGTTTGCCTGCGCGGAAACAACACTTATCGAACTCGGATCTTGTTCTAGTAACTGTGTTTAAAAACGGGCACCCAACAAATAAATACGGTCTTAATAAAAAAAATGATCAGGTGCTCTGTACTGAGGACCATACCAAAGCCGTCCGACCAAGAACTATGCATGGCGTAGACGAGTGTCACTCTCATAACTGCTGAGATGTATCTACTTTCAGATTCGTGTGGGGGCAGGTTGCGGACTTTACCTGATTATAAGGACAATGTTGATGAGAGAGTACAAAAAACAATGCTATAACGTGGAGATTCAACAAGTTCATCCTCATAATGAGGAAAAGTCCACAACCCGCCTCCACACAAATTTGGGAGCCAATCTGGGCCGCTTCGATATTATGAAGCAGCATTCGGACAGTAAAAGATCACCAAAAACACCTGCGCTATGACAGATAAGGCAGGCGCCATACTTGATCCGCTTGATCCACTTGATCCGCTTCACTATTGGTTAGTTCACTGAATTGACCAATAATGAAGCGGATCAAGTGAATCAAGCGGATCAAGTATGGCGCGTGCCTAAGGAAGTTACAACAGTCTAATGGTAATTATCACTTATGGGGGCAGATAATACCTCGAGTGCAATTTTCACTCTCCAGTGGAATAAGTATCCAGTGAAGCTCCTTGCGCTCTAATAATTATAGACCTATCCCACTTATTTCTTCGAAATCATCAACGCGCACAGAAAAGTTTACTTTGCACCCTACAGGCATACGCGGCATGCACGCAGGCTCTGCGGACGTTTCTTCATCTCTCAGATCTATGGAGAGGGTGTAGGGCGTCAAACAAACCGACTTTCTTGGACTCTACAAAACTCTCCGTGTTTTCGCTGGAAATCGGGGGGGGGGGTCGGGTCGGAGGCCGGTACAACTCAACGGAAAAATGGCGCATGATTTCGAGTTACGGTCTTTATTTGCTTGCGTTTTGCACGTTTTGTCGCCTAGTGCTTGCCCTTCCTATGGGGGCACTTTCATCCCGCTGTTTGCGATTTCATGCACCCTCTCTAGTAAACGCAAAGGAGTATGAGTTATACGCTGTGCATCCACCCATTTTTCAAGTAAACAGGCAGTCAAAAATTAAGCGCTCGGTTATCTCATCATATGCTAGATACCAACTTGGTTTCACATGGGTATTCCCTGGAAAGTTTGTTCTGCTAATAAATTAGTGGAGAATAGAAAAAAAGGATTTCTCAAAACCATCTCAACAGCATATCAATTTGAGAAGTTGCTCAAAATACCCAAAAAAACCCCAAGAAATATGACGACGCAAATGCGATTTTACAATGCACCTACCACTGAGAGAATGATAAGGAAGGGCAAGGAATTCGAAGTGCATGGAATTAACTTCGCAGTTAGCCACGCCTTCCCTTATTGGGAAAAGCGATGCCTGCCACGTATCAGGAAACCAACAATGACTAGCGTTGCCACGGCTGCACACACAAATACAAGTGACGGACACCGACATTCCATACATGGACAGATCGAAACGAAATCGGCAAACATTGATGAGAGATTAGTACCGCTGCATCATCCAGCAAATTGTTTCAAATACAGTAGGCAGTTCGCAAAGTCTATAAACAATACTTTATTACCGACAGGCATGTAAAAGACCAGCCAGGTAATATGCAACAAAAAAGAACAACAGAACAGCTTAAGCTTTGTATCCGCGAGATGCTCTTCGTCCACGGGCACGTTCGAACTTGCGCCCTTTCGAGCGGACGTATGGCTTTGTGTGACTGTGGGGAACTCCAGGAGCTGGTCCAAAATGCTTTTCCGCTTCGCGAGCCTTGCGAGGTCCCTAAACATCTTTTTTTTGAGAAAGTGATGGCAATGCAGCATAGAACGACGCTGATGGGAAACCTTACTATCACTGTGGGCATAAAAGACTTGTAAAAGGCATGATTTTATTACGCACTGGGTCTTTCAAACGCAGAAAATCGATGTGCATTGACAAAATGAGGATTTGCGAACATACTGGCGTATAAACCAAAGCGCAGTCGCTACTTTACGATGACGCGGACTATTTATCTTGTCCAAACCAGTATCCTAGGTATTTACACTCACCGCTGCCTTTCTAACAAACAATAAAAAGCTAATTAGAACAATGATTAATTACGACCTAGCAAAAACCAGAAGCAATAAGTGTTCTCTGTGTGACCAGATTGAAAAATGAGGAGGCAGTGACATGGAATTTCGGAATGAGATTTATGTCTAACTCTAGCGCCCCCATACCCAAATCTATAGTCTGAGAACCTTTTATTAGAAAAACAAAGCCCAAGATACTTCAAAACCTTCACTTCTGTCATGAAACCCATTCAGGCGTGAATTCTGCTCACTGAGCCATGGCATTTGGTCCGTAATGTTACTCTCACCAAAAAATTCTGCGATTGTAACATTACAGCTACAAATCTTGATATAACATCTACGTGCTCTAAATCTAGCAATAAAAAAGAGGTTAAAAATTGTTGAGTAAAGTCGCACGACGAATTGCGCTCAAAAGTGGGCACCAGCTAGGATCTAAGAAATTCTTGCCAATAGATAGAAACCGAGAGTTTGTCAAAAAAGGAATACTTTAGTTCTCCAGTCTTGAACAAAAATCATAATTCTATTATTTTACGAGTGCTACTTGGAAATATTTCAAGGTTCACACGCCAGAACGTCTTTGCGGTGAAGACCGGCGTCCTTGCGGGGAGCAAGCGAACGCAGCTCCAGTCAAATCGAACGCTACCGCCTTCGCCGCAGCAATCTTCAAGGCCATCGAGGGAAGGGAGGAAGTAAGGAGAACTGCTGACAACCAGTGTTTTCTCAAAACCGCAACAACTTGATCGCGTTTGGATTCGTAAATAATGTGAAAACTACCATTCTGCTATCTACAAGAGATTAAGAGACCAGTGCTGCTTCAGCTTTGGTTTTCGAAACGATTCTATCTAACAAAGATGGTTTTGTCTTTTCACCATGACACATTCAAGAGCGAAATGCGCATACTTTGGATAGGCAACAGGAGCGATAATGTTCTGCGCAAAGAACATCCGTTCGTATCAGATGCTACGACGTCCTCGAACAAAACTCTCTGCTGAATATTTGATCAGCATTGAAGAGCAAAGAAAAGTACCATTTGTCAACTTGCAGAGAATGCAAATAAGAATATCGCGATGCGCGCAGCAGCACCTTATGACTGATTTGATCAAAACACCGCATTTGCAAGTTCACACGCAACTTATAATCTGAGAGGACAGCAAAAGAATTTTCCTTCTGTAACCTAGACCATTCGCTTCAATTCTCGTAATAAATCATACAACAATTGATTGCTTAAATTATGCGTTGTCAGAAAAGTGCACCACAACCATCGCTGGTCTTCAACTTCCGATAATTAACATGAAACAGGAACGCAGATGTATAGCGAGTACCAGTTGGAAGAATGCAACTTCACAAGACTGCTATCATTTGATAGTAACGATCGGCGCATCTTTCGCTAACATGAGTACCTTTACATCATTACATCATCTGAACTCATTATAACTAATTCTTCCACCAAGACAAAGAAGAAACCCAGAAATCTGAATAACCTACAAGGAAAAAAAACTTTATTTGAACTGACCTGTATCAGAAGAGTATTCTCTCCTTTGGGCGCCCGAAGAGCCAACTGATCAAAGGTGATGACCTCGCCTCCGGCTTTGAGGATGCGGGCACGAGCCGAATCCGTGACTTTCAAGGCGGCAAGCTAAAATATGAATTTCTAATGAAAATTGCTTCCTACCAACATTTTATAGCGGGGTCAGATGAGAACGTCACTTCCAATAGGTTATCCTTTAGTAGGTGATCATAAGCGATTTTAAAAAACAAACTCTTATTCCAGAACAATCACGTAATGCTTGAGCTGTCAATGTAGCATTACAATGAAGACAAAGGAAGTTAAACCCGGAGGAAGACGCAAAGAAGACGCAAGCATTTCAGTTTGAAAGGACTCCTATAGGAGTATACGGGAGCATAGACTGTATACAGTTTATGCCAACGATGCGTTCCTTTCCAGTTAGCTCAAGCGCAACATGATAGCCCTGTAGCGTTCGCGGGCGTACCGCTTGAGCGCTAAAACTTCGCATCGATCGGAAATCGCTGCGGGTCCGTAGATGCTACGGAAAGGAACACGTGTTTGACACAGACTGTACATGTTCATAATATTTACTCACGCTGATAAGCAGTGTCGAAAATGTAGGATGCCAACTATTGTCTTTAGTTAGGCTGCAAAGCGGCAACGGTATTCATCAGCTTGTCAGATTAAAGAACGCAAGATTACAAACGTTTTTGAGACCTATCAATATCATGACCTATCATGGCATAAATTTATGGGTATTATCAACATAGTTACTTTCAGAGCATAATTTAGAGAACAAATTTGAACAAAACTTGACGTAGTCGTTGCTGGCATGCTTCAAAATAAGTAATCATGCTGATTAAGACGGTGGTCTCTTCAAGCTTAGTGCGATGCAGACAAAATACAAAAATCAAGGAAGGGTACATTTTCCATTCTCTATCGATGCCAAGATACACAAATTTGTAATCAATATAGCAAAAACAGATGGGATAAGAGGCCACGAGAAAAAGAGTAAAAGAAATCAAAAACTTTAAAAAAAGCACGAATCTCACCGTGAATTTCGGCACTTCATAGAGGCGAGCATCATCAGTGACGGTTCCACACGAAACAACAATTTTGCCAGCATTGCCTTCCTTTTTCAACATCCGAGTGATACGAGCAATAGAAAGCGGGGCGCGGAATCGTCTCGACATGAATAACCTTCTCATGATGATGTTGTTGAACTTCTCCCCTGTTCGTCTAGCCAAGAATGTGTACAACTAAACCAATAAAATTTATAAAAGAATGAGTTCAAAGAGTTAACAATGTGTAACTTGCCTACCTTGGCAAGGATTCTGAGATAGGGATCCTCACTTTTTGGAGCTGTCCTACGGACCTTGCGGTCGTGCTTATGGTTGATATCGATACCCTAGAAGAAAAAGAATAGTAAGTAGATTAGGTACAAATGTTAAGAACTCACCATCCTTCACCGTATGCAAGTTTTGGGGTACCCTGCAGAAAAACAAATCAATTGATATTGACACGATAGAATGGTACAAAAGAAAAGGAGTACGGACACGCTGAGCAAATCTTTGTTCAGGAAAGGACCACAAGTTTTATAGAACCAATCAAAATAAGCGTGTGCAACCCAAATCCTCATTCTAACAAGACTTCAGAGATGGCCTATCACTTTACTAAGTTTCGAAGTTTTTTTAGAATAGATCAATAGTCTGTAGTAATACTTCAAAGACTTATTTAGATGTTCAAAATAAAAATGGGTTGGAAATAGAATTGTGATAGAACAGCCTACGGTAGGTTTCGCTGGGGGAACGATTGCTTGAGAGCGATTAGGCCTTTAAATCGCGTTGCCCTTCGTCCACGCTTTTCGTCGACGGCCTAACGCTATTAAAAAGACCTAAAGCCATAGAATTTGGCCTAATTTTAACGTCGAATTGAGAATGTCGTGAACTTCAGTTTATGGCTTATGTTAAACTTGCACATATTATTAAGATTGAACTCTGGTTTGCTATTGTGGGGTGGCACTAAAGTTACGGCTGCTCTCTACACCTTATAGTGGAAATATAATAAATCCAATTCTGAAAACGCTTTTTTCCGAGAAGAGCAAAGACTATGGCGGAATATTCATCTAAAAACCTGGGGAGTGAAATTTACCTTGGCGCCCACCCATATTTACAAAATACAAGGCATGGTTCTCAATGATAAATTGAAACCTTGGTAAGATGAACCCTAAGGTATGCTTTCAGGCGGTGGCGGTCCTACGATTTCCGCCGAAATTCTAAAAAAAGGGACTTGGAGGTGGCCACGGCAACGAAAATTTTCCTTACAAGGCTAAAATTTTTTGAACAAAAAATTAGGTGTTTTGATTATTTACAAGTTGAAACGAGTCATTTGCACATTTCTATAACCCATGAAATAATCAACTTTTAAAGATTTTGCGACCCATTCCCTCCCCCCCCCCCCTCTCTCTATCCGCCGCAGTTTTCAGGGTATATTGTATCCCAAGGTTCGTTGATGAATACGGCCTCTGATGCGTTGTGCTTCTGCTTCTCTTGTGGATGAGGTCAAATATCTGCAAGAACCAGTTCAAGTTTGCATTAGCTCTAATTACATGTTGTGGTACTAGGGAACTGTTGTGTATACTTTATACAGGGTCCCAGAAAATGCGCCTATTGTTTGATTGTTAATAAATCTTTTGTTCACTGAGTTCTTCGAGAAGCTCTAGACACCGTTTTGTAGAGCTGGCTTCAACTTAGATTTACAGCATGGAACGGATCATCGATCTTTCTTCGCTGCTATAGGATTACGGTAGGATTTGAAAAGGGTTTTGCGTCATTAAGGGTCACATTTCACCTCTGAAAATGGACTAAAGAAGCTGAAAACTCTTGCACTGGATCAATCAAGGTCGTTGATTTTATAGATGAAGCTCGCACTTCGTCGTAATGCTTTTTTCATAATTTATGCCAGATAGCAACGACGGATTTCTGATATCTGTCGAAAATTTGATGAGACCGGTTAAAAAGCTCTGCGAACACGCAAAAAAGTTATGAGTTAGTGAAATGAGCATGCACGACAACCTTGTTACACAAATTTTCAAATTTTTTTAAAACTTCTTTTTGTACGGCCCATTTCACAGTGGCGCCATATGCTCCGAGTTTCTACCGTAATATTGCAGTAATGAAGGAAGATCGGTAATTTCCTCTAGACTGTGAATCTATAATAAGTTGAAGCTAGCCCTACAAAATTGTACCTAATCCTTCTCGACAGATTTCATGACAGGAAAATTATTAACAATCAAACAGTAGGCACATTCTTTTAAGACACCCTGTATACCGTGTTTACACACTTATTTATTGCTGCTGTTTATTAGATTGAAGTAGCTCTCATGGCTAAGGCATGCGATGGCGTCCTCATAGGATACACGCGCCGAGATTGTGACAATTAGATAATGGTAAGTCACGTGTATGGCTTTGCCATGAGCTCATACAGTCTGCCCCAATCGCAAAGGCCAAAATTGGCATGGCGGGAGACCGCGTCGCTGGGGTTTTCTGGTCACGCCCACGGCCTGCTTCTCTGTCCTCTCTTCAATCCTTTTGCTCTCTCTGACAGCACGCACATGCAGCGCAGACCGCTAGCGCTGCGAGCGCGCAAATTTACGCCGACGGTTTGGCCTGATCCCGATTGGAGCAGACTGTAAGTTCTTTTGTGCCTAGACCAAGAGTGGTCTTCTACATTTTTCTGTCATCTTGTCATTTTTGTCATTGCTGATGCCTTTCAATCATTGCAAATAAATTGTATTTGCCGTGTCTGTTGTTCATTAGCGTCGGGATATCCATCCGTTGGTTTCGCTCATTTCTTTGCGAGCGATGAAACCGACTGGGGGTTGAGCCGGTGATTACATTGTAGAGAATGCACGAGGGTACCAGAAAACATGGAAAAGTGTTATGACCAGAAGCTGGAGACACTGCAATCCTCGAAATTTGTAATCGAAGATCGGGTTATATGAAGCTGCCGGCTGAAAAGGACAGCCTGAGCATCCCAAGCTGGTAACGGACTGGGCAGGCCCGTTGCTGTGATCGAAGCTAAACTCTGCTTTGATCGCTCAGATTGATGAGAAGAAACCCAACGAGCACAGTTCGACCATTTGGTCAAAATACCAACGAAAATCGATGAGTAGGTGCAGTAGGGGTAAATGGGACAGAAAACGGGGAGGAAGGACCCAAGACAGCGTCATCCTTTGATGTTCCCTCAACAAAAACTAGTAAAAAACGAGGAAAATCGAAGAAAGATAGTCTGGGGCAGATCAATGGAGTAAACAGCATAATACTAATCAAACCTCTTCTAAGAAAGCCCTAGTCATCTGCAACGAATGCGCGAGCATGTAACATAGAACTGCCCAGGAATTAGCACACGGAAACACCGTTTTGGAATGTTGGATAGAAAAAGAGTACCGGATGTCTTCTCGAACTTGCTCTCAGCTGTATCAGCACGGGAACGGCGTACGATCTGCCCGAAATATTTCTAGGATAACTTAGTTACATCCCCGATAACTGACGTGTTGCTCGTTTATTGGATGCCTCATGCGATAGTTTCACTCTCCGTTCTCTAAGAATATTATTATTATATTTTCGTAGCCATTGCTTCCACGCGACCTTAGCATCAGTAGTTGACTCCAAGAAGTCAGCATAGGACTGCCCTCCTCGAACGCGGGATGTCCCTTATGATTTGTCCTCTCTAGGGGAAAAGCCCTGGAATTTGCGAACTGCAATCCTTAAACGGATAGTCGTTGGCGCCAGCTTAAGTCACGGAAAACACCGATGCTACCAAAAGGATTCGATGAAGTCCTGAGACCTTGAAGCCTATTTTGTAGCGTAATATGCTTTCCAGATGAAGGTGAACCGCTGGTTCGCGGAGGATTTGTCGGCAGCCATACTAAAAAACTGCGTCGAGCTTGGGTTGCGCTAGAGAAACGGATAAATGCTATCAGTGCGAGCAGTGGCCAAGATGTGGAATTATTGGCACGCACAATCCACAAATAAAGACTTGTATCAAGAGAATTATTATCAATGTGGTATTCAACATTCATGATGGTGGCTAAAGACCAAATATTTTGCATACACGGTTTCGGTACTAAGAACTAGACCGGATGTGTAATTGCTTGCTGCCCTTGGGTATTTGACCCTTTCATCAGTAGTTCCCAAGGAAGAGTAAAAGAAGAGTCTAAGATGGATGAGTAATAGAGAGAACCAGCCATGCAGCAAGTTCAATCAGATAACAATAAGCAGTCAAGAGAGTATCCACTAATCTATTTTGTATTCTAAATTTTCCCGCTCAATTGATCACTGGTCTGTAGAGCATACTAACTTATCACACATTCAATCGCCAACCCCATGGGATTGAAAGATGGGAACAGTTGGGCACAGATTGGCACTGTATTCAGCGTGTAAACCAAGCTGTTAATATTGAAACAATATGATCAAAATATTTCAAAAATAAAAGAGTTCAACGCTTCACTAAGTTCATGAACTAACGGTAAGAGAAGAGATACTTCAAATCCATAATTGCGTAATATGTGGGAACGATGTATCAGTGATTTATAAGACGTACTGACTGGCTGTACCTCATCCCATCCATCTGTTGTTAATAACTCTTAGCTGTAACTATTTCTGAAAACTATGGTACTCAGTAAAAGTCCTGTAAATTCGTATTAATTCTCTTGCCAAGATATTCCTTAGAATGTACCTAGGTAATCAGAACATCAATGAGGACTATTACTCTGAAGCAGTGGCGTACCGAGGGGGGGGGGGGCCGGGGGGCGCCTGTTTAGTGACCGCATTATGTACCCGATATCCAGTCCCTTTTCTAAAAAGTTCTCTCAACTTTGCGTCTCTGACTATATTCAAGTTTCCAGTGCATGTATGTCCATATTCTAGGTCAATAAAGTCTGGATACTTATGACAACTGTATTCTGCTTTTCTGAGCTTATACCTTATCTGTATTTTATATTTATCCAATAGTCTACTAGCGTATGGTGGAGTGCTGTGAAGAATTCGTTCTATTTTCTTGCTATCAAATACTTTACTGAGTTGCAATCTATCTCAAATTCCTTCAAATACAGGGTGTCCCAAAAGTATGTATCGAACGTTTGATCGTTAATAACTCTCTTCCCAAGAAGTCTTTTGCCTTGCTTCAGGTACCATTTTGTAGGGCTGGCTTCAACTTAGATTTGCAGTATAGAACGAATCACTCATTTCTCTTCATTACTGTAGGATTACGGTAGAAACTTCAAGGAGGGTTTTAAGCAATGAAAGGCCATATTTTGCCCCAGAAAGGAAACAAAACAGCCTTAAAACTTTTACACTAGGCTAATTAGAGTTACTGATTATAACTGTAAAGTTCCCAACTTATTATGATGCTTCATTGAAGAGTTATGCCAGGTAAGAAGTAGCGGCCATTTCTTCAATGTTCCTAAAAAGTGGGATTGCACCGTTTAGAAAGCTTCGTAATCTTGTGAATAGTTAATTATTGAACTCAGCGTCCATAAAAACCCTATTACACAAGTTTTCACGATTTTTTGAAAAATTTTGAAACGGCAGCTTTTTTCACATTAACACCATATGTTTCAAGTTTCTACCGTAATCCTACAGTAATGAAGAGAGATGAATGATTCGTTCTATAGTGCAAATCTAAGTTGAAGCCAGCTCTACAAAACGGTACCTAAAGCAAGGCAAAAGACTTCTTGGGAAGAGAGTTATTAACGATCAAACGTTCGATACATACTTTTGGGACACCCTGTATGTTATCGTTATATTTATTCTGATAGAATTATTGTTCTTCTGTTGTACTTGTTTACCCTAGAATGTTTTCGCAAGTGGGCCATATATTTTCAATTTCAGTTCCGCCGCATATTCCAGTAACCCTGGAATGTAAAGTCAATTAATCTGTCTATATCAAATTCATTCAAACTTCTGAAGTATTTGTATAGTTCGTAACTTTGTAGTCTATTGATTTATTTATTATTTAATTCATTCTATAAGGATAATTTGACTCCCTCGTGACGTTCTTCTATCTCCTCTTATTCTTTTCCGCCTAGTAGGACACCTGAAGTATGGATGTTCCTTCTTTTCAAACGGATTTATGCCATTCGAGATATTTCCGTATCCTTTTATTGGATTGCCATTTCAACTCTATCTCTGAGTTCGATCTTAGCATTTTTTTGTTGATGGGGTTCCACATGATCCAAGATGTCAATAGTGTACTCTGTTCATGGGTGCTTGGTCTGCTTGAAGTGCTGCAGAATGTAGATATGTGTCGAGCTAAAATTACGGAATCTAAGTTGTTGTGTACTCTCGCTCACATATTGCATATAGTAAGTCGATCATGTTATTAAATAGATAACATTGTTTGATTTACGATTAGCTAATTTCATTTAGTTTGTTTTGAAAAAGTAATTAGTAGTGAGCCTTTAACTTTGTTATAAAAGTTCTTTCACATCTATCTTGTTCCGGCATTGTCACTAGTTCAGATTGTTAGCAGATCTGAATCCATTGAGTCAGAGGCCGTCTCTTCTGAAATGATATCCACGGAAGTCCCCTCGAAATTGGTTTTTCGTGCGAATAAAATGTACTTGATCCATGCGGTGGGATAAGATATCGCATTCGCGAATCCATTCATTCCATACAAAACTTCTTCGGCGAATCTTCTCCAACTTGCCTCCTGTTTGCTCACTCTTGCAAACTCATTTCCACCAAGTGGTCGATACATAACTAGACTGACCTAACATTGAAATATCAGTCACATTAGTATTTTATTCTTTCCCACTTCGTTACACCTCACAAAATGCCATTTAATATCGATGATTATGCATCTAAATTACTTTCATAACTAGAAAAGATCTTGGCCTTCGCTTTTCAAGACTTCTATCTGCATTAAATCAAATTGTATGTAGAGCTCTCTGCGAAAAGCAAACTTTGGCCAGACTTGCACTGCATGCTGTGAATCAAAATGCTTATCTCATAGGAAAGCTTGCACTACACTGCAACTCAAGGGGTTTTTTTAAATCGAGAAAACTACGAATCTGCAAAATATGACTTCGCAAATGTTTTACTTTAGCTCTTTCTGTTTGTTAATGTGCGTTAATGCTTATATCTAAGTAGTTGAATGTATGGACTATTGCTAGTAAATTTTTTACAGGATTTTTCTTGCTAGCTAGCGGCACTTCATCAATTCTTGCGACCCAACTCAAATTGAACGTTTGAAATGCTGTCTTTGAGGTTTGGCTCTACGAGATTGGTCAAAGGATAGCTTCTGAGTGATTATATTGAAACGCAAATCTTTTTTATTCTCAAATACAAATCATGAATTTAGTTTTGGTTGATGAGTTGAAGAGTTGACCTTTTAATTGTTTTACATAGGAATTTTTGCATCGGCCTGATATTTGGAAGCAATTGAGTTTGTTAGCAGTTATTTTGGTGAATTCAACATTCTTCCGTGATTTTTATAGCGCTTCTACGAATTCAGAAAGAAACATGTATTTTAGACTTCATAAAAGGCATAAAACTTTTTCCACTCTCGTAATATCTCAAAATAGGCTAAGGAACACATTCTCAAAAAATCGCAATTAAAAATGTGCAAAAAGTCAAAAAATGGACTTATTCCCAGCTTAGCTTGCTGATGGGAGTAAACTGGGCTTTCAAGTCCATTTAAAATGGAGGTAAATCCCATTTTGCCCCATTCTAACTTTTCGCATAATTGTTTCGCAGCGAAAGTTCAGGTAGGGTTAAATTATTTGCATCACACCGCTTTGCCCCGTGGTTGCGATGAGATGAAAATTTTATATAACGCTAGCGAAAGCAGAATCTGATTAGTTCCTACCGCGAACGAATAGAATGGGGCTCAAAAGTCCATATTCCTCCGGTTTTCTGGAATGATATCCACGAAAATCACCGCGAATTGGGCTTTTCGTGCGAATGAAAGGACTTAGTCCATGCGTTGTGATAAGATATCGCATTCGCGAATCCATTCATCTCTATATATATAGAACTCAAAAATTGTCAGTTTGGAGGGTATGTGCGTTATAGAAACGAGCGCCACTCAACCAATTGAGCTGAAACTTTTGTTTGAACCTGTTTACTTACTCTTGCAAACTCATTCCCGGCAAGTGGTCGATTAATTAGACTGGCCTACTTTACAATGTCAGTCACGTGAACATTTTATTCCTTTCCATTTCGTCTGTGACTATGCGTCTAAAATTACTTTCAATTCAGTAAATTTCAACTATTATCTAGGCCTTCACTTTTTAGGAGTTCTTTTTACCTATCAAATTCGTAAGCTGGGTTTTTTCGCAGAAAGCAAACTTTGGCTGGAGTGGCACTGCAGTTCATCAAAATGTTCAAACAGTTGAAACGTGCGGCACACGCGCGTTTATGGTCACTGCTGCAAGGCACGTGCCTTATTTGTGAGCGAGTCCTGCAGTAAGCTAAACGCGTGCCATCCAAGACATATTTTTGACATATAAAGTGGGAGATTATCAAGACTGGCGATGTACAGCGCAACGAAAAAAGGAAAAAGACAGCAGACCAGCAGTAGCGGCTGGCATCCAATGTCTCGCCATCTGCGGATTGGGTGTGGGCCACCGTGTGGCTGCGCGCGCGCTGCATGCTCCAAGTGTTTGAGTTCTTATCTTGCAGGAAACCTTGCATACGCTACAACCCAAAGGGTTTTTAAGCTAGAAAAACTATGAATCTGCAAAAAAAATTGATGACTTAGCAAATGCTCTATTTTAGCAACCATCTTTGGGGTCGGTTCCACGAAGTCAGTCAAAAGATAGCTTCTGGTTTAGCAGATTACTCGCCCATCAAAAGGTCCCACTCCCACTCCAGTTCTTGATGCTGGAAAATGGGCGAGAAAGTTACAAAAATATAGTTTTTCATAATTACTTTTAGATGTGCACAGTAAAGATGAAAAAGGAAAAAGGAAAATACGAATGATTACTCTACACGGAATTTAATTAAGAAATCACGCTTTATTCAACTGAAAAATTCCCGCTATTATCGCATTTTGTTGATATTTGACCCCCCGCTACGCGGGCAAAATCAATACAAAAGGACCATGTCCGACATTAACATCTCCGTAACCTCTGCTCTTAAGTCCATCCTAAGCGAATCCGAAAATGTTCGCCTGACCGCGTCCTCATGTCTCTCGTTCGGCTGTCAACCAGTTGCACACCAAGCAGGATAAGGTAGGAAAGGAACTAGAGCTGGTCCGAAAAATGACAGGACGAACTGGTTAATGGTAAGTGTGTGATTTTCTAACATTCCTTAGTTGAATCCTCTGTTGTTCAGGTCATATACATGTCTCTATCATTCGGTCTGTCTAAAGGTCAAGCGCTTCAAAACCTACTATCAAACTTGGGTTATAAGAAGCCCCTATTCAATAGCGAAGGTGACCTGTTAGCGAGTGACAATGTCAACCGTAATGAGTTGAGCAATATGGCCGTATGTAAAATAGCCATCAAAGTTTATCCTTGCTGTCTTATTTAATATTTTGTTGCGCAAAGGCACTATGAGTACATGATGGGTGCTAGTTTCCAGAAAAAGATTGCCTTCCACAACCAGAAACCTGCTCAAAGGTTAGTATTTAAGTCTTTACTGATAAACATTAAAAACCTACAAAGGCTTACATGTAAAAAAGCCGAAAAAGAGGAATACTAAGTTATATAAGTCGAAGCTACGTCCAAGTATTAAGTAAGGACAAAAAGAGTTGTAAGTAAGCCTACATTGTGCAAGATTCAATATTGGTCTGTGACTCAGAAATGTATGCTCTTGGGCTATATTACCAAAGCTTGCTTCTAGTAGCAATAGTAATCACTAGGTTGCCTCTTATGTACGCGTGATCCACACTAAGTATAGTGTATATAACCCCTAGCAGCTGATGATATCAGACAGCGGTCAACACTTAGTGACTAACGGATCGATAAATAAGTGCTTATATGCTTAAAAGTTATAGCTTATTTTTAATTTGTCTCTGAGAAGTGTAACCGTTGTTGTTATTTTGATACGATAGCTTTAATTTTGTTGAGTAGGCTAAGGGATTAGCTTCACTGGTTTTTTTTAGGTAGGCCGCTAGGTAGTTAATTAAGCCGCTAGGTACTGCTTTGTTTTGTTTTGTTTTTGTTGCTTAATGTGGATCTCTTTTCAATTCTTAGCGTCGCTGTTAGGTCTCTTTTTTGAAGGTTGATGTATTCTTCTATCGCAGATCAATGGGTGCCGCGAAACTCGCGCCAAACCTTTTGATCCTCAATGTCTCCACCCGTTTTCGCTCATTGATTTCCTTAGTCTCTGTTTAGTCCTTATTTAAGGTGCGTTGTTCATTTGTTCTTTGCTGAGTTTCCTCTCCCTATTGTCGCTTCCTCTTTACTGTCGTTTGATTTCTCTTAGTACTTTGTTATTGTTGCTGTTGCTTTTCGATAAAGGTCTGTGTTCTCTCCTGGTGGTTTGGTCTGCACGAACCGCGGTAATAGGCATCTTTGGCTGGGTATCTAAACAATTTTTACTCTTTTCCGCCACTATGGGGTATAAGCCACATATGTTGATGTATTGGCTACGGGTAGTGAAGAAATAGATTCTGCAAGAGTAGCGTAAGGTATAGGAGATTGGCACGCCCTTATGCAGTACACATCTACATTATAAATTCTGCCTGAAAAGATGACGGCCATGCTTACATGCGAAAATAAGCACTGTAAAGTACCACAAAAAATCAAAATGAATGGAATCAAAATTGACTTGCAAGCTAGTCTGTGTACAAGAAGACGGCTTGGGAGCCACGTTCGCTCTTCTTCGCGATTCAATGGAGGAGACAAGCGCACAGCGTCCGCGTTTAGCCCCGAAAATGCGATGTTCGCTGGCAAAGCGCTTAGAGGCATACCGGGAAGTGCTTGGAAAATACTAGCCCATAAGATACTTTTACAGGTATGACACGACGTCTTCGAGGCCACAGCTATTTACTTTGGCTCACGTCGGCCTTGGTCAGGCGTTTGTCTGCGGAGCACGGCAACCTCCTCGGACTTGGATTCTAGATTTTTGTTTAAATCTTTGCTCATCTTCTCCTTTCTTGTTGATCAATCTTGTTGCGGAAAGACGCTTTACACAAAGTGCAACTTAACGACCCTGGAACACCCCGATAGTTCAGTACAGCGAATATGTGAAACTGCCGGGCTTCAAAAGAAGAAAGAATACGTATTGAGCCTGAGGACAGCTGCAGAAGCGCAGCATTCAGCCGGAGAGAGCCCAGGATTAGCACTTATAATCGAGGTCGAGGAACACGGCCTTAAATTCTTAGAACCTTGATATATACGTATTTCCTTCCATCCCATTGACATTAAGAGTCAGTGGAGGCATAAGGTCTAATAGGTGGATGTTTGTTTGACTCTTAAGATTTGATATGGTGTTGTCAAGATGTAATGTACAGCCAGTTTTGCGTCCCAAGTTTTTGTATATAGTTTTGGTACATAGCAATTAATATAGCCCAGATCAGAACATGTCAAAAAATTTAATTATTATTAACTTGTATGTTATAATTTGTTCTATGGTAAATGTGTATGGGTAGAGCTAATATAATAATGCTATCCTTGTGTAGGATGGGTCTTAGACTCTGTCTAAAAAAGTTAGGATAGGACATATGTTCCTAGTTGGGTAGCATAACTTTGCCACAATGATAATTATCTATGACATTCTAGGATACTACTTCTCTAGATATTAATACATAATTTACCAATAATTAATTCGATGTAGAATTTCGAGTCGCTGTGCTACAACTTATTAAATAGTTATAATACTTACCAAGTTCGGAGGAACCTTGGCGTGGTGTTGTGAGTAAAGTATCCGATACGGTTTATACCACGGGTAACGCTCCCCGGCGATGATGAGGCTTGCCCTAGCCGTGGGGGAAAATATTTCCTCAAAAGGAAATTGCGTAAGAGTCTCGGATGGGCCGCCTCAGACGTAATGGATATAGGCCAGGGAACCCTTTTAATCTCAATGATCTTTGTTGCATGTTGACCTCATCTCTTGATAGTGCAGAAGGTCGCCGTCAGCTTAGAATGGTAGATACCGGTATGAACAGTGAGCACTTTGGAAACAGATGTAATAGAAATACATGTAAAATCGGTGACAAAATCAGACTTAACAATTATGTCAGAAGCTCAATACAAACTATTCATTCGGAACGAATGAACCCAGTCACTCTAACTGTGACACTAAGAATGTGGTTCACTTTATTACCTGTGGAACATGTAATTTACAGTATGTAGGGGAAACTAAACAAAACCTAGGATCAAGAATGAATCAACACAAGGGAGTTTTTAGAAAAGGACCCTCAATACTTTCATAGTCAAGCATATGTGATACCAGGCATAATCCAGCAGATTTTACTAAAGATTTCCTGGATTATACTAAAAAAGATGGTAATTCTAAGCACTATCTAAGGCCCCGGGCAGACTTCACGCGACTTAATCGTTGCGATCTAATCGCCAAGATTTCCATTCATTTTCATTTCACATTCAAAATTTCGGGCTGGAAAAGTATCACAACCGAATGCAAGTTGATCGGCATGGAATGATGTTGACAGTTTTCTCGTCGCGATTCAGTCGCGACGATCAAATCGCGTGAAGTCTGCCCGGGGCCTAAGGGAAAAAACTGCAGTGGATGAAACTGCTCATTACAGCGTGTACATTTGAGTGCAGTGACCAAATTAAGTTTTGGAAATATATCAAATAGGTAAATCCACTGGAAAAGGAGGAGCACCCACTCTTCAGATTTACTTGTTTATTTTTGTAAACAGTTAAAATAACTTTTAAAATTTTTTAAAAATTCAAATTAGCCTTATAAAAAATTTTTTTTGGGGGCATGGCTGACGCCACGCCCCCTTATTCCAGATTTTAGGGGTTGGGGCCCGCTGGAATTTTTTCGGAGTGCGTGGCTGACTCCACGCACCTTCATTGAAAAAATTTTTCGCCGACCCCCACCCCCGAACCGAAATCCTGGGTACGCCACTGATAGAACAGACTACATTATAAACAGAATCAATGAACTTTATAGTTATTTGCTTTGCACTTATTTTGAAACTTAACAAAACGACATCAACAGGTTAATAGATTACACATTTACGCTTCTTTTTGCAACTTATCTTTCGCATTAAAGTGCAGATTACTAGCGCTTTAAGCAAAACCTTTTTTGGAATAAATCATCTGGAAAGAAAGACAGTAGAGAACTCATTAGGTTATGGCCCCTTATTTGGATATAATGGAAAACAAGCTGACAGAGAGTCGCACAGCAGATAGTGAACTTGAATTTGGAATGAGTGCCTCAAGGCGCATCTACTGGTGTACATTTACTGCAAAGGCCACGGTCACCAAGTATTCTTCCCTTGTAAGAGTCAACAAAAGACACAGCATTTGCAAATTATCGCTTACCTTTATCGATTGCCGATGGAGCAACGGGCTGGAGGTAGGCACAAGCCGATGAGTGAGATGCTAATCAAGGACAAAATATTAGTTTTCAAGATCATCGATTACCTCTATCAATTTTATCGATTTCCTAAAGAGTAAGGGAACATGAGAATTTCGAGAACACAGGGGGCAGGAATGGTGGAGGCACAAGGACATGTTGCGGAGAAGTGAGACGCATTGGTGAGTTCTACCATGTAGCTACTGGATAATGACTACTATACAGAACAAGCGAAAACTGCGCGGAGATTGGGATGTGAGCATAGATAAGTCTTCATTGAGCAAGCTGGCATGCTTAACAACCATGAAGTGATATTTAAGATGTCAAAACTACCCGCAGTATCATTCGCTGCACTTAAATTAGCTGGAGACAGCAAGCGCGATCTAGCGATGGGATCATCTACATGTTATATATACAGTGTAATGTAAAAAGTAATCTATTCAGTGTGGTTGAACGACTTCGATCGGAAGATGTGGTCCCTTACCCCTCCACCTGAAAAAAACCAAGATAAGTTCACCAACATCTGAGATTGTGGGGTACTTACCGACATGGACGTTACCATTGTTTGCTGAATTTGGAGAGAGTTCCGTCTCACCTGTGATTTACAGCGTTATGTGAAAACATCAAATCCTTTGGTAAAAATTTTTTTTGATGATTCTGTTGTTACTTTCTTATGAGTGGATTTTAGTGATACCTGTCTCAACAACGAAAGTAGGATTGAGATATGAAGCCATTCGATGCAGACCACTTCCAATGTCAGTGGATGAGCGTGGTTTGCAGTTCCGGGCTGCTTCTTCCATCCCTCTGCAAATGGTTACCTGGTTTCCTAAGGCTGATTAAACTCAAGATTACAAAGTAGTGACTGGTTTCCGGTGGTGGAATGGATTGTGCAGATGACTGCCAGATCGTGCTCTTTCGGATGCCGGTGTTCTGAATCCACAATAATTTGGTCAACTTTACCGCTTTACACTCTGTTTTTCCTCACAAAAAGTGGCTTTTTTCTCGTGTTCTTTGATTAGAGAATTAATACGCGGCGCACATTTATAAAGATAACAGTGGGTAGGTTCGCACTATCAAACCAAAACGTCGTGAATTTTTAAGGAAACCTTACTGAGGCTGCTTCACCACAGAAACAATGCTAGTTCTCCGTCTACGAGCAGGATTTTTGATGTACTGATCGAACTTTTCGTTGAGCTGATGAGGAACCATAGTAATTTCAGTCACATCTTCAGGAAGTCTGCAAGAGGAAGTTCCAAGATTGTTCCAAGACTTAAGTTAGTAAAACTTACTCAGCTCTGTTTGCGCTTCCCACATAGAAGTTCACGTATCGGCCAGCTGTTTCTTGCGAATAAAGCGGAGAAACGGTATCCTCCCAGAACATATCCGGTTTGACCTCAGGCACATCATCGTGTACATTGTCTACTGCTGTGAGGGCAATCTGAATTTGGTATACTATTTGGTCATTGGTAGCATTCGCGTACCCAATTTTTACAATTATTTGCATTTTTAAGAATTTCCAAGAAAATTCAATTATTTACAAGTAAAAAAATTACTTGCTGATTCTTATAACAAAGGTAAGTAACTTTTAATTTCGGGGCCCATTCTTGAGGAAGGGAGGGGGGCGCTTCCTCATGATTTTGCGGGAGTTTCGAAAATCCAATGAAAAATTTGTAAGCATCACTGATTGTAAATTAACCGTTCTCGAACAACCAAATCTCTAAAGTTTTAGAATACCCGAGCAGCTGCTGTTTCGTAGTCAAACAAACTGAGAAAGAAAATCAAAAGGACTTCCGTTACAATCCTCTCTATGAATTTCCAAAACAAACTTATTGAATCCAAGTTCTTCAGAAGCGGTAGTACTTATGCTAGCTGACATTTTTCTGTTACGCTTTTTTACTTCAAAAGAATTTTGGAGGTTTCGTGAGAATTGTTCAGTACACAAGAGATTAGGGTCTGCGTCATATTGCCAGCAAGTTTACGATGAGTTTTGAACCCATTCAATTTTTCAAATTTTTTTCCTCCCTCTTCATTGCTTTTTCTCTTCAATAATCTTTCAGAATGTATTAGGTCGTTTCAAAAGTAATTTCGCTTTTTTCAAACGGGCACCACATTTGAAGGAACAAAGGTTTCTAAGAGATCTTGTAAGCATTCGATGCAGCATTTCATTCTCTTTCTAACGGTTATAAAATTGCAAAACAATCAATGAGCTTTCAGAAAATAACCAAAGTCTGCGACCCATGCTTTTTGAGATAGTCTAGTTTTACAATTTTTCAAAACTTTCACATCAATCCTCAGAAGAAGTTCAAGTAACTGTTCGATAGGGCAAACCATATAGAATGCAAAACTACTTTTGCTCGGCCACTATTCGACGCAGCATCTTCTCCTCTTTCTGACAGATGGTTTTTGTTTCCGATTCGTTTAGTTTTCGGGGATAAAATCATCACAGTTCATTTTTTTAAGGAGCCTCATGTTGTACCTGAAAATCGCGAAATTTGATATTTCGAACCCGTAAACCCTCACTTGCTTTGTAAAGTTAGTGCTAACTCATGGTACAGTCTTGGTAGTCTCAAATTCCGAAAAATTATGATGTTTGCTGCGATTGTGGCTGAGGTGGGCCTGCCAAAATCCGATGGTTCTGTTTAAAAATCTTCTAAAAAATTACGGCGAGCTACAAGAAAGAGAAAGAAGTAGTACTGTATTCTATGAGTTTTACTCTATCGAATCCTTACTTGAACTCCCTTTGAGGATTGATATGAAAGTTTTGAAAAATTGTGAAACTTGACCATCTTAAAAAGCATGGGTCGCAAGTTTTCGTTATTTTCTGAAAGTTCATTGATTGTTTTGCAACAGTTTCATATTCTTTAGAAAGAGAATGAAATTCTGCATCGAATGCCTCCAAGATCTCTTAGAAACCTTTGTTCCATCAAATGTGGAGCCCGTTTGAAAAAAGCGAAATTACTTTTGAAACGACCTAATATTTCGGCACTATGTCCCAAAGTGGCAGTCTGATGCTGTAGCTTCAAAAAAAGCTGAAAGAAAATTAATTTTAGAACCTTGAAAATTCTGCTATGCATAGTGTAATGAACTAAAAAGCTTAGAAATAATTTTCCTAAAGTTTCTACGGTTTTGCCAATAAAACGCTAATGTGCGCTGGAGATTATCAGGTAACCATTGGTGATGCTTTTCATACGACGCTTATCTAAGGCTTATCGCCCCTTTTGATAACTAAACACTATGGTAAAACCCACTGTGAGATTTCTATCCAAAAGAAAATTGCAGTCGAAATCATCATCGTCTTCTCCAAACGGATTAAGAAGCTCCATTGCAACTTTCATCCATCCGACATAGAAAATGAATTCGAGCGAAGACATTAGCGGGAAGTACAGATCTACCTAAAATTAGCCCAGTTGTATTGCAAACCAACGTTATTCACTGAGCGGACCACAGTATAGTTGGCAGCTGTGGGAGTGATGATAAATTGACGTGAGAAGATGCAGACGAAGAAGTAAGCGTGGACAGCCATGAAGACCAGTTGAGGGTACATGATTGGCAAAGGAACCCAATCGTAGGTCCAAATAAGCGAAAGACCCGTCCGGAAAGCGCGGATCTCCTGACGAAGAGCGAAATGATAAATCAACTTGGTATCATGTGCAACTACCTACTTCAGCTATTGTGCTTCTAGGTATGTCTCCATCAAGCCTTTTCTCTTCAAGAGCAACGTTGATCAAATGTAGAGCCCAGTTGAACGGCAACCAGTATTTCGCATACCGACTTTTGCATTCATGAAACTTCTCCAGCTCGTGTTTTTGTAAAAATCCTGAAACTTACTCAGTGAGTGAATCAGCACAAATCACTGTTGTGCAATTTTTTGTGCATATAAGAGCACTAGCTGGTTTACCCGGCTCCGTCCGGCCTTGTCAAAACACTATGATAGAGGTCTTATCCCTGTATAACCTTTCCGCATGCCCACTTCTACATGCCAATTCCCTAATCCCGCTGTGTTAGTTATCCTCATGCTCACTTACCCCTCTGTGTCAACTCCCAGGCCCGTAGCTCAAACTTTGCAAAAAAATCGATAAGATCGATAAAAGTAGCGGATAATTCCAAAAACTAATGTTGTATTCGTAATCAGCATGCTCACTTACCCCTCTGTGCCAACTTCCAGCCCTGCAGGTCAAACTTTACAAAAAATCGATGAAAATCGACAACGATATCAATCAATAACGAAAAGTAGTCTATGACACCTCCCCCCCCCCCCCGCCCCGAAGTGTGTGTAAGCAAAGCTTGGTCCGATTGGTTCAGAAATAAAATTTTCTATTCAGAACATACGTACATACAGACATTTATACAGACATACAGACATTCAGCTATACTAGATTGTTCCGGCAGTTCTGTCCGATTTGCGATTTTTCATCTAAAATCTTATAACTTATTTCAAAATCAACAATTTTGGACAACTTAAATTTTGTTTAATTGAGCGAGTTTGTGGCTATCATAGAAACTGTATGCCATGTAAAGAACGCAAGCGAAAGAAAAGAAAAATTTTTTTGAATTTTGCAAGGTTTTATTCGAAACCGTCCAGTATGATTTACTAATGCTTCCGTATGAGGATGGGCAGACATATCTGGCTGCCATCATTGAGCAGACTATACTTCTGAGGTTCTTTTGCGATCAAAGAAAATTCGAGTTATCTTTGCTGCATGGAAATTTTTGCGAGCAAATGAAAAACCCTATTATTTGAGCCCTGCTCCGCGTGCGAAAATATGCCGACTTTCTAACATTTGATTTTTGTTGTCGCAAATGCAGAAAGCCAATTGGCCGATGGTTCCTGCTTGCTCTCGCTTTGTTCTAACATATGGAATATTGAAAGCATCACCTGTCGCTATATGCAGATTGTTGTCGCGTGTTAAATAACTGAGTTTGTCTTCTAACTTCAAAAAAATTGGAAAATTAAGACATTCTCTACTTCGGAGGGAAAGTGTGCTTATATTAGTCCATAACACTCTCACCTATTATAAAATATTACATGTTTAGGTTTACAAGTACTGCGGAAGTTCTTATGGAAACTTTTTTGGGCAGACTGCATTCTGACAACTTTGCTTCCGGGCTTGAAATTTCATCACTGGAAGGCTGGTTCGCCAAGCGTCAGTGAGCACTAGAAAGAGCAGGAAAAGTACTTCCAGACAATGAACAATGCCCTGAGCGCAAAATCCTAGGAAAATAGCTGCGTTAAAATAAGGCAGTTGAAAATCGGACAGAACTTTTGAAGCGATCTGTTATATCAGGTCGTTTCAAAAGTAATTTCGCTTTTTTCAAACGGGCGCCACATTTGATGGAATAAAGGTTCCCAAGAGATTTTTGAAGCATTCGACGCAGCATGTCATTCTCTTTCTAATGGTTATGAAATTGTTGCAAAAAAGTCAGTGAGTTTCAGAAAATAACCAAAATCTGCGACCCATGCTTTTTGAGATGGTCAAGTTTCACGATTTTTTAAAACTTTCATATCAATCTTCAAAAGGAGTTCAAGTAACGATTCGATAGAGGAAACCTTACAGAATACAGTACTACTTTTTTCTCTTCCTTATTACTCGCCGTAATTTTTTAAAAGATTTTTTAACAAAACCATCGGATTTTGGCAGGCTTACCTCAGCCATCACATCAAACATCATAATTTTTCGGAATTTGAGACCACCAAGATGGTACTATAAGTCAGCACTAATTTTACAAAACAAGTGAGGGCTTACGGGTTCGAAATATCAAATTTCGAGTTTTTCGGGTACAGCCTGAAGCTCGCCAAAAAAATAGTCATGATGGTTTTCCCCCGGAAACTAAACGAATCGGAAGCAAAAAACACCTGTTAGAAGAGGAGAATATGCTGCATCTAGTGCGCGAGCTGCTTTTCTTTTGATGTTCTACGAGGATTTAGCTGCCTAGGTATGGAAATCGATAGCATCAGTTAAAATTCTGTTAAAAATGTGTGACAAGCTATGGAAAGGAGAAAAAAGTAGTACTGTATTTTATAAGGTTTACACTATCGAATCGATACTTGAACTCCTACTGGTGATTGATATGAAAGTTTTAGAAAATCGTGGAACTTGACCATCTCAGAAAGGATGGGTCGCAGATTTTGGTTATTTTCTGAAAGCTCATGGACCGTTTTGCAACAATTTCATAACCATTAGAAAGAGAATAAAATTCTGCATCGAATGCTTCCAAGATCTCTTGGAAACCTTTGTTCCGTCACATGTGGTGCCCGTTTCAAAAAAGCGAAATTACTTTTGAAACGACTTAATATATAAGATTTTGCATAAGATAAAATCGATCTATAAGATATTTGGCCAATCTTATTCTCTCATTCCTTGCAATTTTTCCAGCTATTTTTCCATTTTTACTGTTTTTACGTGAACCCACCTGCAGCAACCATTGTCTCCAAAGTGGGAAATCGTCTACGAACTCCGAGATGAATATCGCGAAAGACAAGACATTGTGAAGCGACACAGTACCTAACGATGTTTCGGCGCAGGTTCTTCCCCCGGTCATCGTTTCCTTTGATGAGTTGCGACGTAAATAGTGCGATGCTGGAAATGAAAGTGACTTTTAAGTGTAGTTGAACTCAGAAATGCAATTTCCTCACTTGTCGATCATGCCGAGGTTTGCAAATTGCGTCGTCCACCGATTTATAACAACTGTGACAAAGAAACTAAGCATAAAATTCATCGGTATGTAGGCAAGTCGCTTATCGCAAAACGCGGCAAATTTCTCGAAGTTTCTGGAAAAGGAAAAAATTGTGGTGCTATAAAACAAAAAAATTGTGACCCTTCATAACCCTTGAAGAGGGTTACAACCCCTTAGCTTGATCATCAAAAAGCTAGCAAACTGCTTGGAACTGGAGCTTCTAACAAGAAACAAGTTTCCTCAACTTTCAAAGTTGCGAGCTACGGTCGTTCCCCCGTGCTTTTCCACATATTTTTATATGGAAATAATGTGAAAATAATAATGTGAACGTTTACAAGCTCCTGCATGTTACATGGTCAGGTGAATGCGGCACATAGTGGCTATCCCCTCTTGATTTTCCTGCTATTTTTTTATGCGGGTGCACATTTCAGTAAAAGGTAAAGGAAGACCATTGTGCATTAAGATCTTACTTCCCACTGGCTTTCTTATTAGCCCTTATGTTCAGAACCAAACTGTATCTTATTTGTAGTTATCGTGATATGATGCTGAATGAGATCTTCCTAAGCTTAGCAATTTTTAAGGGCGTTAAAAATTTCCCTTCTACTTGAATCGCATTCTTAATTTTTATAGAAAAATCGTAACAATCTAAAATGCTTTTAGGAGTTAATTGATTTCATTGGCGATATAATTATCTTGAACACTAGAATCCCAGATTACAAGAATGTTGGAAGATTGTGGCAGCAAAATGAACTCAAAAGTTGTCCTGCTTTGACCACGAAAACCCTTCTAAGAACCATAAAGCATGGAGGTTTGCAATCTTCGTCAGCACACTAACAGTATAGTATGATCCCCGCTAAATAAGTCTATAAGGAAGCACCTCACCCTTGTTGGTCCGTATTCATGCCAAAGCGATAGATACAGGACAAGATTGCGTAGGCGGTCAACCATATCAGGTACTCGACATAAACGGCTCTCCACACTGATCCCCTCCATCGGAATAACAATTTTAAAATTACTTTCGCTTTACTCGTGGCAATATCATAGTGATAATTATAGCCCATCTACCCTGAAAAATGACATTGTTGAAATCAGATGAGCTTTACAACAAGAGACTAAAGATTTTTGAAAATCAAGAGTTTTGAAATAAATTTGAGGCATGTGAAAATCTGAGTCTGTAACCAAGAATGATTTGGTAAGCTTTGAGCTCTTATCATACCATCAGCCTCTGCTATTTTAGGTTATCTTGAAGTACTTACCGCTAGCAAATGACCAAATTTACGAGTTGCGGACGCTTTTAGACCGTGATCGAGCAAAATAAACACCAAAATCTTTTTCAACGGTGCGATTCCAGAACCTCTTTGACTCTTGTCATAATCTTTTGAAAAAGGTTGGTCACTAAGATTTGAAACATGATAAGATTGATTTCACACTATTTAGTTAATCCCACCCACGATAGTTAATCAGAATTTCGTTTTGCATCATTCTCAGCAGTGAAAATTATAGGAATGCATTCATCTTATATCTCCAAGCTTGGACATATAGATGAAGTGAGTACTGCACCTGCACATCAAAAATGCTTTGAACCCTTGTAATAAACTCTGCAATCACTGTGAAGATAAAGAGCACGTAAGTTGTTTGCTAGCTAAAGTGTCATAATGTTATAAGCAAAAAACGTGGTTAATGTCCAATTCGCCAGATGTCATATTTAAAAGTTATTTTTTGTAAATGGATAATACTTGTTTGGCAGAAATTTTTGCTCAGTTTTGATGGTTTACAGATATGTAATTTGTAAGAATTTTTGTATTGATGTATGTACCGATAGAATGAGTAGTTCAAAGAGAACCAGAATTGAATTGAATTTGAGCAGAAATCGTTTCTTTGATGACGAAGTGACGCTATGGTGTACCCAGATCGCTTCACCAAATTTCAAAAAATTTGTGCTCAAGAAAGCGAACCGAGACTTGATAGTTGGACTGGTACCACATACGATTTTTTGAAAGCTGCTGTCATGCGCTGTCATGGATGGAAGATAGTGAATAGTTTGAAGATGGTAGAGGTTCAAACTGCTTTTCTATAAAGATTCTGGCTGGAAAACAGTTATTAAAACTGTTGGAGAGGTTTGTGTTTCTATGTCAAAACAAACTTATTTTTTAGTCAACTTAGTACATTTATCGCTAGAGCTTCCCCCTATTGCAATACTGCGAAACCATCTTATTGCTAGTCGGTTGTCTATGACAATCACTGTTTTTCTGTAAAATGCCTTCTGGAAAAAAATAGTGGACTTGTGAATTTGGTGGTTAGTTTGTTGTCGAGACCTCTGATATATATGTAAGTTTGCTAAAAATAATGCTGCATTGATCACATAATCTAAACCTGTAGAAACAAATAATAGATTTGTTTTTCATTTGTACTGGACCTCAAAAGTTTTGCGCATTCATCCTCCATAAAAGGACGCAAAAATTTGAGGCTAAACAAGTTGCGCCAATGCATTCCGTACAAATTCAAATTCAGGAAGTGTATGGAATTTACCGAAACTCTTGGCGATGTTGGAGATCTCCATAAAACTGTAAGGATTATGGGGAGTGCTACCTGCGGTAGGTATACCTTTATACTATATTGAAGAACACATGTTTGCCTATGGAATGAAGAAATTGATTTTTGAGATAGGAATTATCGTGCTTATGGGTGATTTGGGGACTTTAGTTATTTAGATGGGCTCCTTTGCGTACAAGAACGTTGATTTAATGATTCAAAACTTATTGGATTCAAACAATCTCCATTTAGTTGGTGTACAATGCTATCCGCCATTTCGTAAATATTACTGGCTACATCAATGACTCGCGAATAACTTTATTTTGAAACAAGACACGAATAAATTTTGAAACAAATTTCAACTCAGGATGCAATATGTCACTGCGTCTACAGATGCAGCAATAGACTTTAAATTATGAAAACGGAAAGGAAAAATTGCAGTTGATTGAAGAGAAAAGCTGGAAATAACCCCATTATCACAGGGGCGAAACTTTTACAGCCGCTCGAGGACTAGAAGAGACAATTCGTGAGCAATGACGTAAGCAAGAAATTAACAAAGAACGTTTATTGCAAAAGCACAATGGACTGTATATTCGGACATCTACAACCATAAAATCAGTTTCGGCACGAGCGACCCGCTTTCTGTTACCCATATCCTGACCATATCCTCTTCTTTCCAGCTGGAAGCAGTCGGACTCGCTTCAGTGCACTTGCACTTCAAAGGGTCTACTATGGCAGCTGTCAGTGATGTCGAAGCGTGACTCGATGAGGGTTGGGTTAGCGTGCTCATGGGACCAGCACTCGTCTAGATTGGCGTACTCGGCTTCGTAGTACTCGAGACATCTGTAATGAGAAAGCCTCCGTTGGTTTGCTCTCCATTAATAATACTTATAAAAAATCAAAAGTCAATCTCAGCCAATTCTGAATAGAAACAATTAGTGACAGAAAGTTCTAATTTGCTCACTTGTCATGTAATAAGAAATAAAAAATTCAAAGAGTGATTATAAAAAAACGACATTATTGCAGTCTTCAAAAAAGATTTACTCTACAAAAATAGCTGAATCGGCACGCTCTATAAGTAAGGAGGATAAGGATAAAGGATAAAGGATTCGACGTCTTCAGTACCCTCTGGGGGCATGCGCCAAAACGCACACACTAACTTCATAGTCGAAGAGGCAATTGTATGCGTGCGAGCCTATTACAGTGACTTGCGGGAGCCAGCCGTTTCCAAGTCAGTGCTTTTATCCTCCCAGATTACTCTGGCACCAATTTACCGGACCCGGAGGGTGGAGGGCTTGGTTGGCCCAGGGGCGGGGATCGAACCTGTGTCCGATCTGGTCGTAGTGGCGCCTCATACCACTACGCCACTCGTTCCCCAGTAGGGAGGATAGAGAAGAGGAAAGTGGGAAGTTGGAGGGCAAGGCAAGATTGAGAATCTGGCTTTCAGGTCTTTTGAAAAATTTTCTGATCATCCCCTTTTCGCGATGCTGAGACCCTGGAGTTTTGTATAAGGGCTTGATGGTAGCCATGCCCTCGGAAATTTTTCTAAAAGGTGTTCCACCAATACATTATCTCGAATATCACAAAAGCAAAGAACGTTTACTGCAAAAGTTACTTTAGGTGGTTACTTAAGGTGTTTCAATTTTATTTTTATATGTACAAAGTATGGTAACTTTGAATTCTTGAGACTACGCATATATGTAAAGCGTTGATTGATGAAAGACTCTTTACAAGTTACGAGTAATGTTGCAATAACTGGAAAAGGCTCTTATAAGCAAAGTCACTACTAATTCAATGTTAGTTAGATTGTCATTCTCTCGTTTACATCTCAACTGCGTTGTTATGCTAACATCATATCCCTCGGATTAGATGTGCCCACACTTGCAGTCTTTTTCCGTAGAATACTGAAGATGGATTCTTTCCTCAATGCTTGCATACTTAATGGACAGCCCTGAACAATATCCCGCACGGAGAACGTTCACTGTTTGCCACGTGAAGCTTCAATCTATTCCAGAGGTTTTTAACCACGATGCATAAGGAGGCCGCTACAGAAGAATAAATTATGAATTGCATAATCCAGTAAAAACGAACGTGTTGCAAGAAGAAGCGATGACGGTGTGAGGATATAGGCAAGAGCAAGCAGCAGTAAAAAGGCGTCAAGGAGATTCAACAAAGTTGGGAAAGTGCTTGAGGCTTTTAGAAAGAAAACGGAAAATTCCTAAAAATTAAAACGTTCCATATATTGAGCTCTGTGGTTGTTGCCTTTACACATTCAAAGCAGAAAAAGAACCAAATGTCTTTAGAATGTTAAAAGAACTTTATAATATTCGCCGATAAGTCATTATTAGATGCATAAATGTTGCTGAGTCAAACTGAGTTAGCACTGCTTTCTATCTTTTTAAATCATTAAGTTTCCCGAAACCATGTGCTTCTATTTTTTTTCGAAGTCAAGTTTTTTCAAAAGCAATATAGTAACATTAAGCAATATAATTTTATCTAACATATAAATATGTTCCATTATTCTACCGTATTATTTCCGATTTTGGCGCACTTTTGGCATCATAAATAAATAAAAATGATAATCGCGAATTTCGCCAACATCATCGAAAGCACTCTGTTTGTAATATACTTCAGATATTGATTAAATATAGTGGTGAAAGAAAAAACAAGAAAATCCTACTCTCCTCTTCTCAGTTTTCCACTCTTTTGATTTCAGAAATTACTCTATGTAAATTAAAGCCGAATGTACCTTTGATTCAACTGAGTTGGCGTCTGGAAGGCGGGACCTAATCCAGGCTGGAGAATGACCGGAGAGCACGCGCGCGAGAGAAAGCAGACTGCGTCGCGGCCGTGGTCGGCCTTCATTAAGTCACAAAGCCCCGCCTTCCAGCCGCCAATCCAGGTGAATCGAAGGTCACTTCATGTTTTGCCTTCCTCAAACAGAGAAACGATTTTGAACTTGGACGAGCAAATAATTATAATGTAGAGACCAATTCTTAAAAAATTGTTTCGATCATTACCTGTATATGATAACAGCTTGCCAGACGTGAACGAATGACAGTACTAAACACACGGCCACAGTTCCTCCAATTATTGCAAGGGCAACATTTCTTGATGGTGGGGCTTCCATATCGAGCGAATGTCCTGAATAAGTACTACTTTGGTTGGCAAGCAACAATTAAGTAAATTTATGGGAAAAATTAGCCGTAGTTCCGGCCACATTATTAGATCAAGTAATTAAGATTGCATCTTTGGTATCTGGGGATCCTTCGGAATTTCCTAGTAAGGTAAAAACCCAGAACAACCGTTATAGAATTATTAGAAAAAATCTCATTCATTTGAAAATCCTTCAATATTATTTTGGCTTGGAAATAGAAATTAAACAAGAATGCATAGCGAAAACAGCCTACCTATAATTTGTCGCATTGTGTCAAATGAAACGAGAGAGAAGAGCAGAACAATTGTTGCCATTAGCATACACACCAGTTGTTGTACGATCTACAAGGACTATTTTTCTTTTCCATTTGTTTGCAATTTGGCTTACCGTAATAATTAGGAATGGGTAAAGGTACTTGTGCCTTTTGCTGACTATGGCATAAACTCCGAGCACCACAACGCAGATTGGAACGATGAGCCATGTGAGAGTCGAGCGCATTCCGAAAATCAAGGAAAACACTGAGGACACAACATACCAGACCAAACATATTTGCGTGCCAGTCTGAAAAAGTTCGGGGTCAGTCAAATACTTGCAAACAATACAGCTGGGAATTGATCTCATTTCTTTTGTGCGTATGCATTAGAGTATGAGGGACGGATAGGGTGCGAATTGCTTGAAAGATTAGAGAAGTTTTGCAAAAATGAAGATTTTCAATTGAAGTTCGATTCTTACATCGAAGGAAATATTTCTGGAGCGTGAAAGTGATGGAGTAACCTAACTCAAATACATTTGAAATGTTCAAGCTCGAGAAAGCCAGGTTTGTTGTCGACCAAAACAACCTAACGGAAAAGTGAAATTATGAATTCGAAAACTTCTTAATCTTCGCAAATTACGTTTAGTGTTTGCTTAGTTGCCAAATTCAAGCAAATCAAAGCTATAATGGTGAGCCAAAGACCCAGCTTTATGTTAATGCAATCATTCTTTTTTTATCTAACGGAATTATCAGCTACTTTGAGTTGAAAAAAATCTCTGAGTTATTCAATCCATACAAAAGGTGAATTGCGAGAAACAATCAATACTGGAGTAACCAAAAGATATCTGCACTAAAATCACGGATTATTATTGAGGTGTGTCACAGCATGCACAAACAGAGCTTGACTATTTTTAATCTGGAAGATGACGCCAGATAAGAAGCAACAAGTTCTGGCTTTATCGAAAAGTGCAGAGGTGTTAATTTTGCATCATTTTGATGATTAAATAAGCTTAGTCCACACCGTACATAGATTGTAGTTCTTAGCGTTTCACCGTATGGGAATTTACTACATGAAAATTATTGTATCAGTTTGATTCGCACAAATCTTCGCGATTAGAGCAAAGCTTATATATTCTCCATCAATTTCAAATCGAATTATTCCATCACACTGATTTTCGCCTCTATGTAATATGTCGACCTTTACACGGAAATTTGTTGACGGATTTGTGGAATGAGTTTTCCCACGCTTACGATCTCCAATTTCAGGGTTTTGTTAATTAGAAACGAAAGAACTCACCACAACATGGCACATTCCACAAAGGCACCTAAATTTCGTTGGATCGACGTGGGTGATGGTAGTCGACATGGTCTGGTCAAATCACTCTGGAAACTGATGTTTGAGTAAACGATTAGGTATGCTTATGAAATAGGCGAATCGGAAGGAAGTGAAGAAATATGAGTTTGCTTCGTTTAATGTGATCATTAGAATGAAATTTAATGAGATGCGGCAGATATTTCATAAAAAGAAGTAAACATAGCAAACGGGAGTTTGGCTATATTACTATGAATACTTGGTGCAAAACTGTACAAACAAAAACTCGCATCGAAAGAAAAAGAATAATGAGGAAATTCATAAGCAGAGTAGACTTTCGAAGTGCAAAGCGACAAAGTAACTTATCAACTGGACTTGCGCCTATATGACAGAGCGGCGCACTAAAATCTTCACAAATCTCATTGTTGTTCAGCTATAAACGAATTAAAGCAGAAGAGGAAGGGGCAGCGGCAAGATTTAGATGTCCTTTGGGAAGAGAAATCCATCAGAAGAGCGCACCCTTAGCCAATGGCATGGCCTTCGCGTAAATGAATGAAAACGCGGATAAATGGCATGGTTTGGTTTCTTCAAACGCACCGTACATTTCATAAAGGTAAAACACTCAGTTGGCATATGCAAAAGGCCAAATATGTCCTTTCCTGAGGTCAAACGTTCACAATTTCAGGAAGTTCTCTACCTTTCTCGATCCGAGGATCAGCGATACACATCAAACAAGCGCTTCTCTACTGAAAAATCATGCACTGGTATTTGAAATTTCAATTTAGAGCTTATCTTCACGAGTTTGGGAATAGGAAAAACAAGATGCAAATTCTGTTTGTTCACAAAAATTGTTAATATCTCACTTCACATCAGCAACATTATAAGGGCTTACAGGACAACCATTTTTTGATGGAACCAGTGGGGAACAGATATCTAGCCGTCCTCGATTTGCGGGAAAGAGTGAGGAAAGCTCAATCGGGATGTCTTGTAACAACTGTTGACTGTATGGTACCGCAAGCCTTTAGCTTCATTTGAGCTGGTGCAGCCAACATTTTGTCATTTTGTAGCAGTAGATTACATCAAAATCTAAGAAGGAATCGAGGAGTCTGAAAAAAGGACCAAAAGCAAAATTGCACTGATACAACGAACTTATCAGAAACTATCTTTGATACAGCTCAACGTATAAAATCTTTTTTTAGCATGTCGAACAGAGTGGAAAAAGCATTGAATCTTTGAATTTTTACAAACCCATCAATCTTCATCCGCTTCGTATTTACAGAGCAGAAAACGTTTATGGATTGCAATGGACCGAATAAAGCTCAAGGTAGTGTTAAACAATTTTTTCCTAGATTTTTTCCTAGAATTTTTTTCCATGTTAGGAATGAGTTCAGCCAGTAAGGACGCAGTTTACGAGCTTACAATCCTATTGTTAGAACTAGACCTGCGTCCACCCAAAAGCAAAATATAATATTTGCAGAAGAACATCTTTGCAAGTTTCCCTTTTAGTGAAAAAGAACATCAGCATCATTAAGCAAGCATTAGTTTAATCCTGCATACATTTCGAAATGCTGAGATTAAGCAAGTCGAACTTGAACGATATTGAAAAGAATATCGTAACCGCCATACTGCTTCAATAATTGAGTAACATGCATGGAAAGGCACTGTCCGAATCTGTGCAGTTAAACGAGGTGATTGTCGGATTGACGATAAATATAGGTACATTTGCGCTAAGAAGAAGCTTTTAGGGCAAGAGCATTACCTGACACTTCACGGAATCATCGGATGCTGAGTTCATAGCAATTAACGTGGTTGCTTGTGAAAGGCCAGTGGTTAGGAGAATCCATTATCAATGATGTGCGCTTTGTTATTTCCTTGAAGCTCACAAAAAACCTTCAAATGTCCTTAGGGGAGGTACAATTCAGTGGCGGGAAGGTCGCTTACATGTGTTGTAAAAATGGTCGAATGGCTTGCTTTCATTTTTGAGTAATAACTGAAATAATTTTCAAATTTTCTCAAATCTATGTTAAGCTTGTAAAAATGAGTTGCCAATCAGGCATTTTGAAGGGATATTTGAAAGAACATCTTCAAGATTGAGACCTACTCAAACTAACAGTTTTCAAAAATTTTCCTGACTGCGTCACAATATTTAACTCTTCAATGCCTGATTTCTATGGCACTAAAATATTATGGTTATGCAGCTCCAACTTCACATAAAATTAGTCGCGAGAAGCAAGTTGAGTTCAATCGTGATCTATTCAATGAAGAGATATCGTTTTTACTGCTACATCTTTGAATTTATGAAGAACTTAATGCTTCTGCAATTTCAAAACCTGACGGTAAAATTGTGACTGCTTTATCTTTCACTAGTAAAAATCCAGAAAAGATGGCTATGACTCGAATCGGAAGGACAAAATAAACGAAAAAGAGGCAACAAAAACTAGAAGAGATAGAATCACTGAAAGGAGCAAGATTCGGTAATAAAAACAGCGATTTTTGGCTAAGCTAGCTATTTAAAAGAAAAGTAGTGATAAAAGGTTCCCGCTTTGTGGCAATACATATTCGAGCAGATCCACCTCTTTACACTACTTCATATTCTCTGATGCCATAAAGTTCAGCAATCTGATATGGCCTAGACGTTCGCAGAGCTCAGTATGGTAGCAATTACCTTCGTAAAGCCCGTCAGGCTGCATAGTATTGCATAAGGAAGATAAATGAAAAAAACTGACGTAAACTCGGCATATGCTTAATCAAAAGGACATTCAAGGCACTGAAATTCTTTACAATGATAATATGAGAAGCGGAAATCCAGAAATCAAGAGTTTATAAGAATTGCTATGAGACATTTCAGTTGACAAAGATGAAAGGCTAAAGTCAACGAAACCGTAGATGTGGTCCTGTGGTTACCAAAAATAGTCCAAGAAATAAATAAATTGACGAAAAATTTCAAAATAGTTAAAGTTCAGTTTTTCGTCCTCTCTTGCTGAAACCTCGGCATACTTGAGATTGTGTTGTCAGTATTGTTTTGCCAACTCGAGGTTTTGGTGAAGCTCTTTATTACATCAGTGGCCTAACGTTTCGACTACTCGTCGTCTTCAGAGGCCTAAAGCGGTGCGGGATTAGCGATATTATGTCTGCCCCACCAAGTGCTTCATCGACCCTTGGATAGTTTCTCGATCCCCCCTCGAGTTTTACAAGCAAAATTCGCAAGATGGAAAAGACGAACGCACCATTGCTCCACTGCCGGTGCACTTGATGATATGTGCGACCGCTTCCTTGGTGATAGTAGTGCCAATAAGAGATGCGCACTTTCTCAGATCTTATCAAATCGCGTACTTCCCTATATCCAAGCATTTCCGAGCGAGTCAAGTTAGTGCGGCAATATGGTTTTGGCTGTGTGTAAGCAGTCAAAACGTTTGAGCATAGAATTCTAAACTTGACATCTGCCTCCGGTACTGGTAGAGGCTCTCTATAAAAAGTGCTTGGAAACGGAATATGGGGAAGTGGCTGCTCAACTCGTACTTCTTGTGCATTTGGATCGCGCTTTTCGTTAATCTTGGCCCTTATTCTCAGTTGATCTCGTACTCTGTGAAGACCAGTAACGACTTTGCGAAATACAGCCTCATTGACGTTCTGAGCAATTGAGAATGATGGACCCAAGCTTAGGAATTTACGCGCATTATCGGAAATCTGAGTGTCGCCGACTACGGTGACTCTTGCCGTATAATCAAGACATTCGTTTTGAGCTATGTCACTTACATTGCGGTTTTGCTCGAATGCATTGCTTCCACCATTCCTTTGAATTTTACGAGTAGCGCTCAAAAGAATAAGGGCCAAGATTAACGAAAAGCGCTACTCGTAAAATTCAAAGGAATGGTGGAAGCAATGCATTCGAGCAAAACCGCAATGTAAGTGACATAGCTCAAAACGAATGTCTTGATTATACGGCAAGAGTCACCGTAGTCGGCGACACTCAGATTTCCGATAATGCGCGTAAATTCCTAAGCTTGGGTCCATCATTCTCAATTGCTCAGAACGTCAATGAGGCTGTATTTCGCAAAGTCGTTACTGGTCTTCACAGAGTACGAGATCAACTGAGAATAAGGGCCAAGATTAACGAAAAGCGCGATCCAAATGCACAAGAAGTACGAGTTGAGCAGCCACTTCCCCATATTCCGTTTCCAAGCACTTTTTATAGAGAGCCTCTACCAGTACCGGAGGCAGATGTCAAGTTTAGAATTCTATGCTCAAACGTTTTGACTGCTTACACACAGCCAAAACCATATTGCCGCACTAACTTGACTCGCTCGGAAATGCTTGGATATAGGGAAGTACGCGATTTGATAAGATCTGAGAAAGTGCGCATCTCCGTCAGTGATAAAGGTGGAGAATTTGTGGTAATACCTCAGAATCTCGATCGAGAAATCACTGAGCTTCATCTCAATGACAAGAGCGTGTACCAGCGAGTATCCGAAAAGGAATATCATTCGCAGTACAAGAGATTGAATCATATTTGGATGAGCACAGGAAAAGCAGCAGGCCTCAACGAGAGCTTTCTTAGCAGACTCAAGCTCGATACGCCATGTTGCCCGGTTTTCTATAGCCTTTTGAAGACCCACAAGCTTACAAAAGATGACGACGTTTGCTCGATGGCAGCCAGACAGTTTCAGATAAGACCTATAATAAGCTGTACTGGGGGTCCAACCGATAGAATATCTTGGTTTTTGAATAAGATTGTTGGGCAATTACTGGACAAAATACCTTCCCATTTTGCCAACACTAAACAATTCCTCGACCGCTTAAAATCGTGTAAATTTGAAAATGGATGTATAGCTGAATCATTGGACGTAGTATCTCTGTATACTAACGTTCAAAATGAAGACGCTTTACAAGCGGTATCCGAAATGATGGATGAATTTAGTGCGAGCATTCAAACCTTTGGATTGAGCAAGCATCACATCATGGTCCTGATCCGAGAATGTTTGAATTGTAATATCTTTAGATGGTCAGGCACCTACTTTGCTCAAGTAAGAGGACTTGCAATGGGACAACGGCTTGCTCCAGTTCTTGCAATA